TCTACCTCATTACGTACCGTGATTCAAGAAAACATTATTAAAGGTGAGTGGATGTAAAATAAATTCGGATTCTTCATTTGAAAAATCGATATCTTTTGCCTTTAATATCTGTTACACATATAAATTTTATCTTATCACGAGATTGATTGATAACATCAATTAAAATTGGTTTCTTTGTAACACCCCGATCCTAGGTAAGAGGGGCCTATTGTCACGAAATGCGCATCAAGGGCTAACACTATCCTCACAGACCAACATAAATTCTTCTGATGCATTTTGTCCTCATTTATGCGCACGCTTGGAAAACTTCCCAGGAGATCACCCATCCTAAGACTACTCCCAGCCAAGCGCGCTTAACTAAGAAGTATCTTAGCATATGAGCTCCTTAAAAAAAAATAATTAATTCCCTTAAAATAATCATGAGGGGTATTACATTCTTGGTATAACTTAGAAAAAATAAGTTTTAATAATTTCTACTATCTAGATTGAGATCAAATCAAATAAAACAAGAATGAATTTATTCCGAACCTTGTTAATTTTTGGTTTACAATTACTACTACACCAAATGAAAAGAAATTAGAGGAAGATTTTCTATTCCACTTTACAATGTCACATTAGTGCTTGTGACTATTCCGTCCACTGCATCAAACTCTACATATGCTATACATACAAAGAAAGTACAAACTTAAATTTCTTCAATTTCTTAATCAGTAATGAGAGCATTATAAATTACGGAAAATATATAGGAAAGAGGGATTCCAACAACGTGATAGCCCTCGGATTTTTCCACTAGGCGAAAACCTCATTACTCGTAGTTTCGATTTTTTATACGAGGAGATCTTAACATTTATCAACCCGAAAAAGAAAAAAAAAAAAAAGTAATGGGCAATATAATGCCCATGAGGCCATGACGTTTCCATATAAGCAAAAAATGCTGCCACAGTAGAATAAATAAAGACAGTTCTTGCTATCTATTTATATTGTAGTCATTTTATAGGACAAAAGACGACAAGAGAAAGATAAATTATAAAGAAAACAAAAATACAAGAACAATGCTTATTATTGCACGCTAATTGACATAATAATAATAATAATAATAATAATAATAATAATAATAATAATAATAATAATAATAATAATAATACAAGGACTATGGAAAACTAGCTGTCTCTTTCTCAAAAAAAAGAAAAGAAAAAAAAAAAAAAAAAAAAGGCTGTCTCTTTTCAAAACCTAATTTTATTTGTGTTGGACACACATTAATTGTAGACTTGTAGTCCTCATTCAACAGTCACAAGATTCAACATTAATCTTTCACAAAATGGTGAATTTTTCACCTTAGTATCATACGGATATGAATAAACCTCTTACTCACACATATTGTTTGAAAATATAGCGTTATACAATCTTTAACATTTTATTTTATTTGATAAACCCTTTCTCATCATAAGAAAGTCTCTTTCCTAAGTTGGGGTACGTAGTAAAAATTTCAATCATTTTACCCTAAGTTTGCACGTATGTTACATACTTCATACAGTATAAACTCTGACCGATCGAGTATCCCTTAACTGACCAAGTAACCTTTGATCGAGTGAGTAACTCCTATAGCATTAGCAAAGTAATCCCCATATTGGTTGAATTGGTCACACAGTGTGACCAGCCACATATGAAAGTTTGTATTTTCAAAATACTAATCTTTTATACTGTAATATTTGTTTATTAGTACGGTAGTTAGATATTCGTAGTATTTACAATTGGATTAATGCATTGACAAACACAATAATAAGAAACATATGTCAACTGGAATCTTATTCTCTTTGCCTAATTTTTACTGAACTGAATTTATTTTGTTGAACTAAACTTATTTCTTCCGAGTTTAAATTATTTTTACTGAAATTAATTATTTTTGCTTAACTTAAATTATATTTGTTAATAAAAAATTATATATATTGATACGCTATTATATTTATTCATTAATACCCTATTTTCCTGAATTAACATAATTTTGTTGAACCAAACTTATTTTTTTATTGAACTAAATATATTTTTACTAATTTATTTTTTTATAGATTATAAATTAAAGACGGTATATCCGTACATGTATTTGGTCCTAAAAGGCAAGCTACAACATATGGCATTGTAAACAAGCTTAGCCCAACCTATAACTTATGAGCCACACAAGCATAGCCCATGACTTTGGTCTAAGTCCAGTAGAACTTCAGTTAAGTCTCTCAAAGAGATGACCCAATAATTAATTAATTTGCTTTTTAATGCCCGTAAACTATACTGCAAAGTCTGCAAGACGATCCACAACATGACCAGTATATAAATTTATGCTCCGTCATCTCCAATGCGACCACAGAGGTCCAGTCTCTTTATATTCATACAATGCTTACGAATCAAAGGAATTAACGCAGCTTGACAATGTGCTTCGTTCAACTCCGGCCAATTGTAAAAGACCAAAAGGGAGAATGCGAGTTGGCTGTACTATACACTTCAATTTAGCCAACCTGTAATGTCAGAGAATACTTAGCTTGCAGAGAGTTCAAAATATGTTCACTCACAACATAATCAACTTTGAAAATCATCATAAAGACAAGTATACTTGTAAGCAATAAGCATTAAGAGCAAATAAACATGAGCCATCTATTGCTAAATTTAGAGTTCAGTTTGCCTAGGAGTACTTAAATGCACGCAGCACGCATGTAAGATTTACTGCAATTGACCATGAGGCGTCCATTTGCGTATTTTAAAGTCTTAAACTACTCGTGGTAAAAATTTAAAACTGTCACAAGGATCGCTGATTAATTTACAAAATCTTGAGCTAGAATTCTTTCTCAACTTGAACGATTAGCGATTTAATCTTTTGGAGAAATAGTCAATACAATAACTAGAGGCCGCAAGAAAAACATTACCAAAGCATAATGTCAAACTGCATAAAAAAAATTCTTAAAGAGTATCATAATATGACAACCATCATGAGTGAAACTTACCATGATTTTAAAAATTGACATTAGGTTCTAACAGACAAATAATGGGAAGCAAATGAGTAAAATTGAAGGTAAGTTCTAAATCAAGCAGACAACATATAGTCTCATATGGGACTCAACTGAAGCTTCTCAATAAAAAAATTAACCCATTGACCACTGAGCTGTTTCTGTGGTATAATTAGTTTACGACAATCATGTTCAATTGTTCATGGTTAGAGCTTCAAAGACACTACATATAATTTTTTGTATAGGAAACCGATCTGACTACATCACAAAGACCAATATAACCCTGTGTGCTATATTTCCTGTGATGGCACACTAGCATATGGTTGACACACTTCAACTCAAGGTTGATTGGAATCAGTTACTTCATTAAGAGCAAGACAACCCTCCCAGTGGATGAAAGGCAGTATTATCTATTCTACTTGATTTGTAAGAATAATATAAAAAGGCTGGACCTCTCTGGACGCATTGGAGATAACAGAGCCATATATGCTTGCTTCTCACTTCCCTCAACTTATGCACCTGTATATCTATTTCGGTGCCTCTCACTCGAAAATATTGCTCTTATTGTGCTCCACTCTACTCACCCAACATTTCCCGTGAACATCTATTTCGCTTTGTGTCATGTAGTCATGTAGGAGGCATTGTCGAGCTCAACTATTACAGAATTGATTTGGAATTGTTCACAAGTCACTTTGTAGTTGTCCATTCCTATCCCTCCATTTCCCTATGTGTATTTCTTGAGGTTATGCTAGCAAAATTAAAGTTGTTTTATGAGTTGATATTTAAATAAAACTTTTTAAAGTGAGAAATTATATTGCATTGATAAATTTATAAAAAAACAATGCATTAATATATCAATATGATACATTTATATACTGGTCATGTTGTGGATCGACTTGCAGACTTTTTAGTATGAACTATGAAGTTTATGGGCTAAATTATCAATTGATAATGGCTGAGGTCGACCTCAGCTACTGCTGGCTGAGGTTGCTGCCAAAATGAACATTTACTATGGTAAAAATGAACATTTTCTAACTGAACATATTTTACAATAATTTTATATTCCTCAATAATCACATGTTCAATTTCATGCAGTATGATGTTCAATCTTATAAAATAAATGTTTATTTTCATGTCGTATGATGTTCATTCTTTTAAAATAAATGTTCATTTTATTTTTAAATTAATACAAATTTTTGTGTTTGTTCAGTTGTATAAAATGTTTGTTTTTTTAATAAAGGATATTCAATTAACATAAGCATTTTGTTCATTACTAAAAAAACATATTGTTGATTTATTTAAGGAATATGGGTCTTTTGTTCATTATTAAAAAACATATTGGTGATTTATTCAATTAACATAAGCATTTTGTTCATTATTAAAATACATATTGATTTATTCATCAGCTGCATAGACAACAGTGGTAACACTTTCAAGCCAACCACGAACTGTTTTAAAATAAAATATAACAAAGGAACTATATTATGGGACGGAAGGAGTACAATATAACATAATCGAATATATAGAAGTATGGTGGTGATTGGTGAATTAGTGATTTGTGTTTAAAAAAATACAACTTTCTAAAGGGCCCAACCGGGTTCGAACCGGTGACCTATTGATCTGCAGTCAATTGCTCTACCACTGAGCTATGGACCCATTATTGATGAAATATTGACATTGTATAATATATATCTAAAAATCGTGTACTGCTTTAATATATTAATCGTAGCTTCTCTCTTTAATTCAGTTATAAATTTAAAATAACGATTGGTAACAAGTTTATAAATAATCTGAATAAGCATGTTTTAATGTATTAATCTTGTAAATAAATCTGGTATATTTGTATCAAAATAAATTATTCTTATCTTGTTTCTCATTCATATACGAATACATTCTGATTGTTAACAATTGCAAGCGGCATTCATCTTTGTCAGAGTATATATGTACAGTATGAACTGAATTTAATTTATAATCATACCTTGCTCGTTGGATATTCATAGACTCAGCAGCATCTAATCTGTTATAACAGCATAAAGGCCATAAACTTTGGGCTCAATCTTAGTATGCACAATCAAGTTGTATAATCTAGAAGCAAACAACGCGCTACATATGTTACATAATATCAAATCAGATTGAGCTGTATGAAAAATTACATTACATTACATACTATAGGATTACGGTATATGCATTAAAATATCTAACAAGATCTACAATGTAACTGTGCTATATGGGAGACTAGTTATTTCTATATTTTTCAAATGTTCTATGCTAGTAGTAAGTATATATGTATCCACAGAGTAATGTTACAGTGATCATCTCTAGAGCAGATCAAGTTAATGGCTTCATTATTCTCTCATTGGACTAGGATGGCAGTTCGTATTAGGCATACTTTCAGCTGCATCTTCACTGCGATGATTCTCACAACTATGACAACTCTTTTCTAGCTGCTGCTGAATTTTCTTGATGCTAGGGGATGACCGGTCTATCTCATCATATGTCTTTCCAAGTTCTTTAACTCTATTCCAGATTGAACCATTATTCTGTTTCCATATATGCCAATGTTTGTACATGAACTGCACTAGGAATAGAACAAGAGCGAAAATTGCAGCTAGTCCTGCTATAAGAAACAGTCCCCAGAAGCTCTCAAGTCCGAGACTAAATTCATAATCATAAGACACTTTGCTGGATGAACTGTCGCAATTGTCTTGTGTGTTGAACCATTCTTTTTCGATTTCCACCATCTTTTCCCCTTCTGTGACACTCAAAATTGCCCTTGAAACATCGGGCACCAGAGGAGACTCTTTAGGGAAAACCTGTAAGATCCATGTATATAGTCCTTCAGTCTAATGGAAGGTTTGGTTATATATGATAAAAATCAGAATTGAGAAGAAAGAAAAAATATATTCTTTAATCAGTCAATCACACGACTTTTTCATAGGAATTTGCATTCTTAAGCTAAAGTTAATGATAAAATTGATCCATGAAAACATAATTGTGCATCCAATTTATAGTACAGATGATTAAGACTGCTATATTAAAATCGGAGAAGTATATGTATGAGATTAGAAAATTTACTTACAAAGCCAAAACCACCGGTCTTGTAAGAAGGTTGTACCATGGAATACTTTTGACAATGTTGTGCTAAGAAAAGCCTCATATAAGGAACCTCGTCAAAAACTGCAGAAACACCCCCATTTTTGCTGCCTTTTGACAGTAAATCGTCTAGCTCATCGCACTTTTTGTAGGGTTTTAGTTGCGCTTCTTTGAATCCTAGCTGTTTTAAGAGTCCTTCAACAAAGGAGCCCTGCTGATATGCTACAGAATCCCTGTATTTTATCAGCTCATTTATGCTTTTGACTGCAGGCTGCAACTGTTGGACCGTTAACATAGATGTCAAGCTTGCTGTGTAGCTTTGTGTAAGGATGAGCACCACAAATATCCATACCACCATCACAAACCTTGCTGGATTGCTTAAAATATTCTCACCTGTTCGTGATATACAAGAATTGTTATAAACGGAATTGCACAAATAAAATAGTAAGAACAATGTTACCGAGAATAAGACTGAGTCGCGGACTATGTCGCTCTCTTTAGAACATTCGCGGCACTGCCTCAAACTTGTGCAAGTAGCTCGTACCAAACCGGATGCCCCCAGGATAAAACAGTCTTTCACAAGTATAAAATACCGGCGGTTTTGCACCGAACCACCGGACAACGAACACCAGAAAATCAGAAAGAAACTGCTCGACTGTTTTGAGAGGAAGAGAAAATATATTTTGCAAAGTGGTTTTCTGTATTTTTTCGTGTGTTTAAAAACAAAGCTGGAACCGTCCTTTTATAGGTAAAGATACGTAACAGCTTAAGCATGAAAACGGGAGAAAGATTAGCAACGTTTACTGCAATTAGTGTATCCGTTAAGCAAGAATCAAGGCATTAAATCAGTGTAACGGTGCAACGTTTAGCAGTAAAACAGCAACGAGAATCAAGCAATGTAACGGAAAAATTTAAACCAAAACAGTAAAACGTTTTGTAACTGAATATTAATCAAACCGGTAACAAAAATTAAGTTTGTTTAATAACCCAAACCCGAACCCGAACCGACCCAGCCCAGCCCGGCCCGGCTCGGCTCGATTCGGCGCGCGTGTGTGTGATATATGGTTTACCATATAGGTCCTCCCTCTCCACAAAATGTGGGTAGCCCAAGGGCCACACCCCTTTAGCCCACTCTCTATATTATAAAGAGAGTAAAACTCTCATTTCCCACCAACGTGGGACTTTGAGTTTTTTCACAAAATTCACACACTACACACTTGTTGTTCCAACAATCCCCCACTTGAATTTTTTGAAAACATTTTCGAGCAGAATCCATACATATATAGGTTGCGCATAAACAGAAGTGTTTTTCAACTTGAACTTCTACGTAGTGAGTACGATTCAGATTCAACAAGGGTGACTCGAAGTTTTGAACCCTATCTCTGACAAAGTACCACACACAACCTACTCTTGGTGTTGTTCTAGACCCGTGCTATTTCGGCCATGCACGTCTATCCCAGTGTAGTGAATGCTCTAGAAATGCTGCCACACATTTCATAGGAAGCGGCCTAACTTCCACATTCACATAGGTGAATCTATCAAGAGTACTCCTGTAGCTTGGTACTCCACTCCAAATTGGAGTATAGATTTCATTAAGAGTTCCTATTAACTCATCCTTGATCGCTTCAGGAAATTATGTCTTTTGAACATATTCAACTCATATCACACCATAACTTGTTATTACCCTTTGAACCTATTTCTTGGGATCTCCAGTTCATAGGTTGGGTTACCATTATGTGTGGTTCATTTCAATGGCAATAGTCCCATTTTCTTAGAGGAAAAATGGACTTTCTCCCTAGCTAATCCTTTCGTCAAAGGATCAGCCAAGTTATTCTCAGTGCGTACGTGATCCACTCTAACAGCTCCGATAGAGAGATATTCTCTCACAGTGCTGTGCTTACGACGTATTTGTCGTCTCTTACCGTTGTAATAACGGTTCTGAACTTTTGCAATAGCCGCAGTACTATCGCAATGAATCAAGACAGCCGGTAATGGCTTTTCCCATAGGGGAATTTCACCTAGCAGGCCTCTTAACCAACCTGCTTCTTCACTAGCCGTAGCTAGTGCTATCATTTCTGACTCCATGGTGGACTGAGCCAAAATAGTCTGTTTCTTAGACTTCCAAGATACAGCTCCACCGGCTATAGAAAAAATATATCCACTAGTAGCCTTAGAGTCATCTGATAAGGTGTTCCAGTCAGCATCACTATAGCCTTCTAGTACAGCTGGAAACCTTTCATAATGCAACCCTAGGTTCATGGTCCTCTTAAGGTATCTCATGACCCTTTCAATAGCATGCCAATGCTCATTACCAGGACAACTAGTAAACCTGCCTAACAATCCCACGGCATAGGCAATGTCGGGTCTAGTACAATCAGTGGCATACCGAAGGCTGCCAATGATGCTCGCATAATCAGATTGCCTTACGGCATCACCAGTGTTCTTAAATAATTTAACACTGGAGTCATAAGGTGTATTAGCAGGTTTACAGTCAAAGTAACCATATTTCTTTAGGATTTTCTCAATGTAATGAGATTGATCCAAAGAAACTCCATTTTCTGTCCTAGTAATCTTAATTCCAAGGATTACATTAGCCTCTCCTAGGTCTTTCATGTCAAACTCAGCATTCAACAATAGCTTTACATCATTCACAGCATGAATGTTCGAGCCAAAAATTAACAAGTCATCCACATATAGACAAATTATAGTGCATATGTCATTCTCAAATTTTACATATATGCATTTGTCACTACCATTTATCTTAAAACCATGTGAGATGACTAAGTTATCAAATTTTTCATGTCATTGTTTAGGTGCTTGTTTGAGACCATAAAGAGATTTATCTAGCTTACATACCAGATGCTCTTTTCCTTGAACAACGAATCCTTCCGGTTGATCCATGTAGATTTCTTCTTCCAATTCACCGTTCAAGAATGCAGTGTTTACATCCATCTGATGTACTACAAGATTAAAAATAGAAGCAAGAGATATTAGTACTCTAATAGATGTTACTCTAGTTACAGGTGAATAGGTATCAAAGAAATCAACATTCTCCCTCTGTCTGTAGCCTTTAGCTACCAAACGGGCTTTGAACTTATCAACGGTCCCATCAACTTTCAGCTTTCTTTTTAGGACCCATTTGCAACCAATTGACTTGCAGCCTGGTGGCAACTCAGTTAGATGCCAAGTTTGATTAGACTCAAGTGAGTCCATTTCATCGTTCACGGCTTCTTGCCATAAATCTGCATCAACTGAGTTTAGAGCTTCTTGGAGGGTAGAAGGATCCTCCTCTACATTAAGAATTACAAAGTCTGGGCCGAAGTCTTTTGCTACTCTAGCCCGCTTGCTCTTTCTTAGTTCGGGTTCAGCATCCAATTCTTGTGAGTTAGACCTGACTTTAGGAATAATAGAGGTGGACGAACCCCCACTATTTCTAGATTTAAAAGGAAACATGTCCTCAGAAAAATCAACATCATTAGATTCAATAATTACACGAGCATTTAAATCAAAGAATCTATATGCCTTACTGTTAATAGCATATCCAATGAATACACATTCATAAGCTCTACTAGCTAATTTAACTCTTTTAGGATCAGGAATCCTAACATATGCTAGACAACCCCAAGTTCTGAAATAAGAAATGTTAGGTCGTTTATTACGAAGTATTTCATAGGGAGAAACCTTACTCTTAGTCTTTGGAATACGGTTTAAGACATAACAAACAGTTAGTAGAATTTCACCCCACCAATGATCAGCAGCACCAGAATATAAGGAAATAGCAACTACTAATTCTGTAAAGGTCCTGTTTTTCCTTTCAGCCTTTCCATTCATTTCTGGGGAATAAGGAGCTGTCCTTTCATGTATGATACCATGTGAATTATAAAATTCTACAAAAGCATTAGTATCATACTCAGTTCCACGATCACTTCGTAATCTTTTTATTTTCTTGTTAAACTGATTCTCAAACTCTGTTATAAACAACTTAAACATTTCAAAAGCATCACTCTTATTTTTCATCAAATAAATACAAGTATAATCAGAACAATCATCAATAAAGGTGATAAAGTATCGTTGTCCATTTCTGGTCAACGTTCCATTTAGTTCACAAATATCCGAATGAATTAAGTCTAATGGTTCTGAGTTTCTAATCACTGATTTATGAGGTGTTTTTGTAATCTTAGCCTGACTACAAGAATCACATTTGTCAAAGTCATTGAGAGAGATATTTGGAATAAGGCCTAAATTGCTCACATGACAAAGTCTAGTATGCCAAACATTAATAGTAGAACACAACATATAAGCGGAATTAGAAATTTTATTAACTTCAACATTCAGTTTAAACATGCCATCAGTAGCATATCCTTTTCCTACAAATATTCCATTCTTAGTTAAAGTAAACAAATCAGAACCTATGGTTTGTATAAAACCAGCCTTATTGAGCAAAAAACCAGAAACTAAATTCTTCCTCATTTCCGGAGTGTGTAACACATCTTTCAGAATGAGAGTCCTGCCAGAAGTAAACTTCAACTCAACATTTCCAACACCAACAATGTTAGTGGAATGGGAATCACCCAACAGTACTTTCTTATCATCGGTCTTTTCAGTGTATGTTTTAAACATTCGACGATCATAACAGACATGGCGTGTGGCACCAGTGTCTATCCACCACCCATCTGATCCACCAGTAAGGTTGATCTCAGTAATCATAGCCACAAAAGGCTCTTCAATCATGCTAGCCTGCGCAGGCACAGGGTTAGGCATGTTCCTGCACTTTCGTGCCATATGGCCTGGTTTTCCACACCGATAGCACAGAAATTGACCAGTACCATTCTTAGGGGGTTGAGACTGTTGTCTTCCATTGTTCTTTTGAACATTCGGTTTATTGAAGTTATTCTTCCGGTTCTGAGGTTTGAAATTCTTACCAGCAGGTTTAAGTACTGCAGCAGATCGCCTAGGAGCATTATTAGCAGAGATTTGTAAAATCTCTTCCTTTAGATCCTGTTTTCTGGATTCTTCTTCTATACGTAGCCGAGTGATCAAACTCTCTAAGGAGAATTCCTTAGTCTTATGCCTGAGATTATTTTTGAAATCTTTCCAGGAAGGAGGCAGCTTGTCAATAATAACAGCAATTTGAAATTGTTCATCAAGGGTCATACCTTCGGAAATTATCTCATGGGCAATTTTCTGAAGGTCGTGAGACTGCACTTCCACGGACTTATCATCAGTCATCTGGAATTTTAGGTACCTACTGACAGCATACTTTTTGGCACCTGCTTCTTCAGTATCATACTTTTTTTGTAGGGCATCCCACAAATCCTTAGCAGTATTTTCCATATTATAATAGTCATAGAGGTTATCAGACAGACCATTAAGTATATAGTTTTTGCACATGAAATCAGTTTCATTCCAGGTTTCGATTTCACTATTCAAGTAAGCTAATTCATCTTCAGGAGCATTATCAGGAATAAATGGCCGAGGGGCTGTTAAGGCAGAATTAACCTTTTTGACAGTTAAGAAAAATTGCATTTTCTGTTTCCATCTTTTAAAGTGAGCGCCCTCAAAACGAAAGGGCTTGTTAAGGTCAGCAGACATAGTCATTTCTTCGGTAGACATAGTGTTCACGAAGGCAGAAACGATTGTTCTAAAATTGTTATAAACGGAATTGCACAAATAAAATAGTAAGAACAATGTTACCGAGAATAAGACTGAGTCGCGGACTATGTCGCTCTCTTTAGAACATTCGCGGCACTGCCTCAAACTTGTGCAAGCAGCTCGTACCAAACCGGATGCCCCCAGGATAAAACAGTCTTTCACAAGTATAAAATACCGGCGGTTTTGCACCGAACCACCGGACAACGAACACCAGAAAATCAGAAAGAAACTGCTCGACTGTTTTGAGAGGAAGAGAAAATATATTTTGCAAAGTGGTTTTCTGTATTTTTTCGTGTGTTTAAAAACAAAGCTGGAACCGTCCTTTTATAGGTAAAGATACGTAACAGCTTAAGCATGAAAACGGGAGAAAGATTAGCAACGTTTACTGCAATTAGTGTATCCGTTAAGCAAGAATCAAGGCATTAAATCAGTGTAACGGTGCAACGTTTAGCAGTAAAACAGCAACGAGAATCAAGCAATGTAACGGAAAAATTTAAACCAAAACAGTAAAACGTTTTGTAACTGAATATTAATCAAACCGGTAACAAAAATTAAGTTTGTTTAATAACCCAAACCCGAACCGACCCAGCCCAGCCCGGCTCGGTTCGGCGCGCGTGTGTGTGATATATGGTTTACCATATAGGTCCTCCCTCTCCACAAAATGTGGGTAGCCCAAGGGCCACACCCCTTTAGCCCACTCTCTATATTATAAAGAGAGTAAAACTCTCATTTCCCACCAACGTGGGACTTTGAGTTTTTTCACAAAATTCACACACTACACACTTGTTGTTCCAACAAGAATCAATAAGGTTATATCCATATTTTCAATGTATAATAGGACTGCAGGAAACCATTTAACCTCATAATACAGTTGCACAAATTTTTTACAGTAAATATTTTTTAGCCTGTAAAATAAAGAGCTAGCTAAAAAAAACATAGGTTAAGATGGAGCAGCTTACTATGTGCAAAGACCATGGTTGAGAATGAATGGTAAAGAGCAGTGCCTGCTTGATGTAAGGGAGGGCCTCGAAATTCTTCGTTCACACGATGTTCAAGAACCCAGATTATGAAAGCAATTAACACAAAGAAGCAACAGGTCATAACCCAGAGATCCCAAGTCAGTGGCTTCATAAACAACCATGTTCTCTTTGTATGGTTCTCTTTCACTGGAACAACCATTGTCACACCAGATTCCGTAAATGGGAGTGTATAATCTATATATAGTGACCTGTTTGCTACTATGGTCACATCTCCAACAACAGCATCATAGTCCTGTCAAATAGAAAAATAGTGAATCATTAGTTTATTACTCCCTAAAATAGATATACATAATTTTAATCATACAGAAACTAAGCTGATATACTCATAAAAATGTTCTGTACTCACCCCAAGATAAACCTGGTAAGTCAAATCATTATAAGAACTCGAGGCCGTCTCTTTCATTTGCCAAAAAGGAACATATTCATAGGAAACATAGTATGGAAGCTTTGCCATAACAGCATCGAAAACATCGATGCAGTAACCAGTGACTTTGGTAGTGTCAGAATCAGGATCTTTCTGCACTTTCACAAATTCAGTAAAGCCATCCTTGACAGGAACTCCAATTCTCAACTTTTTGTCACTTGCAGGAATGCCCCAACCTTTAGGAACAGAAAAGGTGTCTCCTGGCCATATGATAGCTCGTAGATTAACCTTTGATGTGGAATATGCAGAACCTGCAGAGAAGTTTACCTTCAGGTCTTTCATTAGTCCATTTTCTGCAGTCCAAATTCCGACATCTTTCCGTCCATTTCCAACCAAATTTATGATTTGGTAGATGGATGGTTTTAGTTCTCCTTCTTTGTTGAGGCTAAAATCTCCTGCAAGACCTCTGAATTCAGTTTTCGATACAGCTTGGAGAAGCTTTGGCCCAATGTTGGAGACTGCAATATCATCTAGATCAGTTGAAGTGCTATTAGTTTTACTCTTCTTCGATGAACTGAAGTCGTTAAAACTACTAACAAATGCTTCCTCTGCTGCTTTAGCTAGAGCAAAAGTAGCATCATAAGCCCATAAACCATACACATTTGGGTGATCATGCTTAAAATTCATTGACCATCTACTAGTAAAATTCTTAAGCTCTTGTGTCCTTGGAACATAAGTCTTGACACCCAACACCCCTTGCATTGATTCGAGGGCATTATAATCGAAAGATTCGAGTAAATCAGTCATCCCATTTGTCAAAAACCAAACATAGTCTTCACTAATCATCCCTGCCTCTTTAGCTTTAAGAAACAACCTAACTCCTGTATTAGGCCACAAATGAACAATGAACACCCTTGTTTGCATTGTTTTCAACTTGTACAACTCTTCTAAGATCTGATCATCGGTTGCTATTGGAGAAATGACACTTTGGTATGGCATACGCGTATTGATTCCTTGTAACATGTCAACAAGATCAGGCATAATGCCTCGACCATATTCATCATTTCCATGTATTGGCACAACTTCTTTCCAACCAAATGCTTGGATAAGCGCCCCGATGGCTCGTACTTGATGTACGTCATTTTGAGTAGCTCGGATGAAGTAAGGACTTCCTAGAGATGAAAGGAAAGAACTTGTTGCAGAGTATGAGATGATGGGTACTTGAGCCTTTGTACCAAGATTTATCACAAATTGGGTTTCTGTTGATGTAAGTGGCCCTATAATTGCCTTAACTTCAACATCATTGATAAGATGAATGGCTGCAACACACAAGTTTAACAAATTAAACGATTAACATTAACATGATATCCTTAATTAATCCTTTGACTTTGAAAATTACTCTTTTTGTAAGAATAGTGCAGGCAGTGCTCATATATAATTGAATGAACAAGTATGTTTAATTAATTTTCAAATAAGTACTTGTATTTCATTTATCCGGAATTATTTGTCACGGGGCATAAATTGTTCGGAAAAAGTTGACAAATCTCTTAAAATTGCGCTCTGCTATGATATTGTGAAGATAACAAGCATAGCATACTACTATACAAAGAAATAATATTGTAAAATCAGTCATTATAATTTTCATATACAATGGAATAGGATACTGTCACATCTAATTTTATTTTCAAATTTATACGTAACCGTAATAATAGTATATTCTACAGTTAGGTGTAATATTACAACTTTCTAACGTAGGTAACACATAGCCACATAGAGAAGTACGTAATAAGATGTAAATAAAAAAAAAAAAATTACACCCGTCGACCGTTTCTAGCGTCAACTTCTAAGTCTTATTCTAATACGAGTAGCAATTATTAATTAGCTGTTAAACTTGTCCTAATCAATACACTTTTGACTTTTCACATGGGTCACTAGATACTAAATACGGAGTACCTTACCCAAAATTTTGCATGCATGTTAGTTTATCCTGTTAAATTAGTGTGCGGATGATAAGTGAGATGCCACAATTAATAATTTTAATTAAGGACTAATTAAGTAGTGGCATCTCAATTATTATTTTCAGCGACATTGATCTTATAACTATGACATAATTTTGGACTGTAATTTGTAATACATCATTATAAAACGGAATAATTTTGTCTAATTGGACAACTAGACCTATGTATGAAGACCATAACTACTAACTAGCTGTGTGAATTTTCCTATACTAGTCAATAGTCGTGATCCCAAATAATGTATTTTCATGTCATCATTTCAGTAGTTGTTAAAAATAAGCTCTCAATATATATAATCTCTCCTTTCTTGAAAGTTCGACAAACTTTGTATTTGCACGGTCTCCAATGCACATTTTTTACCATTAATAACTTCGGCTATATATACGTAAAAAGTTTAAAAAGTTGATATTTGAAAATTTTATCATAAGGGGAGTCAAATAAGATCAAACTTGTTAATTTATTTTGAATGTATAAATCATAAAATGTGGTCAAAGTTATTTTATTTTGACCACTAAATAATAAGTGAGTCGGAGTTTCTGGAACGGAGGTAGTATATATATATATATATATATATATATATATATATATATATATATATATATATAGAACGAGTATAAAATAAGCATAAACTCCCCAGTAGGATATTTCTATTTTGTACTATGGTTAGCATTTTTTTTTTCAAAGGATAAAAACGAAACATAATTTGCTCATGAATTGATCGAATTTATCTCTATGATACTTTCGTATACATATATAAATTATAAATAGCGAATTTTGTACTCTTGCTATGTTTTTAGTTTATTGGTATAGTAAATGTTATCAATGCTTTTGTACAAATTGTAAAATGGCTTAAGGGCCTAATAGAACCTCCCCGGCCCATTCACGGGCCGGATTCAAAATATATATACACGCAGAAGCCAAAAATCACGTCTAGCTGAACCAATTGAAGCGATCCTTAATTCCTTGTATACGTATGATACATTGGAGAGTATAAATTATCATAAGCCCTATGCACAGCTCATTTTCAGCCCTCTCTTAGAGAAGGTGATCTTAGTTCCAGGATATCTTCCAAAGATTTAAAAATAAAATAAAATAATTTGGAAAAAATACAAAATTATGTGAACCAAACATAATTGTGCAGTAGATAGTCCAAAATTGTAAGGGTGAGGTAAAATTTTTAAAAAAAAAAAAAAAAAAAAAGATTTACGTACCAGCAGAAGCAGCACTAATAACATCATAATGCTTGTAATCTTTGGTATGTAAAACTAGCCTGGTGTTGTAATTCTGATGAGTATCGTAGAAGCTCGAAAGCGCCATTTTTATGCATCTATAACCCATCTGCCCAACCCAATAATCTTGTTCATCCAAGATCAATCCCACATTAACTGGTATAATCTTACTAAGCAATGATCTCTTTTGCAACAACTTTGTAGCAGCAGTAATTGCAGTAGTTTTGCTATTTCTTGCTAATAATGCTAGTGCTGCGTTTATAAGTAAGAGATTTAGGAAGATTAGGCGAAGAAACCTCATCTTTGGAACTATTATTGTTTTGCCTTCTAAGGCCTCTTTGTTTGGCTAGAAATAAGATTTTTGTGATGTTTGTGTACTCTTATATACAAGTCCTATGTATGTAGTAGCTAGGCTGAGTAGCATATGAAAATTCTTTCTTGCCCATCTGACGTGTGGCAGAATATTAATATGTACTCCTGTTGGTTCTCAATATTCGCAATAGTTTCACTTCACGTAATAATTTTGAATAACTTTTTTACTATTTTTACAAAAAATAAATAATATTGTGTAATATATAAATTAAATATATTGTTGGATTAGTCAGGACTCCAAATGTATACATTAGTATAGAGTATATTGTATTGTACTTCATAAATTACATAAAATTTATATGTAGTAGTCAAATTATTATGTATGTATTACTATTAATCAAACTGTTTAAGCATTTAGGAATACATGGAATAATACTTTTAATTATAATGCAACCAATTCAATCAATATTAATTATATACAAACTATTAATGGTTAATGATTCATTGATATGACAATAATTAAACTTTAAACCCCTACAACAAAGTTGAAAGGATGGCATTTGACCAACTTGATCAGCCTTGATTCTCTGTTATATTCTAATATTTGTATATGTTAAATTTATCATATGTGTCCGTATGTAATATATGTATATAGTTATAATACAGTAAGCTCAACCAATTGGCTATTGGTGTAGTGGTGATTGGGCCTACACTTGGTAGGGAGAACCGCATGTTCAATCCCCACCACAACAATTGGGAGGGAATTGGAACCTAACCACCCACAACTGATTCTCGAATCCTCATTAGCCCAAAGGGTGAATCGGGTGGAACACCAAAATAAAAAAATAAATAATAATAATAATAATACGGTAAGCTCAAAGAAGCTGTTTAAATTAATATTTTGTAGTTTTGAGTTTTGACAGCTACTAAGTAGGTCAATCAAGCCTTTCAAAGAAAGTCAAATTTAGAGCTCGCACCCATGCAGCCAAGCTGACACGCATGTGGGACGACTGTGGATATTATATACGATGCTCAATCAAGCAACTACTACGGAAAAAGGGAAGAAAAAATAAGTTAGGGTTTAGTAAGGGCAATATTGACCCGTTGCTTGAAATGATGACGGTTTTGATAATTATGAATGTTGGTGTTTAATACCCCATAAAAAATTACAATAAATAAAAATTTTGTTGTACTTTAGTAATGCAGTCTTTGAATTCCTAAATGTGTTCTCACTGATCAACTAACCCTAGCAAGAAGCTAGTATTGTATTATTACACTAAGCCTAGTTAAGCTTTCAATTAAAATTGTAATATTAAATCTCCAACAAAATAAGAGATTAAGACGAAGTAGTTGAGCATATTATAAACAGATTAGGTAACAATCTTGTTTTAGAATATAACTTATGATGTCTTATGAAAGAAAGGACAAAGAATAAGTCAAGAACACATTTGAATATTCCTTGAAGATAGCCAATAATCTCGGGTTGACCAGTTTTCTAATCATTCTGTCCAGTTATATCACTTTTTGTGAATGTATACATTAAGAAGACTAGAAGAGTAATTCTTTATTATTGAGTGTTGACTGAACCCCTAACTGTTTCTTAATTACTCGTACATACGTAGTGAAATTACACATAGTTGGACCCTAAGTTGCATGAAAACAGAAACGAAACATGGAAACATAAATTCAAGAAACGCTAATTCAATTTTCAAAAATAAGAAATATGGAGAATTTAAAATTAATATAAAATTCACTCTAAATAGAAAATATTACGAGTGTAGTTGCTTAATAAAAGAGAAAGATATATTTTAAAATAAATAAATAAATAAAAGAGAAAGATATAGAGTGAGAACAATGAACACAACATTTGGGCTATATTTACCAAAACCTTTTATATATACACTCGAGTGCACATAGTGATAGGTGCACCAAAGGTTTTTTTTTTTTTTTTTTTTTTTTTGCTCATTTGATATATTTTCTCTTTTTTTTTTTGTCATTTTTAGATTTTTAAATGAAAAAAATATTAAATGAATAGTAAATACATTGGATACACCTTGCACCCAAGTGATGTATATAAAAAAAACAATATTTAAGAGATTATCACATGCAAAAGATTGAAATTTTTTGTGGGAGAACATTATTTCCTACACACACACAAAAAAAAAAAAAAAAAAAAAAAAAAAAAAAAAAAAAAAAGGTCTTTGATCACTATGTTTGGTTCAAGTTTCGAAAACCTGAGTTTTAGAAACGAAAAGTAGTGTTGAAAATAGAAATGTTGACCCTAAAGTGGCCCAACTCCAGCAAACAGAGTTAGTTTATGTACACTTTATATGTTGGATCCTGTAACCGCTATTTAGATGTCTAAAATATTGTTCAAAATGTGTGACAAAAATACTATCAGCGCCTACATAAATGAATATATTTTATACCTACTGACACACCATCTTACCACGTACATATAATGCAAATTGAGAAATTTGTGTCACACATTTTAAATTGATCGACAATAGTTGTTCAATCCAAGATAGAACTAATAATGATTAAGGTCGGGATTTTAATTGACTAGGATAAAAGAGAATAAGGGTGTCAGCTTATTACAATTCAAAGTTATAGAGTTACATATATACTTCCCTAATCCCTACTAGGTTTTTGAAAAATAAATTAAGAGTTGTTATATTAAATTAAAGTAATCTGATTGTCAACCAACTTGAATGATGTCTAATTGTCTAGTATACATATAAGAATATCCGTCAGCAAGCTATCAAGGATATCAATAATCTACTGTAACTGTTGTGTTAATCTTCCATGAAATAACAAGGTGTTTGCATTGTTCAATTTATTATCAAACTTAATAATAATCTCTTCTTCTTCTTCTTTTTTTTTTTTTTTTTTTTGACAAAAATATAGTATAATATTCTTCAAAATATGAAAACGATTGAATGGCTTAATATTTGCCACGTACATAAATTATACTCTTCGTATTTTCCTTTTTTTTTTCTCTCTCTAAAGTCAACTTAATTATCATGATTCATTCATGAGTCATGACAAATTGATTAGCTAATTAAAAAATTGAGGAAAAAAAATTAGATTGGATGATGCAATACTTATCCTTGTAATAATTTTATTAGTGTGAATAGTGTCTTTAAAGATAGTTAAGATACTTCTATGATTGACGACTTGGTCAATTCATGATGAATTCTTCCCCAAAACATACGATTACTGGACTAGCTAGTAGCTCGATTGATATATTTATTTATTTTGACGTCCTAAAAGAATATTTGAATAAAATATATCAAGTTACAAAAATGATCAAAGGTTAAGCAAAGAACACATCACTTAAAATAATGGATTTTTTTTTATTTTTTTTTGGGTAAGCTGCTAGCAATTTTATAATCAGTTATCAATAAGCTATTCATGACTGCATGAGCACATAATGGGATAGTTCATGAGGGTAATGTTAAATTGTTAATCCTTACATGTTCAAGCCCAAATGGGACTAGCTTAGCCAAATGATAAGCCATAAGATTGTCATATCACTCGATCACTCTGACTGCAAGCTTTCTCTATCCGTGAGGATCTCACTAGAGCGTCTTCTACTTCTAATAGGCCATGAACTAGATAATAATCATTCTCAACTAACAAGTCCATAAGAAGTGATCCCGTTTTTTTCATTGGGTCCAGGTAGATCCCTAATGATATATGATCACGACACCAAATAAAATGAGTATACTATTTGCATAGATAAAATATCCTCCAGCAAAGTGTGCAAGGTAAATATGATGTCTTCATATCTGTTCAACTGTGCTGCTTGCCTAGTCGATAGTCATTGCCATCGAAAATTATGTTAACAACCATAAGATTTGTATACAAAGAACTAAATATATATTCAAAGGCAATGAGCAATAATGGGTATGTTAGTTTAATTTATTTATCTTAATGGTAAGAATGGTAACCTAGTTTAGTTTAATGGGGAGTGCTACATCTTTATAGACTTAACTACTCTTAAACCCGTGCGACGCACGACGGTTTAATGTATTATAATAATTGTTTTTGTATTTGTATTTTTACCTAGTATTTTAATTTCGTATAAGAATAGTAGAAAATATTTTAATAGTAGTGTCAAATTCAAAAACCCGCAGGTTGCGAAATGAAACAAAACCAAAATTCTAAAATCCACTAGTTGCGAAATGAAACAAACCATATGCGATTATACTAATATGAGAAATGTTTGTTTCATATGGTTATCGAATTTCATTGAACATCTATTCTAAAGTTTCATAGAAATACTTACAACACTCTAAATCCATCATAATGCCAAATACTTCTATATATATTTAAACTCAATTCATATAAACAAAACTTATATGAAAACTAATCAAAATTCTCATAACCATAAATTGATACATTCTATATCAAGCATCAAATTACAAGTTACTGATTAACTATAGTTTTTAAATTGTCTTGATTAATGAAGATATTTGACATCAAAATAAAAAAAATGCAATATAAACCTAAAAAATCCCAAAGCAAGCAAATTGTAACAAATAAAATTAAAAAAACAATGATTAATTAAAAACCAGTGATAATTGATTATATTTCAAAATGCAATATAAATTAATTGATAAGTGAACCAAAACTTAAAAAATATGGAACTTTCAACAACGGCATGTACAATACTTGAAAATAAAAGAATCCATTTTAGCATAAAATACAATTTGTTGAACAAAATAATTCCATCCGAAAGTATGATTAATACTGCAAAAAGAATCATCCATTTAAAAAGTATGAGTATGCTAAGTGATGACCACAAAAAAAAAAATCAATGCAACAATAGCATCTGTGAACCATATAATTTAAAGACCCAAACTTAAAACCAACAAATTTGTCAGATTCAAATTTAATTTATAAGTTCGTATCTGAATTGCAATTTGAGAAATCATATAACAACGACAGCAAAAAAAAAAGAACCTTTATCTTGACAAATAAGTTGAATAGAAACTTTGTCGCAATTACTTTATGAAACTATGGAATTGCCTTAAGTGCTTTGCAAGGAATAATAATTTAGAATGTATCATGTGGTTTGATCGAAATTATAGAATATTGAAGAGGAAGAGAAAGGAGAGGACAAGAGGTAAGAGGGAATGAAAGGAAAAGATTTCCAAATTGGAAAATGAGGATTATTGTTTGGAATGGAAATTGGAAATCAATATTATGTAGTACTCCGTACTATAAAAAAGAAACTAAAAATGTAAGTTATTTATATTATTTTATTTTTTTAAAAGTTATGTCTTTTAAAAAAAATTCAATATTTTTTTTTTTTGAAAATAGAATAGGAAAAGGCCACATGGCACTTTAAAATTCTTGTAAATATTCCTGTTTTAAAATAGTATATAGATATTGATAAGCATTGAACATTTTATTTTTTCGGCCCAAAAATTTAACATATCTTGAGGCTTCTATTTGCCTATTTGTAAGATTATAGTTGTCATTGGGCTGGGCCTAAGTTGTTAAATGGGCCAAATTCTTTATATATTGATAGTATTTGTAGGATAGGAAGTATTTATTGATAGTATTGAAATGATGGTAGGATAGGTAGTTAATACAAGCCATTTTCTTATCCATGTATAATTTCCTTTTTATTTTAATTAATATATACTTGTGTAATTTATAGATACAGAGTACACACTATCTGGTATATATTCTGTACGGCCGTACCTATCTAGCAATAGATTTTAAAGATTTAACTCCATTCAAGAATAAAAAACATTAAATATTTGTATAACAGCGGACTCATTAATGGAACATATTTTCCATCGTGATCTATCATTATGTACAATGATTGGTATATGTGTTTCATATCACAAAAAAGGACTACGTATTAATATTAATATTACATCTAATAACAATTATGTTATGGAATTTGTACTTACTTTTCATAATCCATTAAATTTACTAGTTTTGTATACCTGGGTTTACTGACATACAATTCCATGATCTTCAACCTAGATTTCAATGAGAAACTACTGGGATAGTACAAAACTAATTAAATAAAAATAAAACAAACAAAATACTCTTAGATTATTATTCTTCGAACAATACTCAATACGAAATATGTTAGTAACCAATTAATCCATATTCAAACTTAACAATCTTTATCAAAATATACTTAGATGTTTTGTTATTAACAAATTAATGTATGCTGAATATATTCCGATTTTCAACAACACAATTGTAAAAACGTAATAAAATCAATACATAATTTAAAATTTAAATTACATATCGAGTATTAAAATTACGGAGTATTCCATATTGAATACCAAGCAGTCAACTTACCAAGTATATTCAAGATATTGGATAGAGCATGAATCTTTGTTTACCATTTTCATCAATATCCAAATTGATAACATAACATCCTTCGAAATTCAAAAAAGTTACTCTTTACAATAGTAACACGAGTAGGAGTAACACCAATAAATAATTTATGCGTGGCAACATTTTAGAGCAAGACTTCCTTTGTACACCAATCGACCGTTTCTTTCTTCCCTCTTCCAAACTTGAAAAACCTCTCTTTTCTCTTTTCTGATGACTGCTATAAACCCAGTTTTACCATTTTTGGTAAGAAATCAGAACACCATTTCTCCAGAAAAAAACCCAGAAGAACAAGAAGAAGAAGGAGGAGAGAGAAATAGAACAATGTTCTACTCACAGTGTCTTCTATCAAGTAAAGGACCATTGGGTGCTATTTGGGTTGCTGGTTATTTCTACAAACGCCTCAAAAAACGTCAAGTTACTGACACTGATATCATCACTTCTGTTGGTTTGTATTCTCCTGTTGTTCTCTCTAATTCTACTGTTATTGAGATTTATTGGTTTTGTTTTGTTTAAGTTTTTGGTTTTGTTGGAAATTGATTGGAATTTTATGGTGTTTGTTTTATTGTAATTTGTTCTGCATTTTTGTGATGTTGTTTTAGGGTTTGACTTTGAAAGTTTAGAGATTTAGTGAGCATTTTTTGCCTAATTTTTTATTTATTTTTATGTTAAATTGTTGGTCATTTTTTGTCAAATTGTTGAAATGGGGGGAAAATTGTCATCTGGGTATGTTTGATTTTCTCTCATTGTTGCTCATTTGGATGTCATTTTCCTGAAAATTAATTTATTGGGGTGATTATTTCTGTTTGTGATGTTTTTGTTGGTGGTTTGGTTTTGTGAGGAATTTTAATTTGCTGAAATTTCATAATTTTGGCAAATAAAGATCCCCTTTTTGTTATTTTGTGAGAAATTAATGCGTAATGTTGTGTTGGAAATGGGAAATTATCTTGCTTTTGCTTCATTTGAGGGTTTAATTGAGCGAAAATTTCATGTGGGTTTTATATCAGAGATATTCTTACTCCACCAGTTAATGCTGTTTCTAAAAGTGATTATTGTACGATCCTGTTAAGTAGGTTAAAGTGTCTCTTTTTTTCTTTTTTCTTTTTTTTTTTTTCCTTTTTTTTCCTTTTTTTTTTTTTTTTTAAGTTCTGTGGTACAGATTTTGAAACTGAATTGAGAATGAAGCACTTTCTTCGTGTGGTATCTACCATTAGCATTGTCTTTACTTCGTTGTGCCAGATCTCGAGAATTTAACCTGCCTTCCTTTGAGGATTTCCATTGCTTTGGTGTTTGGTGATTTATGTTTAAGCGTAGAAGTTTTAAGTGTAAGACACTGTTGGGGTGAAATGAAGAGTGAGGAACATAATCATTTAGTTGAGGCATCTTTTGCTTGTTGGCTGATCTGCTCTCCGTGTTATGAGTTATGACTAAGTTGACGTCTCTTGGTTGCTTAAATTCAATTACTTGTATTAGCTTTGCTGATTTGTATTCCGAAGTTGGCTCTAATGTCTGCTTGCTGCTGAACTTAATTACCTCGCCATTGGCATTAATTAAGCTGTCAATTTTTTTTGTTCTTGTTCATCTAGGTTTCCCAGTGATTTGGTGAATGGATGGTTTTCTGGCCAAATTGCCTGTTAAGGTCATGATAGTGCTCCTAGTAGTTTTTAGTTACTACTGTTTTTACACGAGTATTTCACTCGGTGGTTTTTTTAAACTAAACATCCTTTTGCCACATCTTAAGGGTGAGGCCGATGAAATTGATGTTATGCTATACCATTTTGATGAAGTGAGAGTCACTTTCTTCATTTTCATTTAAATGGGTGAATAGTTTTGTTGCTTTTGTTGTAACCATACCATAGCGATCATACAGCTATAGTGAAGGTATTCGGGACTAACAGGAGGAATTTTTTTTTTTTCTAGATTTTTATGGTAGAATATCTTGATTGAAGTGGACTTTGTAGGCTATCTGCAGTTCAACTGATTTGATTTTACCTAATCTGATTTGGATTCCCTTTATATGATACTTTGTATAATTTTCGGATTTGTTTAAACTTTAAATTTTATACCCGTTGCACCTGACCTAAACATTGAAAGGGGCTTACTTTTAATATATTGCTTAAGAAATGTGTTGCACAAATAGTTAATTAGATGAAGTGACTCATTGTTGAGGTTCAAGTGATTGCTAGGTGAAGGTTCAAATTCCATTAACAACATACTTAACTTTTTTTTAATTCATATGGTAATTAAGGTGCATAAAGGCGCAATACACGGTTTTTAAAGAGTAACTAGTGTGTGTCCCGGACGATGCCCCAGATTGCTGGTTTGTACTTTGTACTTCTTTAATTTGATAATTATGTTCAATTGTTTGTATAGCTAGTGTGTGATCCGAGCGTTGCCTAGGATGTTATGGTTTTTTTTTACCTCATATATATTTATTTTCTAATCTTGTGAAGAATAAATAAATTAAATAACCTCTAATTTGAAAGAATTTATAATGTTATTAATGTGAAATTTAAAACACTAATAAAAGTTGGTTGAGATGGTTAGTGTATAACCTTTGTTTGTTGGTGGTTGCGGGTTCGAATCTAGTGAATCCATAATTGTCGCATGTACTTTGAATAGTGACATGGTGTCATATACATTGAAAAGTGCCACGTGGCACCATTCCTTTAAAAGGAACGCCTTTAGATGTCATTAGCTTCATGTTAATTGTATTTTTTAATGTATGAAATTTTCATATTTCCTCCGTTCCAAATTTGATGACACAGTTTCACTTTGTACATTATTCACATAACTTGCTTTGACTTCGTTTTTTTGATTTCATGTTGAGAAAAAGTATAGTCATGTGGGGTCTTGTTAGATTCGTTTCAACATCTATTTTTGACATATCAAATTTTTATAATTTTTTGCTAATATGTAATTAAGGATACTCACATTAGAAAGTATGCAGTGGTAAACATGTCTAAATGAAATGTGTCATCTAATATGTAATGGAGGAAGTAAATTTTTATTACATACTAGGGCAGCTAACACGTGCGATGCGCTCGCAGATCTAGCCATATCCGAAACTCTTTCGATTTGACCTTACATCACAAGCTTAGTTGTTGTCAGCAATAATGAAAGAAAATATGTAAATAAATATACATAAGAGTATAAATGCCTACGCACTATTCTTAAGAATCAAAAAGAAAAAAGTTAATTATCATTAATGAGGGTAGATAAGTAAATAAACATTTTAGAGGATATAATTGTCCAAACACTATTGATTAGAAAAAACTTGTACATATTAATGAGGGTATATATGTAAATACCATTTTGAAGGGTATAATTGACAGCACACTATTCATAAGAGTGATCTTGTACTTTTAATAAGATAGGGATTTAAAAATATTCAGCGATATGTTTTCAAAAAAAATTAAAAAAATAGCAATAAGTAAATGCAAATACAAAGATTTTACTTGAAATTATTTAAGCTAATCATTTTTGTATAAAGCAAATATATGCTTAAATTAGCTGAACTGAATATAGCCATAGTTGTTGTATGGAACACAATTCATTTTCTCAAACTATATTAATGATTGGAACGCAGCACCATCTTGTTCAATTTATGGGCTGTCTGCCTGGTTACTTTTGAAGTCATTTGCATGCAAGATGTTTCCTTTAGATTGGTTTATAAGCTGCTATACTTTTGGGTGTTAATTGTGAAGTGCTCAGCTTCTTTATACCGTCAAATATATATCCCACATTGAGGTTCATGGAAACTGGAAAGGGGTGAAATAGGATTTTTTACTAGGCACTTAACCTATATTGCTTTGACCCAAGCTTGATTTGTGGAGTTTGAGTTGAATCCAATCATCAATCCATTATAATTTTGGTTGATTTGCATCATTGTCACAAACCTCATCTGTGTATGATCGTGGTGATATTTTCTTTAGTCTAGTTCAAGAAGTCCTCTCATTTTATTGTATGCACTTCTTGGTATGACACATAGTGGATAAATTTCTACCGTTTTTGTTTTGCCTTATGTTTCTTATTGTCTAATTTATGACAGATAAAATTGTTCTAGAAGGATTGCCATCTGTTACATACAGGATTTTGGCTTATCTTCTCCTTGGCATCGTGAGAATCTACTCCAAGAAAGTCGAATATTTATTTAATGACTGTCACGAAACTGTTTCCGATATCAATAGATTCTCTGTTGGCAAAAAGGTAGTTTCCTTTAGAGATATTGTGCGATCTTCTCCTTCCATTACCCTGCCGGAGAGGTATGAACTTGATACTTTTCAACTGGAGGTTGCAGATTGTGCAAGCAAGTGAGTATAACATTCAGATTAAGATTTTTTTTTTTTTTTTTTAAATTATGTTCTCATTCACTCATTCTTTCTACAAATCATGTTTTGATTAATTAAATACACAGGTGCAATATTGCACGAAATGAAGATATTAGTATTCAAGGTACCATTGTTCTCCCAAAGATATTAGATTTTTAGTTTTCCTTGGTATTTTAATCATATATTCTTTTTTATGAAGTTGGTGCAGGGAAAGATGTTTTTTCTCAATACTCTTTAGATAAGGTAATCTTTCTTCTTTGTACCTTAAGTAAGTATTCTGAAGTTATTAGATCCATTAACATCTATTTTTAGAGGATTTCTTCTTGTAGTGTAGAATTTTATCAGCTTCCATCAGGTTTCTGAGTATTTGGTATGACTGAATTATATTTGGATATTTTCAACCCTCCTTCAGTTGATGCATCAGTAAACAGCTAAATTATATTTGGATATTTTCAACCTCCTTCAGTTGATGCATCGGTAACATTTGGATTGTTGAAAGATGAGTCACATATAATCAGCACTCATCTCATGTGTAAAAAGTTTTAATTAATCACAAGTAGTCAGTCAAACTAAAAAAAAAAAAATGTGGTGTTTGTTGAGCTCTTTTTGATATTACTTAATTCATCCTGCCTAAATCAGAGATCATCCAAATCATTTATCAATCACTCAATCAAAGTCTTATTCCCATAAGTGTGTTCGGCTACATGAGCCAAAAGTGATTATTTCGTATAGTCATGCACAAAAATCTTCCTCCTCCATCCCCTACAATCAAATACCTCGTCCTCATGCAAATCCATTTGCTTCATATCCTTCCTAACTCCTTCCAACCAAGTCATTTTCGGTCTACCTCTACCTCGTTGAAGCTCTCCATGATCCCACTCTTCGTACCGGTGTACCTTGGGTCTCCGTCTTACATGCATGAACCAACGTAGGCAATTTTCCCTTAGTTTGTCTGCAATGTCTGCAACACCCACTTTCTTGCGAATAGCTGTCCTTTATTTGTTATGGGTGACTGGAGCATCTTTGTACTTAAAATCACTCAATGTGGCATATAACTTCTTGGTTTTGTAGCATATTTTACTCTGTAAGTGCTCTTTGAGGGTGACAATGTCATTGCTATGCAACTTTGCAGCTACAATTTGAAGAGGGCTCTTCTCTCTGGGAAGATCTGAGTGATGCTCAGACATCACAAGGGGTCACTATGCAACAGGAAACTTGGTCGTCCACTCAAACACCTGATAAATCAGCCTCTGAGCGAGAAACATCTGGCCATACTCATACTCCTCCTGATAAGTATGAAAACTGATGTCTAATTTGCGGCATCAATGTTCTAAAATCTAGATTTGTTGGGCTTTACAGCTGTTACTTCTTGAGTGTAATACACATTCTTTGCTTTTGATTCAGAGTTTTTTCACCTCATCGGATGGAATTTAATGGTGCAAGCTCTCCAGACCACTTGAAGGATTTCAAAACAAGCAAGGAGAAGCTTCGAGAGTTAAGATTTACTGAAGAAGATGGTGTGGACTTTGAATTGGATGTTGAACTTCTCAATATGATCAATGAATATCAAGCACAAACTACTGATAATATGGATGAGGATGCCCTAAAGAAAGATCCAATAGAAAATCAAGATTATGTTATATTAAAAGAGAAGGAAGTGCCGTCTTCCACAGAGAAGACCCATGATTCAGAAGTTGCAAATGCTGGAGGTGCATTTAATATCACAATATCTATCTGATCATTACCTATGAACTGCATTCATTTTCTTATGCTTGAAGCTTCTGCTATATCAATGTTTTTTTTTTTTTTTTTGGGGGGGGGGGGGGGGTGTGCTGGGGGGTTTGACTTATTTAAGATCATTAAGGTGTTTGGTTGATGCAGTTACTGCTACTCCTGAGTTTATGGTCGTGCCCACTCCTGCTAAGAAGGAGAAGATTCAAAGACCTTGCAAAAGAAAATGCGTGTATGATGAAATTACAATGTTGGATAATGAGTAAGTTAATAGCTTCCACATAATTTTCATGGAAACAATATTAATTTTGGGTATTGCTTGGGATTTGGCTGGGACTTAAACCTGATGTATTAATTCCTGTCTTGATATTCCGATTATGGAACATTGTTTTTTAAAGGCTTATACCCCTTTAGATGATGATGGGCAACTAAGATATATGCAAAGATTAAGCATCTAGAGTTTTAAATTTTTATGTACTCAGACACTTTGGCAATGATTTGATAATTGGCAGGATAATGAAGCGGGTCATCAAGGGCGCAAGTGGCTTGGTATGTAAGAAAAGGAAAGCTCCTCATACAGTCATCGATTTGTGGAGGCTTCATCGTATTTCAGCCCTTCCAAACAGTTTTTTGGAGCCTTTGATACCCTGTAAGTATATTTTAATATGCTCACATTTGTATTGTAATTTTCATTTGTGTTGTGATAGACTAATAATCCATAACTCACAGGCGATGCTTTGGAACCGGAAGTCATCTGCTGTGAAGTAATGAAAGAAAGAACTGAACCATCTTCAAGTCATGCAATCGAACCTATTGAAATTACCCAAGCTCCAGTAAAGCAGCAAGATGCTGCAACTTCAAGTGCCCCCGCTGACAGTCGATCAACAATTGCTCCAGGAACTCCTATTCAGTGTCCAAATTCTGCCAGGGTTTTTGGAAGCTTCAGGGGTGCAGATTCAGATGGGGAAGGTGCTCACTCATATGAGAATAGAAGGTTGGAGGTGTCTGTGCACGATGGAGCGGAAGACAGTTGTGGTCCTAGTCTGTTGGCTGAGGTAGACCTCTTTCCACAATTTATGTTAATGTTGTTGACTTTATGGGACTAGCAAGATGGTTTATTGATAAACTGAGTGGGCAGAGTAGTTTATAACTTTAAAAGGCTAATTTTATTCATTGGACGTGTCATTTCTTCAAGGAATTGCTAATGAGTAAGATGTCATTGAAATAACTAGTAAATTTTCTGTAAAAAAAAATAAATAAATTAAAAACCTAGTATGAGGACTGCAAAGTGCCTTAGTTTGCTCAAAAGGGGTAAATGTTCATGTAAACATTTTGAAGCTAATTTCTGAGCCTACTCCTTGATGCTAATTACATTAAGAGGGCCATCTGTGTTATTTCATATCTTTAAGCCTGGGTAACTGAAAGTCGGAAACTTGTTAAATGATTTTAGGTGTCAAATAAACAGGAATAGTGCTAGGAATTGAAGTAAGTTGTATAAGACATCTAGGTCTGTCTAGAGAAGAGAGAAATGAACCTTAGTTGGCAGAGGAATTTTGATTTCACAAGAAGCTAAGATGACTTCTAGTATATTCATTGATTCATGTATTCATCTTTTATCTTGATCCATTCCTGGGCTGCCTCTAAGGTTTGTGGTTGGTCCGTAAGTACATCAATCATGGAACGCATGAACCTGGCTAACCTCAAAATGGCTGTTATTTCTTTGATTTTATTTTTATGATGCATGTTCTCACTATCTCTGCTGCTCTATTCTGATGGCGATTTGCTGCTGACTCTTCTTTTGTGAATTATTTAGATGAATGAAAATGAAGGAGATAGTCAAGAACTCCATAGGAACAAGAGTAAGCTCACTTCCTACATTACATGCTACATAAACTTTCACAGCAACAACGATAACAATGCTTAAGTCCCAAAAGTTAAATATTTAATCTTCTTTTTCATGTCTTAATTTCTTTGTACTATAACTAAAGCTTTTGTCTTGTGCTTGCAGATGGAGAATTGTCTACTAGAACCAGGTAACAACAAATGGAGATTGAAGTTTTTTTTTTTTTTTCTTTTTAATGTCCTCATTTACACGAAAATTTATAAATGTTTTTTGTTTTAAATTTATTTAGAACTGTGGCGAGATACCTGCGTCGAGTAATCCAAAGAAAGAAGCAAGAAGGTGTAGAAGGCGTTACCCTGCTACCCATTGTTAAACATAAAACCAAGAGGGAAAATGCATTGCTGTTTTTCGAAATACTGGTGAGTATTAAAAGGCTGTAGTTTTTGGGGTAAAAAATGCAGAGAGAGCTTATATGGAATTTGTTACCTAATTCTGCTTCTGTGCATTTTTCTTTCTCTACATATATATGTAGTATTAAGATTGCCAATTTCATGACCTTGGGTGGTGGATTTTGATATTTCAGGCATTGAAAACTGGCGGACTCATAAATGTAGTGCAAGAGAAAGCTTTCGGAGATGTGCTTTTGCAGGAAACTCCTAAACTTGAAGAAGCTCTGAAGAAGTGCTGATGAACTCAATAGTGCTTAAATAGAACTATAGAAGTGGTAAATATGCCAGTTTTGCAGGAACTACAGTAGATTAGTGAACTAGTTTCTTTTGTTGCTGCCTGCAACAAACACACCCAAGTAGAGTATACTTTTCCTTTTTAAAAAAATTTAATTATTAGATTTTATTAGGTGTTGTAAATATTTAGAAATTTAAATTAAATCTTATTTTTATAGACTGATCAAGCATATGCAGAATTGATTTATTCTGAAATGAAATGTGTTCTGATCAACCGGGTTTCTACTACCAGTTTGTTCCGGTATATTGCTTTGAAAAGCTTATGTTAAGTAATCTGTGAAATCATGGAGAGCAAAATTAGCACTCTAATTATACATAAAGATTTGCAAACTTAACATCAAACACAGCTCAAACAAACGCAAAACATGATTTTATTGTTCAGTGTGAAGTGTTAATGAGCATCTTCTTCCTCGCAGAATTTTGTGTACGCCTTAGGATCCATCAGGCTTTCCAATTCTGCTGGGTTACTTGGCTTCACTTTGATCATCCATCCATCCTCGTATGGACTCGAGTTAATCTGCATTATAAACCATCTTATAAATAACTACACAATGGAGCAACATTCATGATAACTGCATGTGGTAAATAATAGGTCTGCAACTGATTCAGAGTTGTACTAAACTCAATAACTCATTTTTTTTATCTTAATATTGATTGATTTTAATAACAATCTAAATTATTAATGTACCCTAGTATGACTTTACTCGAACTAGCATAAAAACAACTGAATTCAGAACAAACAATTCATTTACCATTTCAACTCCAAGTAATATGCAAACATGTTACACAACATGAAGGGAAAGACATACCAGACCAGGAGTCTCTAAAACCTTGGAGTTAACTTCAACAATTTCACCAGAAATGGGAGAATTAACATCACTGGTTGCTTTCACACTCTCCACCGATGCAAACGCCTTTCCGGAAGTTACACCAGCTCCTTCTTCTGGTAGCTCTGCAAACACCACATCCCCAAGATGGTGCTGACCATATATATTACATATGGACACCCCCACCACAAATATTTTAATTCTTTGATTCCAATCATATCGATACTAACTTATATATAAACCCAGAGTTGTAGTACTAATCATGCATTACATATATACATAAATTTGTTTTCTTTGCTAATTAAGCAGATCTTTCCTTTAGCAAAGTAATCTATAAAATTAAAATAATGAACCTGAGCATGATCAGTAACGCCAATGGTGGCCACTGAACCTTCATGTTTCACCCATTCATGTGATGATGCATACTTCAATCCATCCAAAACTGCAAAACCATTTTATAGTAGAATAATGACAACTAATATTCCACATTAAACACTATAGTTCTCTTACGCCAATAGTTTATAACAACAATAACAACAACAATAACAATAACGACAACCTAGTCGAGTTTGTACTAACATAAACCAAGAGTAACAAAATAAATGTAATACCAACCAGTGGAAAAGCATCTAGAAAGAGAAAATGCAGGGAAAGGAAGAGCTTTAGAAACACAAGAGAGGCCAAGAGTATTAGCTGTAGAAGAAGCCCACATTCTCAACGCCATTTTTGTTTGGGCTAATTCTCTGTTTTTTGGGTGTTATGTTTTTGAGAAGAAAAAAAGGTGGTGGGAAAGCTAAGGCTCTATTTCACCGTCTTTTATCATTTTTGAATGGTGGATAATGAAAGGAGGAATGCCTCATCCTCACTCACTCGTTCTTTGTCCCTCTTTTTTTTTTTTTTTTCAAAAAAACAAAAAAAATCTCTTTGGATGTCAGTTTATTTGTGCTTTTTTTTCCACTATTCAAAAGTCAGAAAGTATATGGAGTACCACATTACCACTGAATATACAACGGCAAAACTTTGTTTTCTTCACCTATATTTTTACTTTTTTTTTTTCTCTATCTTATGGTAAGGAAGACCTTGACCATATCTCAACTCTCACAATTATTTAGTCCAATATTTACATGTCAGATAATTGGGAGTAGAAGGAGAGCTAGTGAACCAAATTTTCATAACTTGGCCGGATATGCTTTTGCTACTGTATGGGTCGGGTCAAGTTCGGGTCAAAAAGTTATCTGGTCAAGTTCAGGTCGGGTCGGGTCATTTCGGGTTTCGGGTTGATTTCGGGTCGAGTGATAATCGAATCGGGTACCGGGTCAACACTTCAGGTCGGGTCAATTTTCGGGTAAACTTCGGGTCAGGTCATATTCGGGTCGATGCATTGGGTTAAATTCAACTTTGTATATATATTTACTTATTTTTTGACGAGAAACTCACTATATTTATTAAGGCTACTTTTTTAATGGAATATAGTGATTGTTAGACTTTTATTGACTTTGTTTTTTTTTTTGGTGTTTAGATTGAGAATCAATTTCAGGATCTCCTGAAACTAAGAGAGATGCTCTAACTAATTGAGTTATTCCTCACTCTCTTATTGACCTTAGTTTTAATACTCTTATTATCATTGTCACTGTTCACTGTTGTAATAATTTCTTTGTATTATTCTTATAATAATCTATAATATAATCTATGTTTTTTAAGTGCTCCATTAATTTTAACTGGACATACATTGATACATGTATGCAGGCATGCCAGTGCAGGAAATTGATCAATAATAGACTTCCTATTATAATTATCAGTAATTTACATTATAGAATTTTACCAATGGAATATTCTTAAAATATTTGTTGTGGTGGCGATTTCAACAAGTACACACAATGACACATCAGTAACAAGACTATATTTTTTCTAATAAAGACTTAAAGAGTAGTAGCGTGGATGGACGCCAAATACACTTACTCGCGTTGTGAACTTTTCTTAACCGATTCGATCAGATATATGTTATGACATGCTTCGTTTGAAATTAAATTAACTGCTAAATTGCAAATTAGGAGGTCAAATCAGCCAACATATACTCAATTTTATTTTTGTGACCGATTCAATCAAAAATAGGTTATAACATGCTTCGTTTGATAAAAAATTTATTGTTAATTAGGAATTCAAACAAGTCAACTTAAACTCAGTTGTAATTAGTTCTTAAAATTACATGCTTTAATGTACAGTAATATATGTGATCAAGTACTTAAACATAAGGGTGGAAAAGGACACAAAATTTTATTATAAAGTTGATTAACAACATTATTGTAAACCTATCCGATTCCAATCAATTTTTTTCAAACGAAACTCATAACAAAGTTTTTCCTGTTCAAGGTAATTTGATCTCAAATTCAAACTTGATAAGATTAGATTAAACCTTTTTCGGGCTACTTAATAGCTTAGTCTCCGACTCTCCGGTCTAAATTACTTCATAGGATGTCTCATCACTATTAGTCTATTATGAACTAATGAATTATGAAGTATTGCAGTTATGCAACTATGCTTGTATCTATCTACTAGTCTACTACTCAATTAAACAACTAAACTAATGTAATAAATGAATATTACTTTTTGATTGAATATAAGATCATTATCGTGCATTATATATTGATGTTTATATTGATAAAAACAAAAACTTATTCAGTTATAAACTTATAATGACTGAGTGTTGGGTAATTGGTGCACAGTTGGCCAGTTGCACACAATATGATACTTCCTTCGTTTCTTTTTAGTTGACATGTTTCCTTAGTCACGTTTGCTGATGCATAACTTCAACCATTTATATCCTTAATCACCAATAATAAAAAAAATATGAAAAATTGATATTTTGAAAATAAATACCATGACGAATGTTACAAGATTCCACATGACTATATTTTTCATTACATATAAAACACAAAATACGGTCAAAGAGGAGTGTGTGAATAAAGTCAAAACGTGTCAACTAAAAAAAACGGAGGTATTATTAATTAAGTGAAATATTCTCATATTCATATGTAAGATTACAAACACACTTGTTGATCAATTAAAAATTTTCAAAATTTCAATTTTAACAAAGTTACAACTTAAAAGTGAAAATTTAAGAGGGAAACAAAAATAAAACATTTAACTTGGTTAAAAATTGTGGGAAATTCTTCCCCCCAAATGGCTAAAACTCCAAAAGTATTTCATTGTGAGGATAAGAGGTAAATTATTAGCGGGAATACTCCCTCCAAATTTCCACGAGTAAAAGTAAAGTGACTAAATTCTAAAATACGAAAAACAAAAATAAAAGTAAAACAATAAGGAAAAAAAAAATCTACAGCCCTAGAATCTTCCTCAGCCGTTTTAATTTTTTCATTCCATCCATTACTCCATTGAAGTCCAATCTCTCTCTTTTGTCTGCACTCTTCTCTAATCTCTACACACTTCACCTCATTTTCCATTGAAGCGTTTTTTACTCAAGTGGCCTAGAAGATTTCGTATTCCCAGAATCTCAGGTAATTTACTTCTATTTCTTAGATCTCTAAAATTAGTTTTTTTTTTTTTAAAAAAAAAATCAATTGGGGGGTTTCTATGGGAAAAATCTTAATGCATTAGGTAAATTTTGACGGTATTTCTCTCTTATTCTAAGTTTATTGTGTTTTATAAGAATTAATCATATTAATTTGTATTGCATTTTGTTTATTATATATAAATCTGTGCTTTATTTTTTGGGGTTAACTTATTTTTGTGTTAGATCTGTTTTAGAGTGATTAATGAGGATAGAAATTGATGTTATGATTGATGGGGTTTTGAGCTTATTTCAATTGTCCATTATGTGGTTGGGTATGCAAATGGAAGAGTCCATTCGATTGATTAAACAACTAAACTAATGTACTCTATCTGCCTTATATAGTTATATTTGATAGGATACTCAATTCAGTGTACCATGTAGGCTGTTGCCGGATTGTGGCAATTGTTGATAATTACTTTCAATTTCGATTGCTAATTCTTTTTGCACCTTTGGCAAGGGTTTTACTATGCGTATACTACGTACTACTTCATGTACTGTGGTTAACTACTCTTATATGTTATTTGGGCATGGCACTTTACCTTTGTTTGCATCGTTTGACTAGACGTTATACTTATATGCTTTGTATGGGCTATTTTAGATTTTTAGTTACATGGTGTTAAATGTTACGGTGACCACTTTTAGAATTTTCATTCTTTTGATTATCTGTTAGTTCAAGCAAGCTGCATTCTAACAAACAAATATCTTTTATAAGTGTGTTTATATGGCATTAATTTGAATGTATATAAAAACATAAGGTTGATTTTCCCTTTTTGATTGGTTTAGATATTATTATTTTGTCTCCACTGCAACATTTCAAATTATGTATGGATATTAGTGTCAGAATTATGATTCAAATCTTTGAACATTATTGAATAAGAGATGCTACACCTTATCTTAATCTGACAATACTAATGATATTATTCTTGCTTTTTTTTGCAGCAATGGATGATCATATTATTATGACGAGCCTATTATTTCACCAAAGGGAACAAAGGATGAGTGGACACCAGAAGAAGAAGCCCATGTTCGAACACAAGAGGAAGAAGCCGGTGATCCTGAACTTACAGTTGAAAACAACAATGTGAGCACTATGGAATCTGGATTTCAAGTTGTAGAAAAGAAACGGAGTCTAGTTTGGTCGGAATTCCAAATGTTTGACAAGACGGAATCTAGTGATGGGAACGGAGGTCAATTTGCAAACATTTCCAAAAAGCATCCTTCATAACCGACCCCCATTATGGAACCCAAAATATGCAACGACATCTAAGAAAATGCAGTGCATATGAGAAATATACGAAAATCCAAGGAGGAAACGGTTCAAACAAAGGTAAAATCTTTAACCAAATTGTGTATAGAAATCTGGTAGCTAAAGCCATATAAAACATGGGTATGCTTTCTCTTGGGTTGAGCATGAGGGTAATAGAAAAAATCATGCATATTTAAGTGATGATGTAAAGTTCATTTGTAGGTCCACTGCTAAAGCTGATTGTTTAAAAATGCATAAAACTTTGAAGGCTCAGTTAAAGGAAACACTTAATAAAGTCTCTAGTCGTATCTCATTAACATGTGATATGTGGACCTCTTGTCAAACTGAGGAATATTTGTGTCTGACAACTCACTATGTGAATGATAATTGGAAATTAATTAGTACGGTGCTTAACTTTAGTCATATTGATTCACCACACACTGGAAATACCATGTATGCTGTTGTGTTGTCCATGCTTCAAGATTGGGGTATTGATGATAAGATTTTTTGCTTCACATTAGACAATGCCTCTAGTAATGATAGAATGCAAGATTATTTGAAAGAAACTCTACTTGCACGAGATGTTTTGTTGTATAATGGTGAGTTTTTTCGTGTACGATTGCACATGTATTAAATCTCATTGCTAAAGATGGAATTTAGGTCATTGAACATATAGTTGAGAAAGTAAGACATTGTGTGAAGAAGGTAAAATATTCTGAAATAAGAAAAAACACTTTTCGATCTTGTGTAAGTCTAGCTAAGATAAAAGAAACAAAATCATTGTGCCTTGATGTTCCTACGAGGTGGAACTCTACGTACATGATGCTTGATAGGGCTATCTTATATCGTGAGGCTTTTAGGGAGATGTCTGAAGTTCAAAAATGGTGTCCTACCTTTGAAGAGTGGGATGTTCTTGAGAAGATTCGAGATTTTTAGAACCCAACTATGAGATAACTAAGATGTTTTCGGGAAGTGAGTATCCTACCTCAAATCTTTATTTTGGGAATGTTTGGAAGATTCTCATACTTTTGATAGAGTTGGAGCACGATGATGATGATATTTTGAGGACAATGACAATAGAAATGAAGAGCAAGTTCGATAAGTATTGGTTTAACTCTGAACAAGATGATTATGGCACGTTATTTGCATTTGCTATGATTCTTGATCCTCGTTGCAAATTATCAGTGCTAAAGTTTTGTTATGAAAACATATTTGGAGATGTTGAGGCTACCTTGAGAGTTAGTGATCTCCATCTTAAATTGGAGAAATTTTATAAGCTATATGCCCACTTGGAACATCATCGACATTGAACAACAACACTGATATGGCACATGCCTCACATTCCAGAGCCTCCATAAGCAGCACTTCAACTGGAAAACCGCAAGCGAAAATTCGACTATTTTGCAGTAATTGTTCTTCTGTTACTTTACTCTTTTTTATTATCCTTCATTCTTAATCTATTGATTAGACTCTTTTTTACATATTTGCCTTCTATTTTTCTTGTGTTTACTTTTTCTTTCTGTCAATTATAATCCTTATGATTACCCTTCATTCTTAATCTATTGATTAGACTGTTTTTTACATATTTGCCTTCTATTTTTCTTGTGTTTACTTTATTTTTTCTGTCAATTATAATCCTTTTGATTATCCTTCATTCTTAATCTATTGATTAGACTGTTTTTTACATATTTGCCTTCTGTTTTTCTTGTGTTTACTGGGTTTTTTTCTGTCAATTATTGATTTTTTTAAGATTATAAGTTAAGTTTATGTTATAAGTTAAGTAGTTGTTATTAAGATTATAAGTTAAGTTTATGTTATAAGTTAAGTAGTTGTTATTAAGATTATAAGTTAAGTTTATGTAATAAGTTAAGTAGTTGCTATTAAGATTATAAGTTAAGTTTATGTTGTTTTGTTTGGTGATGTGTTTTATGGTTTGTCGTTGACTCGTTGTGTTGAATTCAGGAATATGACGATAAAGAGGCCTCATCTTCTTTTGGTGAGAGGTCAATATTGGATGTTTACCTTGAGAACCCTAAACTAGATCGGAAAGCGGAACTTGGCATATTAGCTTTTTGGAAAGAAAATGAGCATCGATATAAAGGCCTTTCTCATTTGGCCAGAGATATTTTGGCCGTGCCCCTGACAACCGTCGCTTCCGAATCAACTTTCAGCATTTGGGGGTCGAGTATTGAATAAATGGAAAAGTTCATCAATTCCTGAAAAATGTGGAGGCTTTAATAACAACTCGTAGTTGGATGTACTCTTTTGAAAGTAAGTATTTTATTATATTTTTTTTAAAATATGTATATTCATATTCCTACATTTTTTAGAGTTGTACATTCTTGTTTCTTTATTTTTGCATTTATAGTGTATTTGCTTATATTATTGTTTTTATATTTATGTGGCAAATGAGGATGATGGATTTTTTGGTTCTTATGTGGATTGGGCGGCGGCTCCAAGTGTTAAATGTCAACAATTTTAAGAGTCGAATATTGGAGTATAATTATTTAGAAGATTTTGTAATTTCATTTGGTATTGAACATTATGTTATGTACGCATTATTATTGTACTGTTTTTTTTTTCTAGACTTGTGAGAATTGTGACTTTTATTTCAAGCTATAGTAAATTTTTTCTTAATCTTATGGACAAACTCCGTAGAATAGTCGTTAAATTTCAATCTTTTTACGAATTTTTAATATTTTATAAAGAGAAAAGGCCGAAGAAATCGAGAAAAGTAATGCTCAAAATATGTAAATTACTTACACTGTTACACATTACAAATTAATAAAAAAAAAATTAAGTCAGTTTGATTGCGGTTATTTTCTATTTCGGTTTGCTCAGGTCAAACCGTTAGCTTAAATAGATTCTGGTCATTTCAAGTATAAGGTAATTTTAGTTCGGGTCACTTTGGGTTTCGAGTCTATTTGGGTCAATTAATTCAAGTTAAAGGTCGGGTCACTTTGGGTATCGGGTCAACTTCGGGTCTCGGGTCACTTTGGGTCTCGGGTCACCTTCAGGTCGGGTCATTTCGGGTTTCAGGTCAAGGTCGGGTCAATTCCACTTCTGGTCGGGTATGGGTCGAGTCGGGTTGATTTCAGGTTTCGGGTCAATTTCGGGTCATTCGAGTCGGATTATCGGGTTTGGGTCAGGATTGCCAGGTCTAATGGTAACCCTTAACAACTCCTATGACTTTATTACTAGGTTATATAATGTTCTAATTAAAAAAATATTTGTGCATTTGATTTATCAAATTTGAATTTATTAGAACTTTTTAGTCTAAATTGAAGTTAGGTGACTGCTATTTACTCTTATTAAAATTTATTAATTTTATTTTTCCTTAAATTAGTGAAAATAAAGTGAACAGAACGTGAACTTGTTTTTTTTAATAAAGAATTAAGGATCGATTAAGACTAAAACTCTTAAAGTTGTACAGAGTACTAAATCTTTAGTTTTAGAATGGATATAAAACAACGCATATTCTTACATGCATCCTCATGCATGTAAGATAGCTGCAACAACATGAAACGCACAACATCCTACATGAAACGCAGCCCAGCTCTACCGTTCTTCCCGCGTTAGTTTGTTTCCTTTTAAAAAAAATTGGTTTCCTTCTTCCCAATTCTCTCTCTTCTCTTTTCTTTCCTAATTCTCATCAAAATTTTCAATCAAAAATTTCATTATAATTTTATTTTCCTCTGTTTTTTCTCCTTCCTTCTTTAATTTCTCTCTTCTTTGTTTTTTTATTTTTCTCTTTTGTTTCAATATTTTGATTGAATTTGTTCCTTACAACATGGAATTAGTTGTTATTCCCGACGAGATCGTCAATGCAAGTTAGTGGTTTGTTTTGTTGATTTGTAATTAGGTTTTTTTAGGTAAGTCTCAATTGTAATTGTTTTTTGTTTAATTTTTGGTTAGCTTCGATCAATTTCGATTTATTATGTATGATTTTTGTGTGAATTTCAATTGTAATTGTTTCGATTTATGAATGAAGTTCGATTTATCATGTGGTGAATTTGTGCTTAATTTCAATTGATTAAGTTTTATCTGATTTTTGAATTCTTATGAATTGAATTTTGTTAGCTTCCATCGACTTCATCTGTGTATGAATTTCATCTGATTATCAGCATTTTTTTATCAATGAACATAATCATGCAAAATATGAACATATGCATAAGTTCCCTTAAATGTGAACATTAGTTTTTCAAAAAGTGAACATAGGCATAACAAATATGAACATATGCATTTCAGAAAGTGAACATAACTATTCAAAATATGAACGTAAGCATTGGTTTCCTTAAAGTGAATATAAGCATTTAAAAGGTGAACATATGCGTAAAAAATATGAAAATATGCATTTAAGAAAGAGAACATATGCATAAACAGACTTAATGAGAATATTTCATGAACACCACATAGTTACATTATGAATATTTGAAATTATCTATGAACATATAAAATATTGTTATGAATATAAGGCATTTAATTATGAAGAAAATAATTGAAGAAATAAAAAATAATATGATTGTGAAACATATGCATTATAAGTATTAGAAATATGTACATATTCAAAAAAAAATGTGAATATATAAATTCTAGAAAAAGAACATAATCATGCAAAATATGAACATATGAATAGGTTCCCTTAAATGTGAACATTAGCTTTTCAGAAAGTGAACATAGACATACAAAATATGAACATATGCATTTCAAAAAGTGAACATAACCATTCAAAATATGAACATAAACATTGGTTTCCTAATATGATTATGAAACAAAAAATTCAAACAGAGTATCGAAAAATTCGGACGAAAATTAATGACGAAAGCCAATGACATTCATAATAATTTACCTTTTATTGGGAGAATCCTTTTGATTTTTCATTCTTCTCTGATATCCATTGTTAAATTTTCAGTTTTTAGTAGTAAAATCATGTAGAGGAGAGAGAACGAACTTTGTTAGAGAGAGAAAATTACAGCATTGAGAAAGTAATTGCAGAAATGTATTATTGAAATTATTAAACGGTTTTCTATAAAAAAAATTATACTTAAAACCAAAATATGGCGGTTGAGAAGTGTTGAAATTGGAGTTTGGGTCGGGTTTGGGAAGTGACGGTGTTGGTAGGTTTCGTTTTTTGTTGGGTTGTGTTTTGCATAGGGGGCATTTTGCAAGTGGGCTTCTCTATGGGCCAGAGTTGCACCTATCCTAGCTGTATAAGGATGCATGTAAGACCAATTGATAAAACAATTAGGACAACCAATAATACCTTTGGAACGTGAGGCACTCGAGTCCAATAGGCCCAAGCCCAATAGCCCAAAAAGTCAAATACAAGAAGTATATACGCTGTCAAGTTTATTCTCCCAAAAAAAAAGTTTTTCCTACTGAGGTAAATCTTCATCAAACGCAGGCAGAACCTTCTTTTTCTGGGTATTTGAGTTTGAATTTGATTGAGTTGAGCAAATAATTTCTTACAAAATTCAATCAAATTGAAACCCTAAAATTAACCAGAAATCAAGAAGATGAGTGAAATTCAAATGGATGAAAGTAGCAGTGATCCTACTCTTGTTGAAATCCTTCTCAAAACAATCGGTCCTACTCGCCCTTCTCGCCTTAAACTTCCTCCTCACATTAAGGTAATCTTTAATCATCCTTTTAATTTTTTGGTATGATTTTTTTTTTTGCGTGAATTTTGTGGATGATTTGTGATTTTTTTTTTTTCTTGGGATTTTTATGTAATTGATCATAAACCCTAGGTACGTGATTTGAGGAAATTAGTTGCTGAAAGTAAGAATTTACCAATCGAAAGTTTGAAGCTAATTTTTCGAGGGAATGCATTGCATGATTCCGATGATGGAGATGATGTTTTTATTCGGCTTGCTGATGGTGGTATGATCTTATTCTGCACATTTTAGGTTTTCCTTAAAATAAAATTACTTGAATTATTTGGCACTGTATTTGTATGTGAAATTAACTGTTTATTGTCCTAATTTGATGAAATTTAAGGAAAGAGGCATTAAATCCACTTAAAACTTCTCGACGAGGCCGGTTGTATATACAGTTTTGGTGATTATACTTTGGAGTATGATGAATAAGTATTTGCATTAGGAACTAGTTAATTTAAAATCAAATGTGTGTTGCATATGTAATGGAAGTTTAGACAACATTTGTAGTGTTTCTTTAGCTAATTGGGGCTAATGAAGTAGATATATGGTGAGTAGATTTATGATTCCTAAATGATCCAAGATATATGGGATTGGCCAAGCAGAACAAGTACACTTTCTAGAGGAAGGAAGAACGAGAGAAAGATACTTGATGCCCTGAAATTTAGTTGCTAAAATATTATCTTTCATGTCATGGAGCCATCACTTTAGGTTATGCCTCTAATTGAATCTTAATTTATAAGCAACTTAAGGAAAAATAATTGCTTGTTACGGACCCTTAAGCTTTCAAATCCCTCAGAAGTCATAAGGGAAATTGAGGCAATGATTTTCTCACTTACAAATTTTCAGCTTTCTCGTCAAGGAGCACTAGGAATAGTCATGTTCGTGGGCTTAAGGTCTTCAATAATTGTCTAGGTTGGATGTAATGGGAGTTTTCCATAATCTACAATGGATTTTCTGAATTGTTCTCATAGTGAAGATGAGATTTCCAGCTGTTGTGGGTAATATGTTATGACATAGTAAGATTCATTAGAAAAACTGAAAATTTGGTATTGAGTTTGATATTTTCTTTTGGAAGTACAAGACTTTCTATGAGATGTGACTCATGTGATTAGTCTTTGTGTGCGTAGTCTTTTTTTTAATTCTTATTTATTGACTTTTTTCCCCTCCTAGTGGATGAATAAAATGAGTAAAATATTTATCCAAAATCATTTTATACATGGATAATGCAGGTTGCATATAGAAGGTATATACTTCGTTGATTCTGTTTTCCTTTTACTTTAAAGTTGGCTCTGTGTATTCTTTTTCACATCTTTTTCAGATTGCACCAAAGCCAATTGCTTTGGTGTACATGTCACATTACCGCTAAGTTTATGAAGCTCAAATAATATATATATGAGCTTGCTTTCCCTCAAAATCAAGTTGAAGACAAAATATAGACCCAGTTTTAGCTGAAGCTGTCAGATAATCAGTTTTGTATGGGTTGTGGATTATGTACCTTCCATCTTTTATGGTTTTGTACCTTTGAATGCATATCTCCTAGTTCCGTACTGTATGATTTGCAAAAGAGATCCTTATATTTATACATTTGATTAGTGGAAGTTGATAAGTACCAAATTAATTATTGTATCTAGATTTTACACAATAATCAGATAAATATGAATATAGTACCCACACACCACTGTATACTTTTCCACCCTCTAGCCCACACCACTGTATACTTCTCCTGTTCTCGGCCCTTTACCCCTGCCCCCATATACTATTAAATTGCCAAGATATTTATTTTATGCTAACAATTGTCAAAATTTGTTACTTTTAACATTCTAGAAGGTGGTGCTTGTGAGTATTGTGACTGTGTAGCTATACAGGATAATGATTCTAGCATTTTTGTCTTTAAGGTGTGGGCAAAGACTGTTGTCTTTTGACTGTTTATGTACTTTAAATATCAATCTTAAGTGTTGTGCATTATGTTTCAGATTGCTTGATTGTAGCAGTCAGACCGAAGGCACCGCCAAAGCATATTAGAGCTGGATATGACGATGATGACGAGGATGAAGACGATCTGGTTGGAATTTTTTTTATTTTTTTTTTAACTTGACTCCTGTTTTAGTAAGATGGCTTCTCACTTTCATCCCCTGCCTTTGCTTCTTATTCCTAAATGGAATGTAGAAGTTCCAGCTCCCAGAGTCAACAAGTCGATGGAAGCGGAGACTCTTTCGTATTTTACATGATAAGTTGAAGCTTCCTGGTGAGTATCTAAATTGATTTCTGTATCAACTTACCTTAAATGTGTGATAATTCTTACCTCTTTTTTTTTTCTTTTTTTTTTTCTTTTTTTATATGTAGATATCATCTTGATTGCAATTTTCTCTCTCAGCATAAAGGCTTGGGCCTTAATTATCCTATGGTTTATCATGGCTCCAGTTGCACACCGATGGGATCTTGGACCTTTATATGTAAGTTATTAATATCACCATTATATGAATGTATATAAATCCCCCTGATGTTTGTGTAATCTTGTATATAATGTCGCATTTCATGGGGTACATGTGCAATGTGACATTAGTTGCAGTTTTCCTGTTGCTTGGCTGCTTCTGTCAGGGGTGCAGTCAGAATGAGTTCAGTTAGTATAAATTCCTTTTAACTGTTTAGTTTCAATAGAATCTGTCCTGTTGTCACTTTCGTTAGGCTTTCAGTATCTGTGAGATTGAGATCAAGGAATGTCTTCTGTTGTTTCCAACCTCACTTATGTTTAATACTATTTACATTATGGAAAATATAAGGACAATATACCTTGGTTAGCAAAAGGATAAATTCATCTATTGACTCATGGGGTTCCCATTTTCTTGATGTTCACATGTTTGGAGGCATGCAACAGAAGAATTTTCTTTTACTTTTTCAGATATTATACAACTGATTTTGGCTCATGCCTGCCATTACTTGGATGCATATGATTGAGGTTCCAAGGTTTTATTTATTAGTCTATCATGTTATTTAATGTTGATGATATTTTAGAGCCTGAAGCATATAGCACTATTGCAGAGAAAATACATAGATCAATTAGATTCTGATTTAGACGGTGAAAACGGAGTCCTAGATATGCCACTTGAATTATGATTGTAAGATCAAAGTAAGAGAACTCCTAGGAAAATCTTTTCTTTTTTCTTTTTTTTTTTGGGGGGTGGGGGGGTGGGGGGGGGGATTCTTTATTTCTCGTGCAGAATTTAAATTTTTATAGTCAGAATTGGCCTGGTCAGGTGCTGCAGGTGAACCTGAGACTAAATGAACAATAATATGACAGTGAACAACAGTAGGTCAGAATCTTTATGTTGAGGGAAGACTTGGGCTATTAAGGTTGGAAGGTTATTCATGTATGAGATTCATGCAGCTATAAGGTTCAGTTGACCTGTTGGTTTAGAATTTGATCAACCTATTATCCATCAAGGGAGCTAGGAAAAGGGTTCTAAAGTGCTGCTACTATGTGGTTATTTATAGGATGAGATGTAACTTATGTAAGTATGGTTGAGAAGTGTTGTTGCTACATGTGGTCATTGCTACTTTTTTTTTTCCTTTTTCTTTTCACCTTTTCCCATCTGTGCATGAAAATCTTTTCTACAGTTGATTTTGAAGCAATTTGAATCCCTTCTTTATGCATCTCAATGCGTGTTACTGACTTTAACAAGTGAATTTTTTCATTTGTTCAGATACTCGGAACAGGATTTTTTATAATCTTTTGGAATCTTGGACATCGTCAGTCAGGCGAACTCAGGTAGGAACTGACTGATGCATTGCTGTCATCTTTCTTAAGTTGTCTGCCAATATTTTGAGTCTTACCAAATTCTAAAGCCATGCTCTTTCTATTATCCCTTTTTCCCATGATACCACAATTAATATGCACCTTAATTTTGTTGCTTTGTTAAGGATTGGTGTATAAAAGAATGATTTAGATTGTATTCCATACATCATATGTCTGTTTATGAGTCCCTCTTCTGATGTGCCCTTCTATATTTTCACCTCCACTGTCCATAAATGAACTTGAATCCTTAGTAGCTTGAATTTGTGGGACTTCATAGGCAATGGTGTTCTTTCAGGCTAATAGAATCCCTCCCTCCTTTGGTAGGGCGATATAGTTTGCTAATTGGTTATTTTTGTACTTGATTGGCATCCTAATGTCTGTCTATGCTTATATACAGTGCATATTCAATCTTCAATGAGGACTTTAGGGAACTTCCAGGAACTCTTAATGCTGACCACTTGGACAGAGACCTACGAACAGGTCAGCTATAAGTGCTGGTACAGATGCGCTCTTGTGTATGATTCTGCCGGATACCATAAGGAACTGTGTAAGTACAATTTTTTCATAGAATAGGTTCTTCTCATCTGTAAGCACTAATTTCCCTGAACCCCCTTTAAAAAAAACAGCAGCAGCAACTGAATCTTTTCTGCTAACTCTCGAAGACATTTCATGTAAATGCTGAAAATATGATCCAATGTGTGTTCAATGTTGTCTATACAGTTTTGATGATATAAAAGTTACTGTAAAGTTTCTCACTGCAGATGTTCTGGTTTTCCTGATTGTCACTATTTCTATTATGTGGTTATAATAATGCGCAAGAATGTGTTGAGAATTTAATAGTTGATACATGTGTATTCAAAGCTGGCAAATCAGGAATTTGGGGTCACTTGTAAGTTTAAGAAAAAATAGTTAACTATCTACATTTACCCTTAATTACATAACTTTCTACAACTTAACCATGCCAACACTATTTTGTGTGAAATTTTGCAAAAAAAATATCATTAACAATGATACAGGAAAGTGTTATCGTTTGGTTTACTTGGTATATAAATTATCTTGTCTTACATATTATTTAGGGACGGAGAGAGTATTTGGTTGAAGGAATCTGCGGAAATAACTGTAATATAGAATAGTCAAAGTGCAGTCCTTTGAATAAAAAAAAGGTCATGAGGAAATTTATGTTGGAATATAAGATAGAGATTTACATTAAAACACAAACCGTCAGAATTCAGTAGTACTATAGTAGTTGACCAAATTTTAAATTAAGACATAATAATGACTTTATTAAGATAGGACCATTGCACCAAAAAAATTAAGATAGGACCAAATATAATGATACAAGTCATTCGACACGTGCAGAGAACAGTCAAGTATTCCTGTAATGAAAAAACAATTTATATTACTCTGCTGTTCAGATTCGACATTATTACTACATTTTCATTTTTATTTGGAAGGACGTATCAAATTATAGCAGTATACTGTTGTTAATTAGATTCCTTTTCTTTTAGTCATTTTATAAATTTAGAAATTTCTTGTACTAAACCTTAAAAGTTACTCGTACCAACAAGGGTTAGAGGTAAAGGAGTAAGGAGTTGCTCTAGCTTAATAGGATCAAATAATGTCTAATTGGGTCAAACCATGATCATTGTGGATAAAAGAGGGGAGGCGACACATTTTTGAATGTCCAACATAAAATAGCTCACAATATAAAAATATTTAGCACATTGAATTTGAAAATATAACATCATAGAGGTTTTCATTCATAATTTTAAACAAAAATAATTGGTCTGATTGATTTTTTCAGTCTATTTTTCTAGTTTGGGACAATTTTTGAACACCCCTACTAACAAGCACAATTGAATGAGAATTATATAAAATGATTTAAGCCTAGTTTTGTTCACTTTACTTTCAAAATAAACTAAGCTTATAGTGCTAAAAAGAAAATCTTGATAATTCCCAACTAAAATAAATTCTAATAGTTCATACAAGTTGACAAACAGATAAAGGAAATAGAATGCACGCTTGAGGTATTTGAAATTTGTCTAATTCTCATATGAATTGCATTTTTACTCACTTTAAAAAAATCCGTACTCTGTTAAAAAAAAAAAATGATATATGCAACCCTTAATTATATATAAGAAGCTAAAAAAGAAAACATTAAGAATAACCAAGTATTATTATACATAATATTGCTCGACTAATGGCTTCTTCAAAAAAAAAAAGTATTAATTACTTGACATAGATTTTGTTATAAATTCTCAAATCTATATTACGGAGTATTTCACAAAGTATTTTTAATGCTCGTATTCATCTGTAAGAACTTCATTAGCATTAGTCTGATTATAGCAAAAAAAAAATATAAAATACAAGTTCTTACGTTCATCTAGGCTCTTTTTTTTTATTTTATTTTTTTATGCTAGTATATACTTGTATAACTCAATTTTTAGGTGACTTTTTTTTTAATTATTATCACAAAATGAGTAATCTTTAAACTTGAAAGAACTCCGTTATTGAGATTGGTAATGGGAGTAGCTTTCTATACCAGATAGAATAATAAAATGAAAATTATTCTTGCGCCAATTTCAACACGAAATTGTCTTGTATATATATTTAAAATACGAATAATAACATAAAATAATTATTTTTGAATCAAAAATAATTTTAAAAAAAATGCAGGAGAAGGAAATGGCACATGGTGGTTGGACTTGGACAACCCATTCCCTACGGCACGCTGCAATTAGCTTTGGTCAGTCAACTGTCAACCCCCTCTCAACAACAACAACAAATATCCTTAAGCTTTGTTGGTTTTATTTTTGACATTTAATAGTGTATCATTTTTAAAAAAATTATTGATATTTATTAGTACAACAATACTACTAGTACTATTGTTAGAAGTTAGAACAACGCTTTTTTGGTGTGGTCTCACTAGTAACTTCTGACTGATTGAATAACTCCGGCCATGTCGTGTGGCCAGGCACGTATAAAAATTTGTGTTGTTAGAAATATAAAATACTAAGCATTAGATATTAGAAAAATACTCCGGTATATCGTTTGTGACATATTTCTCATATGAATATTAGAATTGATTTGGTAATTAATATTGTTATGATATTTGGTATTATCTTATAGGGTTTATACTACGATAATAAGTTATTCACAAATTTTTATATGTGGGGCCAGGCCACACTGTGTGGCCAGGGTTACTTAGAGGGGTTACTTATTCAGGGGTTACTCGGTTGGTAAGGGATTACTTATTCAGCAGTTACATACTCGAGTACTCTGTCAGTCAGGGGTTACTCTCACACAGAAAACGCACTAACCGATTGAGTAAATTTAGAATAAGTAACCCCTAACCGACTGAGTAACCCATAAATAAGTAACCCCGGAATATAAGTAACCCCAGCGAAAACACGCTAACTAACTGAGTAAACCAAGAATAAGTAACCCTTGACCGACTGAATAACCCCTAAATAAGTAACCCCGGTGAAAATGCGCTAACCGACTGAGTAACCTCAGAATAAGTAACCCTTGGCCGACTGAGTAACCTCTAAATAAGTAACCCTGGTGAAAATGCGCTGACCGACTGAGTAACCCCAGAATAAGTAACCCTTGACCGACTGAGTAACCCCTAAATAAATAAACCCTTATAAGTATTCCCTGAATAAGTAACCCCTATAAGCAACTCCGGCCACACGATGTGGCCAGCCACTCATAAATGCGCTAACCAACTGAGTAACCCTAAAATAAGTAACCCTTGACCGACTGAGTAACCCCTAAATAAATAACCCTTATAAGTATCCCCTGAATAAGTAACCCCTATAAGTAACTCCGGCCACACGATGTGGCCAGCCACTCATAAAAAGCACCGTAAGTTATTTGGACTAGTAGTGGCAAAGCTTTGTCCTTGATCATGAGTTCATGACTAAAAGTCATGGGATCAAATACCATAAGTGGTTCGTTTTTCAGGGGTGGAGCGCGATTTTCTTATGTTTTCCCTTCACTCCCACTAAAGTAGACTTGCAAATTAGTTTAAAGATTGAGTCTTATATGTAACCTATTAAAATTTTTAAACATGTGAGATAGTAAATTAACCTAATGAGAAAAATAAGACAATAATATTTAAAACAACCCCAAAAAATAAAGAGGATACATTAAAATAGGAAGGGAGTAATTTGTAATTTATAAGTGAACAAAAACATAATGTGGCAATTTCAAAGAATGAGAACTAGCTCACCTACTCAGACACCAAGTGAAGAAAATTTAATGCCCAAGTTTGAAAAAACTATCTTTGGTTTTTCATTCTCTTCAACGGCGTGTCCACCCCCCATCCTCTTTTTATATCCACATTTTAAAAATCTACCACTTTTAATTAATTTAGGATAGTGATTGCCTAAAGGACTTTGGACCATTCATATAATAATAAGTATACTTGTATAAGACTATATAATATAATTTATAATACTAGTGTATACAATTATATAAGTATGTTTTTTAATTTGTAGGCGGGAGTTAATGACATCCAACTATAAAAAATGAGACTAAGATTTTGACTTCTTTTACACTTACTTAGCTTGTATATGTCTTGATATCCAAGTGATTAGGATGATAATGACAATAACGTGTTGAATTTTATATCTTTTTTCTTGGTTTCTTACTTTGGTTTCAGTTTTGGTTGACTAGTTATGTTTTGCTAATTACAATTAAACATGCATTCTGTTTTATGTCTAATCTCAAATTAGGATGATAATGACCGATAATGTCGTGTTTTAGTTTCAAGTCTAATCTCAAGGTGAACTATTATGAAAGAAAGTAAACTTACTCGAGAGGTTAATTGCACTTTGCACCACTATGAGTGGTTGACAATATGACTATCTCACTAGCTTTTTTTTATCATTTTCATATTATATCATTGGCTATGAATTATTGTACATGTAGCCTTAAGGGCTAATTATTAACGTTAATATGAATTCCTGTAATATAATGGCACTTCGTATTAAATTAAAAATTCGTGACAAAATTATACAACGAACAATATTATTATATTTAACTGGTAAGTAGCTCGGATATTGTTCCAGGTTGCTACTGTTGTAAACGTACAATCGATAATTTTTTTAAGGCTTTTCAAAACTGTAATTATCATTGTCAAACCAAAAATGATTTATTCTTTGAGTATTTTTTTTTTTTTTAAATTGAACCTTGTAGTTTGCACTTATATAAATTTTTTATATTACATGTTAATAACATAGTTGGTGACTGGTTAAGATGGTTAAATAGACATCTTTGTTATAAGAGGTTGAGAGTTTGAGTCTCCTTATCCTTATGTTTTATAATTTATATGTAGTAAAATTGGTTGCTTGGGTGATGTGGCGTATTATACGGAAAAATATTGGTTTCTTGGGTGACGTAATGATAAAGAATGTTAGAGTGATGATGTGGCATCATGAGAGGTTGGAAAAGTGATATGGCGCAATACAAAAGGGACTATGTGACACATCGACATTCTTAAAAATGTCTTTTAATAGATTAGTATAGATGCTTAATACCTATGATTTTCATATTCTACGTATTACATGCAACTGGTAATACTTATTACAACCATATACTCGTATTACTTTCCCTAAATATCATAAACAATTCTATTATGTACTCTGTACTAGTAACAAATTAATGAAGTTTTGGCCTAGTGATTAAGAATGAGGGCTTGTGTACGATAGGTTAAAGGTTTAAATTCTATCTCCACATCTATTTAATTTGTAATTTGTATTGCCAAAATTATTACTCAATAATTATAGTTCATTCAATTTATGAATATTCAATTTTTGAAAAGGAAAGTATACAAAATAAATTGTCTTTTTTAAATGTCAACACAATCACAAGATGATCTTAGTAAGGGTCAGACTATTTTAAAACATTTTTTGACTATGTATGTGAATAAACAAACGGAAATGATGCATGCACCCTTAAGGTTGCATGTTAAAAAGTTTAAAATAAATTATTAAAATTAAAATCTACCATATATTGCACTGATTTATACACATTTTTTATTTTCTAAGGAAATATTGAATTTAATGCTTAGCACTACAAATCATCACCAGTGAAAATTATATATCACGCTGTTTAAGTATGTATCTAGAGTCTACTCTTTTAACTAAAGATTGAAGGTTCGAACGAATGCAAATATGCAAATAATAAACACATACAAGTGATATAACTTATGTAAGCGATAATGGGGGTGTGGGGGATAGATTATGCAATTATGCTTACGAATGTTACGATATTCCATGCTATTCCCGTTGCATAGTGAACAAATCAAGTTGTAAATTATTAACATGGAGTTGGTATAGCATGGAATATCTGATCTTTAACATACATAATTAACTTGACACTTTTTAAGGGGTGTTTTAAAGTCGCACACTAGAGTAATTATGTTGGAATATTACAACATTTGCAAGTCAACGGTTTTGGGCGTCTAGATTACACGTACTATTATTGATGATTTACTATATCTAGTGGGTTTACTATATCTAAAACATTACCCTTATATTTTGGCCCCATGCATACATCATCAATCAATTATACTTATGATTCCTTTCTTGATTTTATTTAATTAAAACATATTACAAGTATATATTTAATTTATAAAGGTGACAACCACTTTTTTTTTCTCTCTTTTTTGTTTTTGGTTATTTATTTATTTTTATTTTTTTTTTAGTTTGGTGCAACAAAATTTAAATTAGTGTATTATTTTAGTTGATAGGTGGATTGGGAGAAATTAAATCAGCTTTTTTTTTTTTTTTTTTTTTTTTTTACTAACCCCACAATCTATAATTGTTCTTAAGGGATTTGGATGAATTTGTTGAAAATTTTAATTTGTTGTGGTAAGGTCAATAAAAATGGGACCATATTTGTAATTTTTATGATGTTTAGTGAAGGGAATACAAGTGTAGTATCCTCGTCCAAGCAATTAAAGCTCTTCCTCTAAGTTGGTCTTCCAATATAACATCATACTTAATCAAGTACAAATCAGATTTACTCTTATCCGACATCAAGCTACCAACTACCCACCACCAAGAACATTCTACTCTTCTAGGGTATATCATATATGTATTTGCATTTATGTATCGATTGGTATAGTACTACATAAACTCTCGACGAATATCTTGCATTAATTTGTTTTTGGAGATGATTATAACGTGTTGAATTTTTGGTATTAAAAATTGATCGATAAGTATCTCGAAGTAGTGCGTTAACATGTCACTCGAATAAATAACGATATCAAGAGAGTACCATTTCTTTTAATTTCCTCAAAGTAAAAGATACATTGATTTTTATGGTTATACATCATTGATTTCAACCATAAACTTCTCTAGTCTCTAGATATACTTTAATTAGGAATGTTTATATTACACTCTCTGTGAGCTCTGTCCCTTTGTATTCATATTAAGAATCTAATAAACTTATATTTTAAATAACAACAACAAAAAAATGTGGAAAAATCATATACATGTTTAACGGGGAATGAGGGCAAAGATTAAGGAAATAACAAAAACCTAACACCTAGTTGATCATAACCATACTCATATATATTTGTAAGTACCGTTTATTAAATTAGTATATATATGAAATAAAAGAGCCTAAAAATTATTTACACGCTCAAGAGAGGTTTTGTCGAGAGTTTCATTACATTAGTTTAGTTGATTGTTAAATACTTTAATTTTTTCGGTTCATAAGGTGAAGTGAACTAGAATGACAAGTAAGAACATACTCAAATAGCTTAATTTATAAAACTCTCATTGGATTTGATACCTTAACATTTAGTTGAAAATCAAATCTTAACCTATTAGTCTATTACCATACTTTGATAGTTTGATTGGTTAAGCAAATCTTTGATACAATTAATACCTGAAAGGTACTCCTAAGTCCTAACGATCATTTTAAGCTAAGGCGCTAAGCTATTATATATATTTACGTTGACTTTGCTGAATGATTAAGGTCTAAACACGTCTTTACAAACACAATTTTAACAATTGTCAGCGCTACTAATTACACGGAGTAGTATTATTATTAGACATTGGATCAACAACCGAGATCATAAGAACTTTGGTACCAAAAAAAATGTGTACTTAAATTGAAAAAAGAAAATTATTGGACAATTAATTATCGAGAATCTTGGTCTAACAATTATTTACACGACGATTTTGTTCATAAGTCAACCCTTTGATACTCCCTCCATCCTACATGATTGTATTACCAGGCCACTTTAATTAACTTCTCCTTCCTTCACTTTCATTTCATTTCAGTTGAAAAGTACCAATAGTTCAACTAACAAATTCATAATTATTTTTAACGCAAAAGCTAATAAGTGACTTCGGGACATCAGATATATAAGAGAATTAAAAGCGTAATTTTAACATGTAATCTAAAATTAATACTTCGTACTACTTTAGACTACTGTATATATTAATTATTTGTCTAACACCCTTGGGGCGTTCATCAACAAGATCCTTATTCTAATGAACACTGTCATAAGCTCATAATATATACGACCTTTATATCAAAAACATTTTACAGAGTTTCTTATATTATAATAAAGGTTCAAACTCTTCAAGGGAATATTAATTAGTAGCTAATTCACTTTCATACCTTTACTATTTGAAGATTATGATTTAAAATTTAGCATCAATCATGACAAATTCTTGTACATTGTGTATAAACTATAAAGGCTTCCAGAAATCATAGATTAATGACAGTTCTGGCAAATTGTTTGTTACAATGTCGGTCCATTTTGTATTGGAATTAAGAACAGATTACATCATACAAAGAGCTAAATTAAAAAGTTTATGTGAGACAGATAAGGGAAAAGAGTCAATCGACTAAACTGTGATGCCTCCCAAGATTTTAATATTTTTTTTTTGTATCTTTCTTTCCCATTACAATTAGTTAAACATCTTATTTGCATGGATTTTTATTTTAAATTGTTCAATTACCTATGAGTTTTTATCATGTTATCAATTTCTAATTTAAATGGATGTCAATTAGCTTAGCTAGTTAAAGTCTTAGGGTGGTATCTAAAATCTAAGATCAAATCTCGTGTACATCATTGTCCTTCGTAACTTTATCTACACCAAAAACCCAAAAAAAAAAAATTACGCATTTATAATATTATACAAGTAAGAAGTTATAAATCATCAAAATATATTCGATCTTAAGAATAGGGATGTCACTGGGGCGGGTCTAGTAGGAGACCCGCCCCATCCCCGCCCCGATGGGGCGGGGATGGGTCTAGCTTTGGCGGGTCGCGGGGCGGGGATGGGTCTAAAATCCATACCCGCCATGGGTGATGGGGCGGGGATGGTTGTTATGTAATACCCGCCCCGCCCAGACCCGCCCCATACCCGCCCCGCCCCGCCCCGCCTGACCCACCCCGTACCCGCCCCGCCCCGCCTGACCCACTCCATACCCGACCCATACCCGCTTTATACCCACCCCATACCCGCATAAGACCCGACTAGCCATAGCATAATACGATTAAAAAAAAAAAAAAAAAAAACTACACCTAATGAAATCTAACCCAATAACCCACTTACCCAATACCCACCCTCATTCAGTCATTCACAAAACAAAAACCCTAGCCTCTCACTGCCTCACTCTCTCCTCTCACAGACTCACAGTCTCACAGCTCACTGCGCTGAATCTCTTCCTCAAGCCTCAAACCCCTCTCTTCGATCCTTCTTCTTCAACCTCGTGGTCCTCGTCTGCAATCAAATCTCTTCGATCCTTCTTCTTCAACCTCGATCTTGCAAGGCTGCAACTCATTCAATTTAGGTAAACGTTTTCGCATTATTATCTTTGAATTTTCTTAATTCAATATGTTCAATTAAGAATTTCTTAATTGGGTTTTCGATTGAAAGTATGTGATTCGTCTTTTATTTATGATTTGTTCGATTGCGGTTTTCAATATTTCATTTGATTGAGCTAGGGTTTCGTGTTATATTTGTATGATACTTTCAATCTAATGCAATGTAGTTGATTACTGTTATTTTTTGTATGATAATGTATGAATATGATGACCTCTAAATTTTTTAGTTTATTAGGGTTTTAATCTAGAATTTTCATTACTTGTTTTTTTATATTTAATTTCACAAAATAGATATAATAAAGTCGAAATATGTATAGATTGTAATTAGTTTTTCTCATTAATTTCAGACTTATAAGTTTATGTTTATTATTTTAGCTTATGTGTGATAACTAAATTCGGATTATGTCATTGGGGGAAGTTGGAGCAATTTCTATTGAGAATTGTTAAATAACCCAGGTAAGAATTTTCTTCAAATTTTGTTGTATTCTTTGTTATTGAGATTGTATAAAAGCGTGAGAAATGAATTTCAAACTATTATCATAGTATCATACTATTGTTGTTATACTGTAATTTAAGTAGTACTCAATATTGATGAAATTGATCACAATGTATGCAAATTGAGTTGGGGTAATGAAAATGTGGATGGATAATCAGGTGCTGATTTTGGTGGTTAAGAAAGTGGGTGTGTATAGATAGAGTGGAAGAACAGGTTGGATCTTTAATGTCGTAAGCTGACAGCTTTTAAGAATGAAGACTTTGAGACACCAAATTGTACAACTACTGTACTATATTTTGATGTCCTTGTGTTTGTGTTTGTTGTCTCCCTCTTTCTTACAAAATGAGAGTACTAAATTTGGTGATGCTGTTGCTGGCAGCCAGTATGTAGTGGTTAGTGACTTAGTGTGATAGGTGGTTAACTGGTTATGCAGCAGCAACAATATATTAACATAGCAGTTACAGTATGACATTATGCATTGATAGGCCTTTCAACATGATATCTTCCGATAGCTGTGCTAGAAGCATGATCTGCCTTTGCTGCTGTGCATTGCTAATTTGCTATTATTAATTTATTATTGCTGTTTCTGAGATGTCAAATGTGTTCAATACTGTAGTCAATATGTCTAGTGCATTAATTGTCTTTATTTAATTTTTACAGGGGAGAATTTGTCTGAGATGTCAAATAACGCTAGTGTTCCCACTTCCGCTAGTAATACTCCAATTGCAATAGATGATGATGAAAGTCCTCTAGAGACTAATTCCGATCCTTCTCTCCTACCAATTACTAGTAGGCATACTTCGGCAGTGTGGTCTGATTTTAAGAGAAAGAGAGTTGGGGATGTGATAAAAGCTGAGTGCAACCATTGCTCCAAGCTACTTGCTGGTGGGTCAAAAGCAGGAACTACTCATTTGAAAGATCATATAAAAATATGTCCAAAGAGAGTATGTCAAGATCTTCGACAAACAAGAATGTTTGGTACAAAAAAAAACTTGAATGATAAGAATGACACGATGACATTGGCTCCTTACGAATTCCACCAAGAAGATGGAAGAAGAGACTTGGCAGAGATGATTATTTTGCATGAGTATCCAATTAGCATGGTTGAGCATATTGGTTTTAGAAAATATAGCAAGACACTCCAACCTGGATTTAAAGTGCCGTCTCGCAACACAACTAGAAAAGATATTATGAAAAGATATGAGCTTGAGAAGGAGAATGTTGCAACCTTGTTGAGGAAAGCAAAGGGTAAGATTGCCTTAACTACTGACATGTGGACAGCTGACAACCAGAGAAAAGGTTATATGGCGGTCACCTCACATTTTATTGATAATACATGGAAGTTGCAAAGTCGGATCATAAGGTATTGTTTTCTGGTTACTTATAACTTGTTTATTTTTTTTTGGTTGTCTTTGTATTGCTATAGTTTTTTGTGTGAATTTTAAAATCATAAGAATTATAAGTTGTGATGATGGATGATAATAATGAGCCCATATATCCACAATAGTATTGAATAGACAAATAATATATGTTATTTTCATTGGTTTTGGTAGGTTTTTATATGTCCCCGCCCCTCATACTGCTGAGGTTCTTGCTGATGCTTTGAAAGAAAGCATTCAATCATGGAATCTTGATCTTAGGTTGTCTTCTATAACCGTGGATAATTGTTCAACTAATGATGCAATGATGGAAATTTTGAAAGGAGTGTTTCCATATGGCTCACTTTTATTGCGAGGTGATTTTTTTCATATGCGTTGTTGTGCTCACATATTAAATTTGATTGTTCAAGATGGTTTAAGTGCTGTGGTATCAAATGGTGTTCAAAGAATTAGGGATAGTGTTGTGTTTTGGACTGCTTCTGATAAGAGAGTACAAAGGTTTGAACAAGTGGCTAAGCAAATAACTCCTGAGTGTAGTAGAAAGTTAGCACTTGATTGCAAAACCCGGCGTGTAGTAGAAAGTCATAAAATATCAAAAAAAAGAAAAAAAAAATTAATTGCTACACTCACGCTAGTTTTAGATATCGTATTTTAATTATGTACATTTACCTCTTTGGTTATTACTCCACTTCTTTAAAATCCGAATCCACCTAAGAAAGCAATCCTGTTACAGTGTTACCAACTCAACTATCTTAAATTCCTACTTCGTAATACCTTGAGCGATTAGGCCCTTGGCAAATAACATTGGAGGACTTTTTTTTGGTAGAACAGTGGAAGACTTTGTAAGTCTAATACCGACCCATAAATATAAAATACAAGCACCGTCTTTGGGTACAATTCACCGGTTTGGCATGGCATGAGTAACAACGTACCATACATGACCATGCACTCATGCAGGTGTGGCTAAGTCTAGCAAAAATCAGCGCAACCAACAAACATGTTGACTTGGCAGAGAAACATTCAGATACCTAAATTCTCTTTCAAGTCCATTTTCACTGGGTTAAAAATAAAAGGAAAAAGAAAAAAGATGGTAAAAGAAAATAAAGAAAACACATTCCCAAATTTCCTTAGTTGATAATTAAAGTAGAAATCTTTGACCAGTTGAGAAAAAGGTTCCCTTAAATTAGCTACTTCGACTACCCAACCCAACTTATATAAACCACCCCCACCAAACTATAAAGATAAAGTTTATATGTGCAGTATTGTTTTTTTTTTCAATTCTACATGTATACTCCATGTATTTTACTGTACCGTAATTATTTTTATGAACTTTGCATAATTATATGGAGTACTAATTGAAAATCAAACCCTACTAAAAGGGGTAATACTCTAAATAGAGTAATATCGACCATTTAGTTAACCTTGGTTCTCACTTTCTCAGTCATATATCTTACGGGTTACTGAGTATATAATACTTGTACAAGTCATACTGCACTACACAACTTTTGTTTTTTGTTTTTATTTTTAAGGCAATTTTTGCTTGTATTTTACTGGTACCAAAAAAAAAAAAAAAAAAAAAAAAAAAAAAAAAAAAAAAAAACAAGCAAAAATCCTAAGAATAAAGAAATGACGGAGAATATGGGCAAAGGTTATTTAAGTGGACGCCAAAAACGAAGAGAGTTTAGAATAAATTAGTTCCCCTTCTCCCTTCCTTAGTTGTTTAGTAGGATTTAGGAGTATATATTTACACTTAACAAATATAATAAGGAGTAATACGACTTATATCAATAAAGTCTTGGCTTAGTAGTTAATTAATATTAATAATTTATGTGCGATAGAACAGATTGATACTCCATAGGTTTGAATCCCCCACAGTTTGTAACGTATTACTCTTGTGTTGCAAAAAAAAAAAATGGAGTAATTAATTTTTTTTCTTCCAAAAAGATTAAATCATGGTCATCCATTGGACATGGGCTTGATGGACTTTGATCTTAAGGGAGTTGTCCTACTGATGAGGGCACATGTATTTTCAAATAAAATTTTTTTTTAAAAAAAAAAAACAAAGTCCGAAAGATACCCGACCTAGATCCGTGAAAGTTCTGTGAATTGGATTGTTTTGAATTTTAGGGGGGTGATTATTTCTTTTTTTGGATTTTCCATCCTTTATCTTATTAAGTATTACTATTTATAATACAAGTATAGTGTTATTGTTTTTCATTTCTACTTTTGGGCCCTATTAGGTCAACCATCATGGCCCACTGTTTTTGGCATCAATTGAATATTAAGTACCTTTTGAATTTCCCCCATTTACTCTATTGGTTTAATATATTCATTTATTAGATGAAATCCCGTACGATATACAGATTTATGAAAAATAAATCTCAAAAAAATACTCCTTTATTTTTCCGAATAAAAAATGATTTATAAATAAAAAAAATTATATGACATTTACAAAGAGATTAAAAAAACTCCGCATGTTTTATAGTTAGCTTAGACTCTAAGATTTATTTTTTTATTTTTATTTTTTTTGTAATTATTTGATTCATTCTACAATTTAACAGTTTTAGACCAAAAAAAAATTAATTAAATTGCTATTGCCTATTTTATAAGTCTAAGTTTTAATTTTAGAGAACTTTTTAAAACGAATTTTAGGATGGAAATAGAATTGAGTTCTAAAATATTTAATAAAGGTTATGATTAATTTTGTGTATATGAAGTATTAGAAGTATATCAATAATAAAACACTATACAACATTCTTATCTTAAAAATATATCCAAAATTTGTTTACTTAGCATCATATGCATCACAATAATACCTATTTGTCGCCTACGTAACGCGACACTTTACGAAAAATTGGAATGACAAGTGTCGTTGACTAATGGTTTGGCTTGACCAAAAAAATTTTGATGCAAAACTATCAATTCAAATAAGGGATAATTTTTCTTCGCATGATCTCAAAATTCCCATATTTCTGAAATGGTAATCTTTTTACTACGTATTCCATATTCGCTGGCCACTTAATTAATTAACAAATTTTTACAATAGTCTTGTCTAAGTATTATTTCTTTAAGTTTTTTAAAATGTAACATTTTGACTTTTACACTATTTATATACTTTATTTTGACTAGATTTAATAATTCTTGTTAAGGAAAAATATAGTCATGTGAGATCTTTTAAAATTTGTCTCAATTTATACTTTATTAACATCATGCAATTTTTTATAATTTTACACATCAATTAATAACTTAATACTAAAACAGACGCCGGGAGTGACATGTGTCACATCCTGGTGCTGTTTTTTCCCTCCAAAACTCCCCCTCCCCTTTTAACAAAAAATATTTTATTTTTGGAAATTTTTTATAATAAAACTATAATAATATTATCCCAAACTTATATATTATCTCTATATAAAATGTATTCCTTTTTATTGTGTTCTAAAATTTTCCATGCACATTTACCTAAGATAGTTTTCGAACTCTTTTTTAATTATCTTTTAAATGAGTATTATTGAGTTTTACCGAAAAAGTAAATTGATTCATATCGAAGTAATTGATATTAAAGAAATTACTTTAAAACATCACTTTAATTTTATTTTTTTTCAAATTCCTTTTTATTTTGTTTTTTAGACTAATGGAGTATTAGATATGACCATAAAATAAATGTTGTGTTCGACAACTATATTATATGTCTAATTCAAAAATGTAAATATCAATCAATTTTTTGTTATTACATTATTAAAAAAAAGTTAATATCTTAGTAAATACTGAAAAGTTATTATCTTTTGTCGAAATAATTTATTGAGATAATAATTTTATCACATTTGACATTCATAAATAAGCTGCATTTTAAAAAACGCCGGACATAGTGACAAGTGACATATTCTTGTGTTTCTTTCTTTCTTTCTTTCTTTTTTTTTTGGATAAATAACTATCATCGACAAATAAAATTTTAAGGCAATAAACAAATAATGATCAAACTAGTAAATTGGATAGCTTTCAAACACATTTTTATATAATAATAAAGAGCGGCGATATCATGTAGAGCATCGATACATAAACAGAAAATGTACTACTAATAATATAGGTTAGTGTTGCCTAATTATTGATTGTTATTACCTTTAATGCTCTAAGTAGTATTTATTTCCATTGAAATTATTTTATTGGATATAAAGATGATATATTATTTAATTTGTAATTTATATATTTACATGTATGTTGTGCCAATATTTTACTGTATAATTTAGTTTGTTGTTTGATTAATGTTTTGATATTTACTAAAAGGTATTTATAAATAAGTCTTTAGTCATATAGTCACTAGATTGTATAGTTTTATTGGGAATAATATGCATTATTAATGTAATATAATGTATACTACTTTTAAATATTTTCTCTCAACTAATCAACAATTAATTTTTTTCCTTTTCAATTGTAATTTTAATGAATTTTGCCTTATTATTTTATTTTTCTATATGCATTGCATTTGTTTATTCCACATGAGTTGCCTCATTTTTATATTATATCAAAATTCATTATGGGAAAAAGATTATTACTACCGTGCATCGCACAGGCACTAATCTAGTTTATAATATATAAAAGATAATAATGATTGAAATAACACATAGACAAATGTGTAGGTGAGATCTTTTAGATTTGTCTCAATTTATACTTTATTAACATCAAAATTTTAAATTTTTTACACATTTGTAATAAAAGACAAACTATATTTTAAAACACCGATTATTTTTACCATATTGCTTAAACCCCCATGTCATCAATGTGGGCTCCAATGACAAAATTTTAATTTTTCCTTCTGTTTTCAACATATGTTCTTCAATATATTAATTACAAATCCAAATTATACAAACAAAACACAAAAATAAATACCTGGAATATGAAATTGGGGCTAATTATAAGACGATGTTCATCATTTAGCTAGGTTTTAAATTGAAATCTAGGTTTGCTATTTAGTGATTAATTTACAAAATTGGGGATCATTTGCATCAATTTCATGTATTACGTCTCGATTAGTACTCAAATTGATATTATTGTCAAGAAATTATAACTAATTATTTTTAACCTGTAATTCTAAAAAATAAATATATATTAGAATTTTCTTCTACACAAAATAATAATGTCATAATTAATCAAACATATATTTTTTGGTCCACTATCACCCCATTAACCAGGGAAAAAAAAAAACTATTTATTATAGGAATATTATTATTGGTACACCCCAAGTTTGGGCTTTTATCAACAATTTACAGGTAGTGGTGGTGATGGGTGAGACATTCTATACCCTAACACTAAATCATTCAACTATGTTGGATCCCTAGTAGTGCCAACCAAAATGCAAATCATGTCATTATTAGGGAATATTCTAAACATCCTTATTAAGTCACCATCATCATCTAATGGCCAGTGTTTTCTGTTATAGGCATAGTGAAATGTTGGGTTCAGGATATCTACTGGAGGATCCAAACTACGAATACGATCTTCAAATTCAATAGCGAAATCCATCAAGTTGCAAGTATCTGAGTCCAATTCAATATCAACATTGTGCACCAAATATTGAAATCTTAATATCACATTGTTAATCATTCTGCAAATTAAGGTTAAACTACCACAATTTAATCCCACCAAAATAAATCAAAATCGCATAATCAAAAACCACAATTACTTAACAACACATAATTAAACCTAGGTTAAACTATCACTAACACTTAACCGTGTAAACTCAAACACACCCATATCAAATTATATATGAAACCAAAGACAAAATTAAGCAAGCAAGCATAATCATACGCAAATCGTGCATAATTCAATGGCAAAATCTACCAACAATTGTACATGAAAATCATATTTCATCCACTTAAACGAAAATACATCAATTAACAAAAGGCTAACAATTAAAGCGAAAAACACAAAATTCAAAGTACAAAGTAGCACTAAGCTTTTATATTCAACAAAGTAGAGTGGAATTTCCAGGAATTTGGCTTCAATTGTGCGCCCATTAGGGTTTCTCAGGGGCATAAGAACAAGGGAGAGAGTTAAAGGGATGAGGAAGATGAATGATCAAAATTGTCTTTAATTTTGGCAGTTGGAGCTTTAGAGGGAGAGTTAGTTAATGAGTTTTAGGGGGGGGGATTTAGTCAATTCATGTTAAGGCAAAATTAATGTCATTAACCTATTATTAACGTTTAATTAATGGAGTGATTACTGTAGTTAATTAGTTGAAAGTACAGGTGTGCCGCTAATAAGTATAATTAGAGTAGGTGTATCATTGATAAAAGCCCAAACATGAGGTGTACCAATGATAATTTTCCTTTATTATAAATGCATCAAATTTGAATGTGTGTGATTATATTGTCATATCTCATACTAATTGTGGACAATTAGTTCAATTAACTTTAATTAACACGTTATAGTATTTTATCACGTTTGTCCATGCATAAATTCAATCGTAAATAAATCTAACTATAAATAAGTAAAAATTATTAAAAACAGTTGGTATTTTAAAAACACACATTGAGAGGAATCTAACAAAATATCACACGTCTACAAAGTATGTTTTTTCTAATCCATATATAAATATAAAAAAAGCAATCAATCAAAGTATAGTTTTTGAATACAATTCTAGTATTCTTCTGTATCTCAACAGTTTCAAAATTTTCAACGAGCAAATACCAGTATATCCACAGTTTCACATTTTGAGCCGTTGCAATTTCACGTTTTAAGTCATTGTTCCACAACTTCATGTTTTTCAGTCAATGTTTGATAACTTCAGGTTTTGAGTCACTGTTTAACAACTTCACGTTTTGAGTCATTGTTTAACAACTTCACATTATGAAGCAATGTTCAGCAGTTTCATGCTCTTAGTCATCTGTAAGAAATGTAACCCCTACAATATTATTTAATTTACATATTTGAAATGTTTTTGTAATTGACCGGTCACAGGTAGTCATAATACTTCATTGATTTTACTGCATTAGTAGAATTTCTTTAGATGAACTACGATTGAGACACGTATATAATTTATCAAAAAAAAATCCTAAACATTTATTAACTCAATAATTGTTTTTACTAATTAAAGATTAAGTTAAGACACTAATAATTCAATTGTAAAATTCATAAAATGCTACAAATTTGATAAAATACTAATCTAGTAATTTGAATACTCTCGACTGTATACAATAACCCAAAATGAAAAAATAGGCGAAAAAATGATTCGTCAAATATTAAAAAAAAATAAAAATAAAAAATTCCTATTCCTTTGAAAATGATTCTCCATAATTTGGAGTAGTAATAATGTAGCACTTTTGGATTGACCTATCAATTTCTTAAAAATTTCCCCCTCCACCCTCTTTTTCTACCATAAAGTTCCAAATTTCAATTTAACCTCTTCCTCATTTTCAAACCAACATAATCCCAATTGGTAAGAGAGAGAGAGAAAAAAATCCTAAAAAATAACCTATAAAAAAAAAAAGAAAAAGAAAAGCAAATCTCCCTCCATCTTCCTCCTTTCTCTCTCCTCCTCTTTGCTGGGTGTATGTTTTGTGTGAATTTTGAATCTGTTTGACTAGTTTTCCGCTTACATAGATAAAACCCCATTTTTATTATTTCTTTTTCATTTCTTCTCTAATAAAAAAAAAGAAAAACAGTCAGAAATTTAGACTTCCTTCCTTACTTACAGAAGAGAGAAGAAGAAGACAACCCAGAAGAAAAACTACTACTACTGCTGCAACAGAGGAGAGAGAAAGTCGTCGGAAAATTTGTAGAGAGAGAAAGATTGAGGAGAGAGAAAGAGAAACAGAGAGTCAAATGTGATGGGAAGTGGGTTCTCTCACCTCATCCCATGTCTCAAACCTGAGTACAACCACCATAACAACCACCACCATAACAAGAGCTTCGATTCTAGCAACAACCACCAAGACCCGGTTGTTTTTGCGGCGGAACAACCTCTTGACGAAACCCTAGGACACTCTTTCTGTTACGTTCGTTCTTCTGCTCGTTTTCTCTCTCCTACTTCTTCCGATCATTTTCTCTCTCCTTCTCATTCTCTTCGTTTCGACGATAGATCCGACCCGACCCGACAACCGTCTAGAGTTGGTGGGCCGGAAACCGGGTTTCGAACCATTTCCGGAGCTTCGGTTTCTGCGAATACTTCTACTCCGAGGACTGTTGAGGTTGAAACCGCGGTTTACGGGTCCGGTTCGATTGTAAACGGGTTTGATTGTACGTCGTCGTTTTCGGCTTTGCCGTTGCAGCCGGTTCCAAGAGGGGATAGCTCCGGGTTTTTCCTCTCCGGTCCGATCGAGCGTGGGGCGTTATCTGGGCCGCTTGATTCCGGGCCGGATACTGGGCGGGTCCCCTTCTCGGCCCCTCTTGGTGGGGCCTACAAGAAGAAGAAGAGGAAGAAGAGTTTGAAGAAGTTGTATAGAAGCTTCTCGGAGAAGAAGCGGCAATGGGTTGTGCCGGTAGTAGGGAGGAAGGAGAGTAGCGAAGAGGAGGTTGGAAGGAGGAGAGAGAAAGAGGTTGAAGATGATGTTGAGGGTAGTAATGTAAATGTACAGTGGGCGTTAGGGAAGGCGGGGGAGGATCGGGTACATGTGGTTGTATCGGAAGAACATGGGTGGTTGTTTGTTGGGATTTATGATGGGTTTAATGGCCCGGATGCTCCGGAGTTTCTAATGGGTCATTTGTATCGGGCCGTGTTTGGTGAGCTTAAAGGCTTGTTTTGGGATAGTGAGGAAGATGATGATGGTGTTGTTTTGGAGCAGAAAGTGGAGAATCATTCGGAAATTGAGGGGGAGATTGTGAATGTGGATAGTGGGGAGGGGGAAAATCGTGCCGGGGAGGAGCGTGGTGGTGGCGGGGCGGTCAAGAGGGTTACGTTTGAGGCGGGGTTGGATAAGAAGGAGATAATTAGGAGGAAATTATGGGAGTTTCTTGCGGAGGATGATGCTGAAGATGGGCTTGATCTTTCGGGGTCGGATAGGTTTGCATTTTCGGTTGATGATGCTGTTAGTGTTAGCAATGCAGGGTCTGCCGTGGGGAGGAGGTCGTTGCTATTGTCGAAATTGAAGCAAGGGTTAACTAGGAGTAAGGAAGGGCATAGTAGAGGGTTGTTTCAATGGAGGTTTGGGGTAGAAGAGAAGGATAAAGTAGATGATGTTGAGAATAGAGTTGAGGAGAGATCGTGTAGGAGTGGTCGTAGGAGAAAGACGGGTCCTGTGGATCATGACTTGGTTTTGAGGGCATTGTCCCGGGCATTGGAAAAGACAGAGCAAGCTTATTTGGATTTGACGGATAAAGTGCTTGATCGGTATCCAGAGCTTGCGTTAATGGGTTCGTGTTTGTTAGTTGTTTTGATGAGAGATGAGGATGTTTATGTGATGAATTTGGGGGATAGCCGTGCTATTGTTGCACAATTGGAACCTCAAGAGAGTTGTTCTAATGTGGGATTGAAGGAGAAGGCAGAATGTGGGTCTAGTACAGAAGGAATTGTTGAGGAATGCACAGCTAGTGGTGAAAAGTTGAGCAATGTGGATGATGAGTTTCCTTTGGAGGCCATGAAGCTGACTGCATTGCAGCTTACGATTGACCACAGCACCAGTGTTGAAGAAGTAAGACTCAAATCTTGTTGTTGATTAGCTAATTGAAATGCCTGTTTGAGATGCTGGTTGTTGATGTTTGATTTCTTTCAAGCTTATGCTGTTGTCTTTCCTGATCATGTTGCTTATCTCACCCTTTTCCTGCTTCCCGTCAAAGGCGTCTATATTGCAAGGTAGGGCGATATTGGCGGAACTTGATTGTTTGTTTAAATAGCTGTGCATAATTGTGGCTCTACCCAATAAAATTTATAATCTTTTTGCCTCTTCGGTGCCTTTATCAATACTATTGTTTCCGCCGCAGCTGCAATTTTCTTTCACATTGTTAAACTATGACTAATTATGTGAACTAAGTCTGACAATTGTCTGGAATTCTCGAGGCAGCTATATAGGAGTATAGGACCCAAGTACCCAACTAGCAAATCAATATATTAAGCCCATTAGTTTCTGCTTCACTTTGTTGGAGATTTAGCTGTAGATATGTCCAACCTATGCTTGTGGTAATTTGGGCATAGTTTTCTTCATGGCTTCCCATCCTCAACCCCCCCCCCTCCTCATAGATTGATGCATGCATATGCTGGTGCTCTTCTCTCAAAGCTAAAAATTCTATTCCCCAATAGACTGTGGTACTTATTTGTATGGCATTAACTATGGTCCAACTACACTTTCTGCATCCCCACCTCTACTTGCTAGTTGCTTGTAATTGTTTTATTAGTGTAATTTAAATCCTTGAAAGCCACATGTATCTACCTGAGTGTGTTTTAGTATATTAAATAGGAATATTTATTAAAAAAAATCTTTATTTGCCTTGTTTTGGAAGCAGTGTTTGCAAAATAGTGTTTTATCTGTCACCACTCTCATATTTCCCTTAATTTCTCAAGCATGTCTGATCATATATGATTTCTGTGATGTATCTCATTTACTTGTACAACAGTTGCTAGTTCTCTTTGCCCTTGTTCATTTTGGTGGTAGACTATACATGAATTAAGGTAAAAGCATGAAAGTATTATTTAAAGTTTGTTTATTTTTTTTCCTCTCTTGCCTTTAGAAAAATGGAGATTTCATTTCTATTTATGGCTATATTATTGATATGGGTTCAGTGTCATGTATACTATCTATGGCACTCATATTAGCTTCTCCTTTATTATAAGTTTCTATGTTTTTGGTCAAAAATGAAGTCTTCATTGTCCATGCCCATATTGATTTGTCAAGAATATGTCACAATACTTGTGGTAAAATGAATTATCTAGGTAACATTACATTAACAAATAATAAGATATTTAAACCTTGCACACCTTCTGGTAAAAACCTCTAATAATCTGTAGCAGTGTAGCTATTTAAGGGTGATGGTGCATGCCTATGGACCACCTCAGACTATATTGTAGTGGGATGAATACTCTGCTATGCTGTTGTACATTGAAAATATAGATAACTAAAGTCTCCTTTGCACTGTGCTTTGACTTTATGTGCTAGTGAACACATAATTGTGATCTTTATGGAAGGTTTGCTCCTACCAGTTTTCAATATGTTATATGGTGGTTCACTTGATCTAAAAAGGCTTGTGGTGTCAATCCTTTCTTGTTCCCGGGGGAGATTTTATGAGTTTTGTGCTTCTCTAGATGTTCAATGGACAGTGAAATTGCTTTCTGTTGAGAAATTGGACCAAAATTTAGAACAGGAGATACAAAGGTGCGGACTTTTCTAGATTTATTTTTATCTTTTTCCTGGATAATGTATTGCCAAATGATGAAGCTAATACTGTTTGCTCCAGGAGAGTTCCTTAGGATCCTATTATAGTACTCTTCCTGTGTAGAAGTATATGTGCTGGAGTGTTGTTTAAGATTATGAAGAAATTTTATGGTTTTCTGGGAATCAGGTTTTGTGGAATGACTTGTGCTGAAGCCCATTGTGGTCCTGCTTGTAGTATTAAGTGCCTATATCAGTAAAAGCCAAGCCTTGGTCCCATAATTAAAACAAGATTCTCTCTAAATATAGTAAATTTCTTTCCAAATTAAAATCATCCCTTTTGATATGAGATCTTGCCAGCTGCCAAGAATATGTCCATATTTCCTCTCATACCACTATTGTCTTCATTACGTCCATATTTTCCCTCGTACCACTATTGTCTTCATTACTTCTTATATTTTCTCCAGTTACAAATGTTCTTGCAAAATTGTGGTTATTGAAAAGGGAAACAGTAGTTTTGTAGCACGATATCTCTCATCTGTGTTTGCTGCTGTTTTCTGGAGAAGAATTATTAATGTTGAGAAAATTGACCGTCTCAAGGATCAATAAGTTCGTTATCTATAGTTAGAGGAAGAATTCAAATTGGAGAATGGAAGATAGATGACTGTGTGATGCCTAATGGCAGTAAGATGGCAATAATGTCATTGATTCATTGAAGTTGAAATTGGAGATTGCTGGTATGTTAAGTGGATTATATGAGCTGCAATTATATCAAAATATTCCTGTAGTGTATATATCTCTTGTGTCTGAACATTTTTGAGAGGGCCTTGATTACTGTGGGGGGGGGGGGGGGACCTAACCCACTCAAGTAGGAAGCAATTTTTGAGATTGGTTATGGGAAAGGAATTCCTATCTAGTTTTGTATTATTAGCCCAAAAATGTACCTCTAGCACATACCTATTTGCTTTTTCCAGGTCACAGTTTGCAGGGGCCCCACGGGGATTAGTGTATAATGCTGCTCCAACTGTATTGAGGCAAAATCAGCTGTCTTCAGTCTATATTGGAGATCAACATATGTTGATTTTGCCGCACATTACTTGATTTACTATTTGTGAACCTGTCCAAAGGAACATTGGATGGGTATTGGATGGTTTGTTATACAAGTATAATATTGTGATTCACTTGATATCTTCTTTCCAGTTTCTGTTTTTGTCAACCATATTCTGAGACAGTCCAGTACTTGAGATTTTTGGAGTTCTAATATGTTAATAATATTTTTGTTTTTGTGGGTTCTGTTGGGGCATGGGTCACTCATTTTATCAGTATTTATGAACATGCTATTAACTATGGAGTGATAAACATTATTGCTTGATAGTAAAAGTAACTGAAACAACTATGCATATTTGTTTTAGCTGTAGGAATTTATAGTTTTACTATGTTAGTATTGGTGCTATACCATTCCTTCTTAGAAGGTTTATCAGTTTTTCAAGGATATTGACCATAGAGATGATTGATTGGATATTATGTATATTGATGTTGAGGTGGAGATTATAAATATGTGATTTTATTGCCATAATTTTCTCTCTAAAGTAAGGCTTGGAAGCTCTGATGTTTGACTTTACAGATATGTACTGAATAATTTGGTTTTTGTGATAGTCCTAAGAAGTGTAAGAACAAAAATTCTGAAACGCTATGTGATGCTGCAAATTAAGATGGATGCAGTCCGCAATTTTCTGTCTGTGAGCTTGACATATCTGCTTCCTTCAGCTTAGTGCTTCTAATTTCTTATGTTTTGTCAATTCTGCAGGAAGTTCTAAGAATTAAGAGGGAACATCCAGATGATAAGCACTGCATTGTCAATGATAGAGTAAAAGGCCGTCTCAAGGTTACTCGAGCGTTTGGAGCTGGATTCCTCAAACAGGTTTGTCACCTGTACCATATTACTGTCGACTCTTACCCTTGGAATCTAGATGGAAACAATGTATAAGCTTTATTGTTCAAAATGGGTCTATTACAATCTTACCTATAAAAAATCTGTTGAGAGTTGGAGGCAATTATCCTCGCTGACATTTCAGTGGAATGCTACTTCCTTGTATCTGGTATTGCTATTGTAAAGAAACATACAATCATTGGCTTGCAGCTACAAACTGTGTTTTTATTTAGTAATTAATTTAGGGCCTAGTCACATATGCAGTTCTTTTTGAAAGAATTCTGGTTTACTTGTCAGCCTCTTTGGTTTCTTAATAGATGATGAGTTTAACTGAGCTTTAAATACTTCCACGTTTTCAATAAGCTTTTCATTTGGGCTTGATTCTATTTGGCAAAGTACTTTTTACATAGTCTTATGCTATTAGACATTTAGACAATCTTATCATTCTGGTAAGAGTGGATTTATTTATTTTTGCTCTCTTGTTTAGTGTGCTGCGGGTGAAGATGCTATAAACAAATGAATTTTATGAAAATTATGATGATTCCTAGCTATCTGGGGTGGGGTTTGTGGGCTGAGACAGCTTACACAGTCTTAAAACCTGAGTTAAGGGGTTGATGGCACAGGAAAAATAAATAAGTGTTCATTTTTTTTCTCACTTCTTTTCATCTTTGTGACAAGACTATTGAGCAACTATAGTGTGTCTGAAGTATATTTCTATTTGGGCTTGATTCTATTTGGCAAAGTACTTTTTACATAGTCTTATGCTATTAGACATTTAGACAATCTTATCATTCTGGTAAGAGTGGTTTTATTTATTTTTGCTCTCTTGTTTAGTGTGCTGCGGGTGAAGATGCTATAAACAAATGAATTTTATGAAAATTATGATGATTCCTAGCTATTTGGGGTGGGGTTTGTGGGCTGAGACAGCTTACAGTCTTAAAACCTGAGTTAAGGGGTTGATGGCACAGGAAAAATAAATAAGTGTTCATTTTTTTCTCACTTCTTTTCATCTTTGTGACAAGACTTTTGAGCAACTATAGTGTGTCTGAAGTATATTTCTATGCCTCTGGAAGCATAATTCCTGGGTAACAGATACATGCCTTCCCTAGTTTTACAGAGACAGAAATATATAGAGTATTTTTTAAGCCTTCACATGCATTCTGGATACCAAACACAGGAGAAATAAAATTTAAAAATTGAACCTGATGCAGCACTTTGCAAATAATTGAGGATTTTATTCTGATTGACCTGTGGTCCTGTTGCAGGCCAAGTTTAATGACTCGTTATTGGAGATGTTCAGAAATGAGTTCATTGGTAGTGCCCCTTATGTATCATGTATTCCTTCTCTTCGCCACCACAAACTTGGACGAAGAGACCAATTTTTGGTGCTCTCATCTGATGGGCTATACCAGTATTTCAGCAATCAGGATGTGGTTTCTTTTGTTGAGAATTTCTTGGAGAAATTTCCTGATGGAGATCCAGCACAACATCTAATAGAGGAGCTTCTAAACCGAGCTGCTAAAAAAGCAGGTAATTTCTACCTGTCTTTGTCATCATCTAGTTTTTTTCTCTAGGCAAACTTCATTTGCAATAGTCAAGTGCCTTGATTCTGGAGCTTCAAATACTTTATAGAGCACAGACTTGGATCTTTTGGCCACTGCATAAGAACAAGAAAATATAGTATCTGTCCATACATTTGTAGGCTAGAGGCGAGCAATTAGCTCTGTTTTGGAACTTTGTCCAAAGCAACATGTCTTTGATCTTGCTGCTATGTTTTGTCTTTGTGCTTGAATAATACCTCCACTAGGTTTTTTTTTTCCCTTCCTCTACATAAAACTCTTCGTTACTCTTTTCTATCGGAATGGAGATTGTTCTGTTAAATGTCCGGGTGGTGCATAAATTATGCTTCGTGCAAAGCTAATTTTAAATTGATGGATCATTTTTGCTTATAAAATGTTGCATCTACTAGTTAGTGGTTACTTTTGCATCATAATATTCAGAGTTTGATTAATCTGTTTATTTGATGCATACAGGTATGGATTTTCATGACTTGTTGGATATTCCCCAAGGTGATCGCCGAAAGTACCATGATGATGTCACTGTTATGGTGGTATCTCTTGAAGGGAGAATTTGGAAGTCTTCAGGAAAATACCCCTAAAAACATGTTCATATGAAAACTTAAAAAAATTATGGCTCTATCTGGAATTGCCAAAGCTGATATGGTTTCAATCAGAACCACCGCATAGACATTGATCTTAACAGCTGGGCAGGCGTCTTGATATGGTAACAGACCCAGTTCTCCTGGGTCCCAAAATTAGTTCTAGAAGTTGATAGGCATACTGTTTTAAGGGAGGAAACAATTGGAGAGGCTGTAAGAAAAGTTCCCCAGTTAAGAAGGTGCTGCCATAGTCGAGGATGGAGAAAGCTTGGGAACATATGGGTTGGGATTGTTGGGATTTTTTAGAGGAAAGGGTGTTTTACTCTTCTATTTTTCTTTTCTCCATTGGGGATTTTGCGTAGGTAGATTAGGTAGAGGCTCTTCAATTCATTTTTGTTTGTTTTTTTTTTTTTTTCTTTTCTTTTTTTTTTTAGAGCCGAAAAAGGGGGTATAAGGGTGAAAAAAAAGGAAAAGAAGTAGCGAAATTTGGTTGGGGGTAAAAAGGTTACAGAATCTGTAATTTCAGATTCCATCAATGCAGTTGACAGCCGAAATTTATACATGGATCTCGGTTTAGGGCGTACTTTTGTTCATGATTAGTTGCCTAATGCATTTTTGACCAGTTATCTTTCAGGTTAAAAGATGATACGCTTGAGAATAAATCCTTCCAAATGATGTGACAACAATTTAACAAAAATATTAATTCTGTTCTCGCTTAGATTATTGTCACATTACTTGGCTGGATGCGCTTGATGACACGGCACACGGGTAATTTGTTAAACTAACGACTAATTGAGTATAGTGAATGACAAATTCTTCAAAAATTTAACCATGAAAATTGAAAACACAATGTCAAATCTCCTATACAAAATAATAGTGGCATAGGATACCAATTAAACAAAACACATAATTCTGTTTATACCTCATCACAGTCGTGGACGATTCTCAAGTAAGATTGCCTTCAGCTGCATCAAAGTAGTGAATCTGCTTTCGCAGGCAATCTGCGAAAGAAGTTCACAGGTACTGATGGCTGCTTGCTCCTCAATTTCAAAGGCCTTAAAATGTAAACTATAAATAAGATAAATAACAATCGTACTGGAACGAAAATAAGAACAATCCCAGAAACCATACAGAAGCCCACAAACAAGGCAGTAGCTCTAGGATCCCTCCAGCTGAAAAGAGATAGTACTCTCTCCAGTTGAGTTGCTACGTCTCCAAGTAGTACCTGCACTTGCCCTGCAACTAATCTTAGTCTGTTATACCGATACTTTAGTGAATCATTGTTCTTGCAAGTCGTTGGAATTCTATCAAATTCCTCGTCCAAGTCCTCTTTACTAAGTCCGTGAACACTGGACAATTGAGGATCCATGTGTGGAGGATTTCTAGGACGGGACTGATACTTCATCATCCCAATCACACCAAAGTTGAAGCATATGGCAGGAAATATAAGTAGTGGGTAGAATACCAGGAAGATTAAAAGCAAATGCACCAAAACTGATAGGAAAGGCCTTTTCCAGCTGCTTACACTTTCCACATACTCGAATACATATCCTAGACTAAAAAGTGCAGCTTTAATCCTTTGACAGTTAGCTGCTGTTCTTCGCTGGCTCCAGTTACGTGAATCATAATCAAGCATATCCTCGACGATTTCTTTCCTTAATGGTGGCTCTGAACGGCCCAACCTCAATGAAACCAGCTTAGTAGCTTGGTGTCTCAGACATTCTTGCTGATATAAGGATAAAGGGTGACTGTAATGCATTTTGGGAAGGAAAGGCTGAGCATAACCTTGTAATAAGTTTATGTAGGATGAGCAATTAAACCTAATGGCTAACTGAAGCTCCCCCATTTTCTTCAATCCTTGAGGTTCCAAGACCAAAAGTGGATATGAGTAAGTATAGATCCTATCAACTTCAAGAGTAGATAATCGGATCCTAATCTTACCTATTCTTGAATCCCGAGATCCTTTAGCATTATCAGGACCTTGAAACTGACAGTTATCAAAAACTCCTATTGTGATTACAGTACAAGGATCATAAACCAACCAAGTGTACTGCTCGTTTCACTGGGGCGAAGAGCTATCTATGATTGTCCTTGTCCGAACCCATTTCTGCCCATATTTTGCCACACAATAAGCATCTGTTCTTCCCTGATGTCCGCTTCTCATCTTCATTTGTGGCAAGCCAGTTGCATTCAGAATTCCTAATTCCAACACCCCGATTTCCTGTTTCCATAGCTGTCTCACAGTTGGCCTCGTATCACTACTATGGCGAGCAGTCTCATCAAGCACATGATATCCACCATCCAGAGAAGCCCTCAACTGTATCTTGCAGTTTTCGCCTGGTCTCTCAAGACTGTACCACCTAGCATCAACCGGTTTACTACCTAGCCTCCTCTCCAACTTCCCTAAATGAATCACACACTTCCCAACAACTTCCTCATTATTCCCAACCTTGGTCACCACTGTCAAAACTAATAGATGCTCAAAAGGTTCAGCAGCAACAAACATCAGATCTTCATTCCACATTGGACTCAAAACATTCTTGCTGGTAGAAAATTTTGTCCTTGCCATTGCATCTCCAAATACAGCCTTAACAAAAACCTCTGCCTTCTTATTCTTATTCGCGATCTCTAAATTCTGAGCTTGAATCACATTCACCCGAAGATACCAAAGTTTAGGAGACATATACACCTTTGCCTTGGTATTCACAACATCCTCATAACTTACCCCTGCAGCATCCAAATTCCATGCTTCAGTAAATGCCTCATCAGCTTGAGTCCCCATCCAAACCGCCACCATCAACTCTTCCTTCACACACACCCCTCCCAAGTCCTCCAATATATACCATTGAGGGGCTAACGGGCTATCTGGTGGCACTCGCTTTGGGGCCTCATTCACATCAAAGATCAATCTACCCTTCACCCCTTCTCCCTCTTTATCTTTCTTCTTCATCAAAATTTCTATGAAAAAGGTGTGAATTCGTTCCTTAGAGAATGCAAACACCTGGTTCCACTCAGGGTTAGCAGTCTTCTCCACAGGTTTGGTGATTGCCCTGTAGTTTCCTATTCTCACTTCAACATATGTTTTAAATGTGTCGGTATCATTTTCAAGCTCACAAGGGTCCTTACCTTTCACTATTCTTATGTACAAGAACTCCATTGGCTCGACCAAGCTGAATGCACTTGCCATAGACTTCTTAGTCGACGGTATGTTTGGAGAAGTCTTCTTTGGAGATAATTCCTCCATTGGAGGTGGTGGATTTACTTGCTGATTGTGTTTATTGCTCATTGTTATAAGTTTAACTGCATGACAATTTCATAAAACTCATTCATCACTAACTTATGATTAACTTGGAAAATCAGCAGCTAAACTTGTACAAATTTCAATGAAATTATTTCATACATGAAAATTAATTAAGGGTCTCATCTAATTTTCAATTAGTTCATGACTTCGTTCATGTTTCTAATCAAGTCCTATATTAGTTAAACCCCTTCTCAAAAAAATTAATCAACATGCTTACTACAAGTTCCTTTTAATATGTTAGCTTAGGCCACCATCACGAGGGGAATGACTAATGCATCGAATTGAATAAGAGGGCTAAATTCAACATGGGAAATTCATTGATGCAGGACAAGTATATTATACTCCGTACTATATATACAATAAACAGGGGACCCCCCAATGATGAAACATACCCAGAATTAATCATCGTTAATAGAGGGCTAAATCATTGTATTAAGCTTCTAATCATTGAAAAACAAAGCCTAATCAAAATTCAAAAACCCTTTAATAATAATCATGATAAACAACATAATTGATCATCAATAATCCACTAAACTTGATTAGAAATAAAACTGATCGTCAATTTAACTATGTTAATTACAAGTATTTATAAAACACTAAAATAAATAGTAATGCATGAATTTGAACAGCAACATCTACAGAATTTGGCAATGTAATCAAATAAATTGAATACTAATAATTGAAAAAAAAAAAACCCCAGATGAAGAGTTAGAGGACAAACCTGTTAATCTTTAATGGAGTTGTGCAATTGTGGTTAGATAGGGCAGTGAAAATAGTTGAGGAAGAAGTAGAAGATGCTTTTTGCAACGGCCAACGAAGTTAAATTAGGAAATATGCATAATATATGCATGTAACAATGGCGACATTAAAAACATATTATAATTGGAAATATTAATATGAATAGGGTTTATTAGGAAACTAGAAATGTTTAAGTGATTTTCTAAATAAGTCACGTATTATTTCCTAATGTTAATATTAGGAAATAGAGTTATAGAGACACATATGATCATATGGATTCAGCGTATGAGTAATGGAAAATGTGATACATTATTAGAATCGTATGACATGTATATATATTATTTTTGGTGCAACATATGTGACAATGACCCCAATGTGACATTATGTATTTTTAAATAAGATGAAATATACACGAAGTATTATTCGGGTAAGTCGAAATTTTAATAAAATCTTAAGAGAGTTTTTCTCAATAAATTTTACAGATCAAAATAATAAAGGTGCTCAATTATAAAAATTGTTGAATGAAAAGCATCTATTATGAAAAATTTATTTATTTAATTTTTTTTTTTTGAAAGGCATTATGAAAAATTTATTATAAATGAATTAAAATAAAGATGTCCCAGAAATGATTGTTTCTAAAGAGAATTTGTGTCATTATAATGTTAAATGAAAACATTTTTCCCCATTTATATAGGTATTACTATATCTTATGGTTTACACTAGCTACGAGTGTTAATGACTTGAGCCAAGGCCGAGCTTGAACGGCTTTTGACGCTTAGATCCGAACTTTACTTAAGTCTCAACTTTTTCAAACTAAATTTTTTTAGTTCAACTTAACCTTAAAATTCAATTTGAATTCGAATATTTTACATTACTTTATTTTATATAACCATGTTTATGTTATGATTTTGATGTTGTCGACTAATTTGAAATTTTACCATTAAAATTAGGTCAATTTTACAATACGTAAACTAATCTAGTTATAAAGTACATAATACTCCCTCTCTGTCTCTCTCTCTCTCTCTCTTTTTTTTTTTTTTTTTTTTTTTTTTTAATTAAAATGTTCTACTCGTGTATTTCACTTATTTTTAAAAAAACACAAGTTTAGACAATTTTTTTTACTTCAAAGCTGTGTTCAGGATTAATCCGTTCATATAAGTTTAGATCGTGGCCAATAAGGGTCATTAAATTTGATTCATTGTTACAAGCGGTTATGAAATTAAAAATTCAAATAAATCAAAATAAGAAAAATTCGAGTGAAAACAATGTATTCTTGGATAGGTCAAGACAAATTTTAACAGATCCAAATATGCATATTACATAATCCATCTATATTCTTTCTATAATTTTAGAGTTTGTCAATTTTTAACTACAATTCTCCAAATTCTAAATCATCAATTTCTACGCAACTTATTTTTTATTTTTTTAAAAATAAAATCAACAATAACTGTCTTTATTTTTTTTTAGGAAATCAATAACTATCTATTTGGCTATATGCCACTAATTTTATTTTTTAAGAATCAAAATGTTTAAGATTGTTTTTTGTCGCAAGAATATATCTAGTGCGGATATGCTTACTTTGACTTTACTTTTTACAAATATATATAAAAATTATGTTGTCATGTAAAATATGTTTACATTAGTCTTTAGGTAAATTTTCGTTATATTAATCTTTTATATTTCTTAATAATATGTAATTGCAAATTTTAATGGTCAAAATCGTATATTGACATGTGTACCAGTAAAAATGTTACGATTATTCTCATCAACGAAAAATAAAAAATTTACCAATAATATAAAGCAAGGGAGTAGTACAATAAATTCCCGAGTTATAACACCGTATTGCATGTGCCAAAATATAACCTACTCGTAAAAAACAAATCATACAATCAACTCCGAAGTATATCAAGTATCCCAAAGGATATAGTGATAATTCTACAAATACCCCTTGATATTCACCAAGTTTAGCAATTGACAAAACCAAAATTGGTAATTTGAAAATGCGCAAATAAATGCTTGCTTCTTTTGAGGAGGAAAGAAAAAACAAGGGTTTATATTTTACAGTAGACCATTTTTCTGGATGAGCAATTTACCAAAAGACTGAATTTTTATCGGGCTTTGTAATAACGCTACAAAACCATTGTTAGATAGATAGTTTAGAGAGAGAGAAAAAAAACAAGGGTTTATATTTTACAGTAGACCATTTTTCTGGATGAGCAATTTACCAAAAGACTGAATTTTTATCGGGCTTTGTAATAACGCTACAAAACCATTGTTAGATAGATAGTTTAGAGAGAGAGAAAAAAAACAAGGGTTTATATTTTACAGTAGACCATTTTTCTGGATGAGCAATTTACCAAAAGACTGAATTTTTATCGGGCTTTGTAATAACGCTACAAAACCATTGTTAGATAGATAGTTTAGAGAGAGAGAGAAATCCCCCCTTTTTTCTGTATCTTCCCTCTATTTCAACAGGTACGCCACTCTTCTTCTTAACCCCCCTTTTATTTTTGTATATAAAAATCAAGATTATATTTTATTTGTTTGTTGGTCTATATATTTTAATTTCTTGTTGTTGGGCTTAATTTTATGATTATGGGGTTTTCTTGCTTTTTTAATTTATTGGGTATTTTTGATGATTTTGGGAATTGGTTTTTTTTGTTGTTGTTGTTTTATGATTATTATGGTAGGTTCCTATGCAGCTGTGATTTGTTGAGGGTAACATTTTAGTCTTAAAGTTTCCTAAAATGGAAAGTGATGGAAAGATGGTAAAAACAAGTAAAACCCTAGTTCAGTTTGATCAGTCAACAACAATTATAAGCTCTTCCTCAGTTGTTGAAAAGGAATCTTGTGGTTTGGATTTGACTAGTTCTGCTTTAATGGGTGCCCGGGTAACAAAAAGTCAAGCCAATGGTTCTGGGGTTATTGGGGAAGAAAGTGTCCATGATAATAATTCGATAGATGGAGGTGCCGCTGTTGGCGGTGCCGGTGACGGTGTTGGGGATAATTTGAGTGTTGCCAATGAATCGTTGACGACGGATGGTACTAGGGTTGGAATGATTGTGGATGGGGAGAATGGTGCTGATGGTTGTGTGATAGATAAGGGGATTGCAGAATGCAAAATTGATGAAAAGCTGGATGGTAGTGTGACAGGGAATGTTGCGTCTGGTGTTTCGAAGGAAGTGCGTGGGAAGGGTTTTGGTGCGAAATTTCAGGATGGGAGAAACAGTTCTGAGAGGAAGCCTTTTGATGATGTATCGAGTAGCATTGCGCAGAGGACGAGGAACAGGGCTGTGACTGGTAAAAAAGAGGACATTGGTGATGTGGATGATGGGCAAAAGGGGAGCGAGGTTGGTGATGTGGATGATGAAGAAAATGTTTTTCTTGTGGGGGATTTTGTTTGGGGAAAGGTTAAGAGTCATCCTTGGTGGCCTGGGAGGATTCATGATCCTTCAAATGCATCTGAGTTTGCGTTAAAATACAAGCACGAGGGGCGGATTCTGGTTGCATATTTTGGGGATAGGACTTTTGCTTGGTGTGATACTTCTCAGTTGAAATCTTTTGAGGAGAATTTTGAAGAAATGTCAAAGCAAAGCAGCTTGAAGACCTTTGTTACTGCTGTAGAGGAAGCTCAGAATGAATTTGGTAGACTTGTGAAGCTACAGATGACTTGTTCCTGTGCAAGAGAAAGCCAGAGTTCTCTGCCGTTTGTAGTGAATGCAGGTGTCAAAGAAGGGGTTCATGTTCCTGAGAATGGAATTGCCAAGTTTTCAGTTGCTCAGCTTGATATGTCAGCAATGCTTGCTGATATCAGACGTATGGCCATATTTGATTTGCTAGCTAATACACTTGAGCTACCAGTGTTAAAGAGCCGATTATTGGCTAAGTTCGGCTACTCGCTACCGATATATTGTGAGCCCATGGGCATTGAAGACCCTGTGAATGAGCAGGGTGTACCTAGGGAAACTTCATTTCGAGGTCCAGACGATGGGGACTGGTTTATAGGCTCTGAAGATCAGACGCTGGGACAAAATGACATGCAGACGCCACCACATGATATGTCACATAGAAGAAGGAAGACGAAGAGCATTGCTGACCTGTTGGGAATGGACACAAAAGATAAGTTGGAGAGTGACATGGATGGAATAGAAGAAAATTCACAGTTAGGAAAGTCGGTAGTGAAATCTGGGAAGAGGAAGAGGAAGGTTGCTGATGAGGATCAGTCATCTATGCCTGTGGCAAATGGCGATGATGGTTTTTCTAAAGATGAGGAGCTTTTAGGAAAGCAGTTTTCAATATCTAGTAGGAAAAGAAGGAAGACTGTTGATGAAACACAACGTGTAACAGATGATTCGATGATTACTCGATCAAGCTCAAGGAAAAAGAAAGAGGACTCTGTAAAATCCCGATCAAGCTCAAGGAAAGCGAAAGAGGACTCTGTAAAATCCCGATCAAGCTCAAGGAAAGCGAAAGAGGACTCTGTAAAATCCCGATCAAGCTCAAGGAAAACAAAAGAGGACTCTGTAAAATCTCGATCAAGCTCAAGGAAAACGAAAGAGGACTCTGTTAAATCCCGATCAAGTTCAAGGAAAACGAAAGAGGATTCTGTAAAATCCCGATCAAGCTCAAGGAATACGAAAGAGGACTCCGTAAAATCAACTACCTCTGACAAGAAAGCTTCAGGTGATGGTGGTGGTGAGGTAAAAAACAAGCAGAAAATGAACATTGTGCCTCAGGTGAGCACTAATGGTGGACCTACGGCTGAGGAGGGTTATGAGAGGATCTCTCCAAGAGAAAGGAAATTGAGCAAGTACTTGTCTCCTCCCTACACAAATTTGCTGCAGAGGCAAAGAAGTTCATGTTCACAAACAAGTTCAGAAGCAAGAGGTCTTGAGTTCTCTGATGTTGCAAATACCGGCGAAAGGATAGCCAAGACAGCTGGCAAGTTAGTGGGCTCTACTCCGTTAGTGAAATGCAGTGCTGAAACACTTCAGAAGCCTTCTAAGGTATCGGGTTCCAAGCATGAGAAAATTGATCATCCAGATCAGAACAGAAGCAAGCCAGATCTGATTTCTGAAGAAAATGGTCCCGAGAAAAGTATTGATTCTTTGAACGGTGTCCTTCGTGAAATTCACTCAGCTGCTCTTGATCCACTATGTACAAGGAGGGACCAGAACTTTGATTCAATCAAGGGATTTGTATCTTCATATAGGAGCTCAAACTACAGAAATGGACCAAATTATAAAATCTATAAGAAAGGATTGGCTGATGATCAACGGAGAAAGAGAAAGAGAAATTCGTCTGGTACCATGCATGGGTCAGACTCAGAGCATAAGGTTCTGAATGATGTTGATCAGCAGACCCTCAAGCGGAAACCTTCTAAAAGGAGTGCAACAAAGAGAGAGCAGAAGTCGGAGTCAAAGCCTGATAATGAAGTATCTTGTGAGCCTTCTTCATCATCAGCTACCCTTGTGATTACATTTCCGGCAGGTTTCTCCTTGCCAACAAAGGAAAATATCATAGGAATGTGCTGTAAGTTTGGTGACTTGGATGAGTCAAAAACTGAGGTGATCTCGGAGTTATTTACAGCAAAGATAGTTTTTGTACACAGGTCGTATGCTGAAGCTGCTGTGGACAGTATGCAGAAGAGTCTTCCTTTTGGAACTGCGGAAGTTAGCTATAAAATTCAATATCTAGCGTCTGTGTCTTCTAAGGGTAAGCAAGTGAATGTGCAGAACAAGAAGAAAATGAAATCTACTGAGTCAACAGTAGCCAAATCACCTGACAAACAGCCTTTTGTGTCTCCCAACTCACCTTCACCCGAAGGTGAACCTTTGGCGGTTATCTTTATAAAGCAGAAGCTCAAGGCAATGACGTCAATGTTGGGAGAGACTGATGGTAAGATGTCAGAGGAGATAAAATCTAATCTGGAAAATGAGGTGAAGGAGCTTTTAAAGAAGGTGAAGAAGATGACTGCTACTTCGTCCTAGTTTAATACAAGTAATACTTAGTAGTCTTTTATGATATATTTATGATATAGAGAGCTTTAGACTGTTTGTAAAGATTGCTATCTGTTTACTTTCTTCTCTGCATATAGTAGACCTTTTTCTTCTTCTTTTTGGAGTAGCACACTCAAATGCTGTGGCCAAATGGGTGTTCTTGTCAATGTTGCGGGACTTGAGATGTGAGAAATTACCTCTACTATCCTGTATTCATTTTCACATGCTTCATTTATATGGTTTTCAATTTTCGTGCATCTTACTTTTAAGCAGCAAATTTCATTAGCATGAATGTCTGCTGTGGGATTTATAATTTTAATTCAGTAATAGGTAACTTTCTGATTAGCTCTTGCTCATCAATCTTCGATTTGCAGTAATTATCTGCATCAAGTATCGTTTTTTATACGCAAAAGTAAAAATACTTCCATTAAAACAAGATCAAGGACTTCAGCAACAAAGGCAATAGTTAGCTGTAGCAAGCTTACAGTACAGACTAACAGTCAAGTATCTACAAGCAGACTAGCAGGTTGAAATTGCAAAACTTTATAAATTTACATAAAAATTTGTTGTATCACAGTTGGATTGGTATAATTCCTTGGTTCTAGAATGATATCAGATTTTTCATACTTCATTAATGAGCTGAGATGAGAGTATGAGACCCACATATTAAAAAATGCAGCAGCTAATAGTCAGTTGCTCATACTCCTTATTCAGTTGAACAAGAGCAGTAAGGCGCTTTTATTTATTTATTTATTTATTTATTTATTTATTTATTTTTTATTATTATTTTTTTTTTTCCTTTTTCGAATCAATGTCTATCTATGCCAACGTTCATTCACTTGTGGTTTGCTATACAATGTATAATCTGAGATGCATTTAAGATGATGGAAGCAATAGAGACAAGGGGTAAACCGAACCCGAAGAGGAGAGTATTTATAAGTTCATGAAGTCCATTGTGTGATGTGTGAATTGTATTTTGGAGATTGACAACAATGAAAAGTGAGATACATAATGCTCTTCCTAAGGCTTTCAAAGACGATAAAATTTCTGGCAGCCTACAGAAGGGCCAGTATATTACAAAACGTAAGGTAATATTAACAGCTTCTAGCTCTTAATTTAGGCTGTTAAAGCAGGAGAGGGGACCCTAGATTGTGCCCATGATACTATATCATCTCGAGTAGCAACAAAACAACCCACTCTATCATCACTAAGCCTAAATGGTGCGGCCAATTCTTCTATATGGGAAGCAAATGAGCTAGCTAGACCTTGAGAAAATTTGTGAGTTCCTGCACCAGTATAGGCAGAAAACAACTCTGGCAGTGCCTCTTCACGCTCTACAATATTCAATAGACTTATCATCCACTCTTCTAGAGCAGTGTGAGCTGCACCCACAGATAGTGACCGCACATTCAAACTCCACTCACCTGCGGTTTTCTTGTGTAAACCTGGGTACAATCCAAAAATAGTTCCTAAATACAAAAGCTCGTGAGCTCTCTCTTGCAAATTTCTTTTCCTGCAGATATCAATCAAGCAATTACAGAAGGGTCTTCTAGATTCAAGTTGTGCATCAGTAAGTATAGCTTTGAACTCTTCCTTCAACGTCTCGAATTTAGTTCCCTCTTCCATTAGCAAACTGATGAAGGCAACCAATTTCGGGTTAGCTCGTCCCAAACAACCAAGAACCAAGTCAGCATCTTCAGTGTTGTCACAGAATGACATAACGGAAAGTAGGCAACCACATAGTCTATCATCTGGCCTGATACCTCTTTTAATTGAGACCTCAAACACTCTAACCAAGTCATCAATTCTCTGACTCTTTCCTAAGCATTGGATCAGACAAGTACATCCCATGACATTAAGATCGACCCCCCTTTTCGACATTTCCTCAAACAACTCCATTGCCCTATCGACCTTCCTACCACTACCATACACATTAAGCATTGCAGTGTAGCTAAAGCTATCTGGTCTACAATGCTGGGACTGTTTCATATCTTCGAAGAGCCTCTCAGCCTCCTCTTCCAATCCAAGGTCTGCACACATACTCAGCAATGTGTTATACAGAATGAAGTCCATAGGCCATCCATTGGACCTCATTCGATCCCACAACTCCAAAGCATCCTTACTCCACCTTGCCTTACCATAGACTTTGACAAGTGCTGTTAGGGTTTTCTCATTTGGGGTAACACCCGATTCAACCATTTCCTCAAATAAACTCCGAGCCAAGCCAGGCTTTCCAGCCTTACCCATTGCCTCTAACAAAGTATTGTAAACTATCAGATTAGGCTGTACCTCCAGAGACTTCATCTCCTGCAATACAAACCTGATACCATCATAGTCCCCTGCCTCACCAAACATCTTACAAAGAACAGAAAAAGCTATATGATCGGGTTTCCACCCGCTCGCCCTCCCTCTTTCATACAAACTCATGACCTCCTCAACCTTCCCTATCTTGGCATACACATCTAGAACAGCTGAATAAGTAACCTCATCAGGCATCACACCAGTTTTATACATCCTCTCAAACCACTCCACAGCTTTATCAAACAGATTACACCTCTTAGCACAAGTAATAATCGTAGAATATGTAATGTTATCGAGCTCAATACCATTCTCAATCATCTCATTAGCAAGACCTTCAATAAGGCCAAACTGCCTACCAAACCTCAAAGACTTCATAGTAACATTGTAATAAATAGTTTCCATAGGAAACAAATTCTGGGTTTTCACCCAATTGAAGAAAAGCAAAGCTTTTTCCCACGGTTTCAGAGAATTAAGCATCAAAAGAGCGTTTTCTTTAGTAACTGGATGTGGGATTTCTTCCAGAATTGAAAAGAAAGCTTCATCAGAAGTATAATCAGAATCATTAAGCTTCTTGGCAAAAAGCTTAAGGTCCCTAATTTGGGGATTAAATGAATAAGGAGAGCGTTTTTGGCGTTGCAGAGAAAGAACAGAAGGCTTAGGTTTAGTGGGATTGACCCAAGTAGATTTGGGCGGTTTAATGAGAAGTTGAGCTTGTTCTTTAGCGTTTTCTGATAGAATTGTTTTAGAAAGAGGCTTAAGTTGGTCAGAAAGTGAAGAATTTTTCTGGGGTTCTTCCAAATTTGGAGGGGATTTAGAGGAATTGCAGAAAATCGTGGATTTTCGAATTGGGTATCTGGAAATTTTGGGGAAGAAATTGGGGTGTTTGGGTTCAGAAATATTTGAAATATTCATATTATAATGAAGATCCATAGACATGGTGAGAGGAGCAGCCATTAAAATTAACAAAGAGAAAAAGAGAGAGAAAAGGGTGTGTAAATGTAATACCTTATCTATTGAAGCAAGATTGATAAACCCTTCATTTTTGAGCCTTAAACCTTTGTATTCTGAGTGCAGATAAGGAGTGAGAATGTAAGAGAGAGACAGTAAGCAGTATTGGCTGTATAGCTGTATTGCCTGGGCTTAAATATGCAATTCATCCGTTTCTAAAAACTTGCTTCCTTTTTTTTTTTTTATGCGCGGAGTTTTTAAGAGAAATTAGAGAAATATAGAGGGAGTGGAGTTGGTGGAAGAATAAAAAATTATCAAAAACAAAAGTAGTGAAAATTGAAAGAGAGAGAATATGAAATTAATAAAATTTGATTTATGTTGAATCCTCTAGTTGAGAGAAATGAATTAAATATTATAAAAGCTTTTCAAATAAGGAAATGAAGCAAGTATTTAAAAATGGAGGGAGTAATAAGTTGGATAATTAGAGTATTAGACTAGTTTAAGGCTCGTGCACCGGTGCACACACTAAGTAGTTAAGGCCTTGTTTAGTTCAACTTATTTTACTTATTTCAGAAAAATAAGTTCAAATCAAATCATTGTTTTATGTACGGTTTTTTATCACTTAATATCTTTAATTACGTAATGAAAAAAATTATAAAAATTACATATTAATAAAATACACATTAATACAATTGTAACAAGACCCCACTCGATATATTTCTTCTTTATAAATTATCGTACACATAAGGTCAAAGTTGGTCAAATCAAACAATCAAATCAGATTAAATCATACCAAATCATATCCGAGCAGACTAGATTAGCAAAACTAAGGTGAACTAAACAAGCCCTAATTCACAAATTACGTACAAGTGATTATAGATAAGTCGTTAGAATTGTCTGGATATGTAGTTGTGGAATATGAAGAATCAACTTTATAAACTTTGTAAATACACAAATAGAGATCAATATTTTAAAAATTTACATAGTACGTTGTAAGCATAAAAAGGTAAAGTGTAAAAGACATAAAAGAAAAGGGTTTGAGGTGGTTTCCATGGACTCCATGAGATCTCAGGAGGTCACCTAGGTGGTTGGAACAATCCACTTTTTCTCTTAACTGTCAATTTAACCGATTATGAGCATGTCTTCCATCATTAACCCATTGCCACCACAAACCTTAATGTGTTCAAATAGTGGGCGTACATGATTCCAAACAACCTTTTTATGACTTTGAGTTGCATTCTTAGCCATCACTTTAGTTTTTAACATTGGGTCCTAAAATATGCAAAAATAATCTAAATCTATACTATATATCAAAAGGCGTTACTAATCAAGGATACACGCCACGTGTCACCCCTTTCTTCCATCAAGAAGATGTCACGTCACCAAGGAGAATTGGTACATCTATACTAATATATTAAAAGGCGTTTATAAAAACATCCATGTGCCACGTAGATCCTTTTAAATTACGCCACGTCACTTCACAAATACTTCTTGACGCCACATCACCTACCCAACATCTCTTTATACATCATCACTGAATTAACCTTAATCGTTATGCCACATCACCTAAGCAACCCACATTACTTCATATAAAAATATAAGGTTAAGGGGATTCAAACACCCAACCATTTATATTAAAGTTGGCTATTTAACCATCTTAGCTCATTATCAAGCATGTTATAAATATGAAAAAAATATGTACATAAGTGTAAACCACATGATTTAATAATTAAAAAAAATAAACACATTCAACAATGTTGATTTCAGATTTCAAAATCCTTAAAAAATACTCCAATTGCACGATTATAAAAGTAGCAACCCGAGGCAATGCCCGGGCTACTCACTAATGTCAATTAAAAAATGTTTATATCAAGAATTGAACTCGGGTCTATTAGAAAATAAATAAATAGTCGTACCATCTTTGCTATCTAATACTTTGTTTATTTATTCTTCTTAAATATAGTTAATGTATGGCATGAGGTTTTTTTTTTTTTTTTTTTTTGGTACAAATTATTTTCTTCAACTAAATCTATAATAAATATATTTAAGATTATTATAATACATGAAAACTATAAAACGGAGTAAAAAAATAGTTAACGTATAGACTCGAGGCATCGCCCGGGCTAAACACTAGTTTATGTATTATAGCCTTGATTTTTTAGAGAATATTCACTTTTCTTGGACCCTAAAAAGAAAAAGGCCGAAGTGCTTCCCACGGATCCTAAAAAGTGCCCAGGAAGTTAGAAGGTTGAAACCATCCATTCCCCCCCCCCCCTTCTCCTAATTGTCAATTTAGCCAATTATTGACACACTTCTCGTTGTTGACTTAAGGTCACCATGAGCATTTATATAGTTGTTTAGTGAACCTATATGGTTATGTATAATCTATTATAACCCTAGAATGATGCATTCCTCACCATCATTTGAGTTTTCCAGTCTTGAAAACTACAAAAATGGTTCAATTTTATGTATTATAGCCTTCAACTCTAACCTTCGAACAACATTTGTACTCCGACTAGCTATTTCATTGAGGTACTTCTCATGATTCTCAAAAGATTGTGGGAGGTTATATCTTCGTGCTCATGTCTTGGGTTCATGCATTTATAAGTTAAAACTTTTCAATGAGTTTCGGTTTCCCAATTGTTAATATATGCTTTGTTTGAGTGATCGAAAAATTGCTTTACAGGTTGTATTTGTTTAACTTTTCTTTCCAAAATTCTGAATTGTTGATTAATTTTTTTGAAAATTTACGTTGCAAACCAAATGAACTTCAAGGCATAATTAAAAAGGCAACTTATAATTAGGGATTTAGGGTCATAGGACTTCAAAAAAAAGTCCAAAAAAATTGGGTTATAAGATCCACCGAAGTGGGTAGCCTTAACCGGATGTGTATGTTTACAGGAAAGCCCGAAGGCCACTCCCGTCCCTGTCAGGGGAGATGCCAACCATCTCTCCTTTCTACGAACACAATCTATTTTAATCCTACCTATTCAATATAAACTCATATTCTATCTTGTAATCTTTCGATGTGGTACAAAACATCTGTTTTCTTAAATAAAAAAAAAAACCATCACTCTCCTTTCAACAAAATCTTAGCCCACCAAGTGTTCGACGAAATTCCCCAACCCACCAAATTAACCAGAGAAAAACCCTTCAAAAATCAGAGATGGGTAAACGAGGTAAAGGGAGAGAAAATGGCGCATCTTCTTCATCTGGGTTTCACACATCTCTCACTCTTCGAGAAGAAGCTAGTGGAAAGAAACAATCCCACAATTCTAAAGCAATCCTCAAACACAAACATTTACAGAGTTTGGCTCAATGGGCTGCTGGGTTAGGGCAAGGGAATGGTAAAGATGAACCTTCAGTTGGTTGTTTGGGTGCATTTTTTGGTCGTCGATTTGCTGAGTTTGGGGAGTCCTTGGGAATTGCCCCTGACCCTTCTTTCTTTTCTTGTCAAAGGTGATTCCTTTTATTCTGATTTTGTTTATTTGCTTTTTAAATTTAAAATTTTATGATTGTTGTGAATTGTGTTAGTGTTTTGTATAGCAATTTATGATATTGTTACGGCTGGTTTGGTAGTCGGTAATAGATGATGGTAATTGTAAATTTGTAATTGTATTGGACTTTTTGTGTGGTTTTGCTTGTTTCTTGCTTCAAGGAATCAATACTGGTTAACATTTTGGGTTACAAGAGTATGCTTATGAAGTTATAGTGTGTTGTTCTAGTGTGGGAAGAACAATAAACATGTTCTGGAATCTTTAGACTCCCATGAATATCATTAGGATTTGATTATTGGAACTGCTTTTTATACATGTGTATTCAGATTGTGTCTACAATATAACATAAACTTTCTAGCTAGGATGTTGAGTTTCTAGAATAGGTCATAGAACTGGTAGATTATGAGTTGCAAAAGGCCTTTCGCGCTTGGAAGCAGTGGCTATCTGTTGGCCAGGGAGCTTCTGTAAGCTATTAAGATTGTGTTAAAGTAGCCAACTAGCTATTTTCGAGGGAATAGAAGGTAGGCTTTTGTAGCAAAGGTGAGGGGAGGGAAAACTAATTTCCCATTTGGATAACACAAAACACGAGGGTAAGGAAATGCTAGTAAGGGAAGGGAATGAAGTGCTTGATGTGCTCGGATATGATTAAATTCTCGAAGCACGGGGAACTCAGGTTAAGGAAAGGATTGTGCAGCCAATGTCTTCCGTCTTAAATGCCTGATAAGAATAACTATTTCATTGTCTTGTTCATAAATCATATTAATGGAAAAGAGATGGTGATGGAGCTGTTGTGGCTTAATAGCCAACTTTGGAAGAACATGGGAGTCTAAATCCTTTCCCCAAGCCTCCCTGATAATCATCCTAATAAATCCCTCACTCTTCCTTTGTTCTAAATCCTCTCATACATACATAGTGTATGGTTTGCTTTGTTTAGTTTTTAACTTGTTACAGAGTTGGCTCACAGGAAAGCTGTAGGCTCAATTTAAGTTGAGGGAAACCCAAGTAGAATGGATTATTTACATTATTTAGCGGTTTGATTAGCTTGTCTTGGAGCATGTTTGACAAATAGGAATTAGAACCGAGATCTGGAAGGCTAGAAGTTTTGTTGTGTTAGGCTATCTCTTATGATCGTTGCTCCTATTTCCCGATGACCTATAATATGATGCATCAGGTATAGATGAATGGAATTTTAGGTGATGCTAATAAGCTAGTTATTATTAGGTCGGGGAGGAAGACAGCTAGGGAGTTTCTACATGAATGAGATCAGTTTGAGCCAAGGCATAAGAGAATTTTGATGAGTTTTATCACTTTTGTTGCAGTTTTTGTAAGAGTATATATAATACATCCCCATTGAAGTCTGGGATTGTTATCATTGTATGCCCAATTTGATGATTTGATTGCATCGTATTACAATCTACAATCATTTCTCCCCCAAATTCTCTTCTTCTCCCCTCATTTCTAATTATTTAATCTTGTACAAATTTGTCTGGCAGACTATAAACTATGTTTTAATCTTCATTTTTGAATCAGTAGCTAACAGACATGTTTTAGAAGAGCACGGTAGGTAAAAGCATGAAAGAGTCTAAGTTCATGACTGTTACAAACTTACAATGCTAATAACTAATACAGATAGGGGTCCATAGACATATAGCATCAATCTTCTTCTTTGTAGACAGTAGAAACACTGATCATCTTAAGGGGTTTGTTTCTGCTTCAATCCCAACATGGTAGTAACTGCAAAGCCATTAACATGTGCGAGGGAAATTTCTATTGCCTAATCGTAGGGTAATAAGGTTTCTTTGCAAAGGAAAAAGGGCCTGGAGTTAGTAGTTGGTACCATTGTACTGACAGGCTTATTGGCCTTTTAGCTTGCTTCTGTTTACAACTTGGCATTGTTTACTAGCGTAATTGGGTATACTTTTCCTCTGTTGTGAGAAGGTAGTTTTTTATTCTGTTTAATGAATTTTATTGCTATTTTTGCAGATGTGAGACGATTCTCCAACCTGGCTCCAATTGCACGATTCGAATTGAAAAAAATCGAGCCAAGAGTCAGAGGAGAAGCAAAACTAAGACACCCACACAGAATAACGTTGTTTACACATGCCACTTCTGCTTGCACCGGAATCTAAAGCGAGGAACCCCAAAAGGACATATGAAAGATCTAACCCCTTCAAAGCCCAGATCTTCAAAGCCTAAATCTGTAATCTCTGCAAAGAAAAGTAAAACTAATATTAGCAATGTCAAAATTGGCAAGGCAGAGATTAGCAAGGTCATAACTGCCAAGGTAAACGAGGAGAATTTAAACAAGGTCATAACTGACAAGGGGGACAAGGAGAATTTTAGCAAGGTCATAACTGACCAGGCAACTGAAGCACCTGCACCCGCAATAAGCAATGTTTGTTCTTTTCTTACAGATGCTCCAACAAGTTCATTGGCCGAGAGTGGTGCAAAATTATTGGATAGTAAGAGGAGGAAAAGGAAAAAACCAGGGCTGAAGAGATCAACAGAGGAGACTATGGTTGGTTCAGCCCCAGCAGAGATAGAAAAGGGTAGCGGCGCCTTGAAGAAAAGGAAGAAGTCCTGGACTACTCTGAAAGATATTGCAGAGAGTGAGAAGCATGACAGGAATCAGAGGTTTACTAATTTTTCAATTCCCTTCAACTTGTAATCGTGATTATGAATCACTGGATTTAACAATGAGCTCCTATAAGTTTCAAGAGAAGGGAAATATAATTTTGATGCTGCTTTGAGCGATAAGATTAGCTGATAAACTCAATTATGAAATCTTCAGCACAAATTATCTTGTCCGCTTGAATAGCTTAATGATACCAACGTGCCTTATACCAATTAGAAGTAATACTGTTGTAGATTCGTCTTGATTTGTAGTTTCAAAACACTCATTAATTTTCATAGTTCGATTATATGCATTGTAAATTAATGCTTATAAATGTAAGTAGAAAACCGTAACAGGCCAAATGGGATAAACATTATAAAATGGAATGACTCGAGGGTAAGTTACGAAAGTACCTTAAACAAGATATGTCTTACTTTTTAATTAGCAAAATTATTACAGACTTACAGAGTACCTATAATATCTTGCATGAAAAGAGATTTGTTGGTACAATGTAAAACTTGTGTATGTATCTCTGGCTCTCTTGTATGCACAGGTTATCCAAAATATTCATAAAATAATTGTTAAATTGTTTCCATTTTTCATTGATTGTAAGTTGTATACGACTATACGGAGTATGAAAGATAATTGCAAACATTTATTCCTTTTTTGGGTGAATTTTGTTAGAAGTTTGGTAATCTAAATGATTTTAGTGAAATTTGACATAGGTTGAGGCCCTTGAGGGATTATGGTTTTAGAGACCTTTTTATACTACTGTAGTCTGTAAGTAAGATAACCTTTTAATATATATATATATATATATATATATATTATTTTATGTATTTTGAAGGCATATACACTAATTAATTTTTTTCGTGCTCCTCTAATGCTTAATCTATATATTTAAGTTAATATACCACATTTAAATTTTAACTAGTACTTGTATTTAGCCCGCGCGATGCATGGGTTAATTTGTTGGCTAAATATATGTTTTTAATTAAAGAATTAACTATTGTGAATTTGGATTGTTCTTAATTTTTTTTTTAAATCAAAACATGTGTAAATATTAAATTGCATTTTATTAGTAAAATGAAATACTATGTAAGTAATGCAATATCCCTCTCATAAAAAAAAAAAAAAAAAAAAAAAGAACATTAAAAAAACACAAATACTTCTATTGAGATTACTGATCACATAAAATTAATCATTTGTATAAAACTAATCACATAAAACTCTTCTTAAATTATTACTATTGTAACCGGAAACAAAAGACGAAGCTAATAACGAAATTAAACAATTTTAAAACTTAATTAAAAAAATATGTTAATAAGTCGAGAAAATTTACCTTTGAATGCTCCCTTAAATTCAATAAATTATTTGAGCTTTAGAGTGTAGGAATCAAATGTTGATGATGATTGTGATTAGAATTGTTCACCTTTTATTCACCTTTGCATTATCATAAAAAAAAAAGTCTTAATAGAAGTATTAGTGTTTTTTTTTTTAATTTTTTTTTTTTAATGAGAGGGATATATTGCATTACTTTACCTAGTATTTCATTTTACTAATAAAACTATATGAAGCCTGTGCGATGCACGGTTTGTTTGTATTTTTCAAATAAAATATTTTACTATATATATATATATATTTATCTGGTAATTTGTGATTTTATACGCTTGTTTACTATTTGAATTTTTTATTATAAAATAAATTATTAATTTTGTTTCTCATACTTAAATAAAATTCCTAATATAAAAAATAATATTTTATTTCACAAAGTTTGCTGGCCACATCGTATGGTCGGGATTACTTGGTCAGAGGTTACTCGGTTGGTCAAGTGTTACTCGATCGATCAGGGGTTACTGGGACGGTCAGGGGTTACCCTATCAAAGTATTGGTGTGTCTCAGTCGTCCACACGATATGGCCAGCCACACAAAAAACCCGCTGATTTTATTTTTATAATTAATATATAATTTTAAATCTAAAATAAATTGCAATTCTTTTTTTATTGGCTAAAATATAATATTTTCCTATGTCACGCTCTGAAATATCTTGAAAAAACTCTCCTTTATGTAATTTTTGTAAAAATTTATCATAATGTTGGTTCCATTAATCAACCCAAATTAATCATTCAATGTTATTCATGATAATTTTTTAAAAATAATAATCTTATGTGTCGCTCTGATAATTTTTTATTTTTTATTATAATCCTATGTAGCACTTTGAAAAAACTTATCTTACATGGCATAGTTCTATCGTAGCGTTTTAAAAATATTAATCTTACGTGGGGCTCTAATAATTTTTTTAAAAATTAAAATCCTACGTGGCGCTCTAAAATCTCGGGAAAAAACTCCCCTTTATATATATACTAGTTTTGTGCCCGTTCGATGCCCGGGTTGTTTCAATATTTTAATTAAGATAAAACTTTTTATCTAAAATATATATGTCATTTGAATTTCTACACATAGATTAATAATCACTTGACAATTATACTTGTAAAATAAAATATATAGTACTACGAGCTCATAAAGATATGGATGGTTTTAGGAAAGAATTTGGGTTATCTGGTAGTTCTTGAAAGTGACGCAAGTAGCATGGTCATCATAATAATTTGAAAAAATTAATTTGGAGTTACACCTTTTTCATATTATTGGATGAAATTTCTAGAATAAGTTGGGATTTAACTATTACGTACTTTGAATTATACCAAAGTTTTTTGGATAAAAAGAAAAATGAAAAAAAAAAAGAAAAAGAGCAAATACATAGAAAGTTGAGTTTGACAGAAGTATAATGTTTGGGCTAGGAGTAATAATGTACAACTAAAAACAACGGTTTGTCTAAAGCTGTGACCCGCTCTTTTCATTTTCTCTGAACATCTACAGAAAAACTGGTTGCATTAACACTTAAGAGACCGGTTATATCGGTTTTTTTGGGGGGAGGGGAGAATGGGTACAATTGTACCTCTATATACCCTTTGGACCCGCCACTTATACATTCGGTTATATATAATAACAGGTCTATTTGATTATTTTTTTCTTTTTTGGGGCCGAGGGAGGAGAATGGGTACAATTGTATCTTTACATACATACCCCTTTGAATCCGCTACTTGCACATATAAAATATTAGTATTTTTATTGAAAATAAAATTCTAAATTAAAAGTTTTATCTTAAAAATAAATCTATATAAATCTAATATATATAAAAATAAAGTAGGCATTTTTGGAGAGCATTCGAAGTGCCACGTAAGAAATATACTTATTTCGACCAATAAGAAGAAAGATTTGTATTTTATTTTTGAATTAAAAAATTAAGTCGCCACCTAGATAAAAGTAACGAATTAGATGTGATATATCTAAAATTTTAATGCCACGTAGATTATAATCCACAAATTAAATTATTTTAAGAAAAAAAATAAAGTAAAAATATAGGAAAAGATAAATTTATTAATTCAATACTACGAGTATAAGAAATCCAAAAAAAATTACTAAACACAAATAAAATTTCGTATAAATTTTAATGCCACGTACATTATAATCCACGAATTAAATTATTTTAATGAAAAAAATAAAGTAAAAATATAGGAAAAGATAAATTTATTAATTCAATATACGAGTATAAGAAATCCAAATAAAATATAATAAACACAAATAAAATTACGTATCTATACAAAACCCCATGAAGCGAATTTTGTGTTAGTAATTTTGTATTATTTTTAGGTTATCAATGTCCGGGTAATTTTTAAAATTTTATGTTTAAATTTATATTTGTAATTATTAGTTATATTGTATTTATTTAGGATACTTAACGATTAATTGTTTATGTAATGGCATACGATTAGATGTTGTATAATTAATATATGAATGGCTTTGGTTATTTTTGGAGATGATGAAAAAATTCCAATGCATAGATTTGATTTTATATCGCAACAATTGTTCATTTATTGGTAAATATACTGATTTAGTTTATATAAATGTAAAGATTTAATTTATATCAATTTTAGTTTGGCTAACATTTCACAGTTCAATTTATCCATTGATGTAGTAGGTTGGTCGTGGACAAGGTTGGTGATTCTATCGAAATAAAAGATATGGTAAAACAATGAATAATGATTTAGGATTTAAATTATTAAAAATTTATTATTTCACATTAAAGATTTTATATAACGGAAAAAATATCATATTTACAATTTATTTATATTTAATAAATTCGTTATAAATTATAGTAAAAAAATAAAAATAAATATTAAACTTTTGTAATTTTGTCTGAAATTATTAAATACAATAAATCAAATAATTAAAAATCTTAAATGAAAAAACCGGGCATCGCACGAGCTTCCATTTAGTTTTATTGAAAATAAAACTCTTAAATAAATTTTTTATCCTACAAAATCTATCTAAATCTATCCAACTTTTTTTATCCTATTCTACAAAAAAAAAAAAATAAAAAATAAAAAATAAATAAATAAATCAAAAAAAATCATACATGTCATACTAATATTTAATTGTTCGCCGCCTATGTGGCGCGTCACTTGGCGAAAAGTTGGAACGTCAAGTGTCGCTGTCTTGTAGCCTAACTTAAAGTTTAGCTTTATATGATATTAGATTATAGATTTAGGGTGAAAAAGAGGAATGATAGAGAAAGAAGATAGAAAAAGAGTAAAAGTGAGAGAAGGAAGATAAACAATTAATTTTTTTTCTTGTGTAATTGAAGAATAATAAAATAAATTTAGAGGAACCAAGAGACAAATGAAAACTGAACATTTTAAAGGGATTGAAAGCATTTGGTATAAAGAAATTTTTTTATTTATTTTAATTTTTTTTTACACTTCATTTGAAAGCAAAACTAAAATAATATAATTAAAAATTCAGAAAAATAGGAAGAGGACAAGTGTCCTTTAAATTTCCTGTTTTAAAATAGAAGTATAGATTACACTTGCCGAAAAACCAATGATTTAAAAACTTTCATCAACAACCTTATTTTACAATATAAACTAGCATTATATGCACGCAATGCATGCAATAACTAATAAAAATTTTATATATTTTAATGATCTAATAAAAGTTTATCACATAAATTTGGAAATTTTTTTGTTAAAAATTACGAGAAAAGTATAAGATGAAAATAATGTATGAATTTGCAGATACGAAAAAAGTGAAGATGGGTACTTCCTCCGTTTTTTTAAAAATGTTACGCTTTCCTTTCGTGGCCTTTTTTTTAGTGTTTACAATTTTTTTTTCACAAACTACACCATTTAAATGTTATTTCTCTCTACTCTCATGGTCTCAACTTAATTAAATACACTACTACTTTTTTTTAACTACTCTATAGTATTATTTCTCTCTCTCTCATATACTTTATTTTTCAATAAAATATCAACTCTACTATCTTTTCTAATAATTTTTTAATACTCCATCTACCCCACTCACATCTTCTTATGTTAAAATCAATTAATTAACCAAAACTATGTGCAGGTCAAAAGTTAACACTTAAAAAAAAGGAGGTAGTAATTAAGCTTTATTAACCTCAACTAATTATGGTAGCAAGTGATTATGGTTTTCAATGTCTTTTTTATTTAGTGATTGAATTTCAAACAAAGGTAGTAGAATCGAATTTTGCGCCGATGTATGAATATCAATTCTTTTGTAAGCAGTATTAATTAGTTAAACATAATTTAATTGAGAATTTACAGGAAAATGACATCTTTATTTGTTTCTTTTATCAACTATTGCATTCAATTGGAGATGAGTTTTATGTATAAATTAATTGATTGATTGAAAATTATAATTTGTGCGTTAATTAAATAACTGAACTAATTGACATGAATAAAATAACATAGATTGTTTATTTTTAGACATAATTTCAAGTAATTAGTCTTTTTTTTTTTTTTTGTTAATTAATTATCTTCGTTTTTTTTTTATGTTTGCTAATTGATTGAATTTTTCAATTATCTTAGATTTATATTTAAAGGGATAAGGGTATTTTAGTCTTCATAGGGGGACACCACAACCCCTACCTTGGCTTATGTAATAGAGATACATATTACGAGATACAAGCACATTCATCAATGTCATATACAAAGTATTTCACACTATACAGTCACAAATGCAACGGATCATGACCATGCCTTAATTATCTTTCAACAACGATGAATTATTAATTTGAGTTAGACCAATAACTTTAAAGAAGACAAAATCATTAGATAATTATTTAAAAATTTAATGGATCTAACACAAAAATTTAAAATTAATCTTACATAAATTGCCGTTTTCGGATATTTTACAATGACTTAAGGGATTGTTGTTAAGTGAACTCATATTAGGAGCTATGAAACCAAACTCGTGCTTTACTTACTAATGCATGCATTCATCAAGAGAAAGACGATTTTACCCGTACATATATCTCAATTCCCATTGCTGGCTCTAGTTATGTCGTCGCTCATGGTCACTTAACGTCGCCACCAACCCTAGATCGCTGCCAAATGCCAACAACCCCGGGAATTTTGTTTTGTTTGTTTGTTTGTTTTTTTTTTTTTTTTTTTTTTTTTTACACTATTTATCAAGCGTCCCTAATGTTCTTAGGGCCACTAGTGATTATCGCTCGGTTTTCTCATTGCTTCCATGTGGCTAGGGTTATTAACCATTCCAAGACTGGGCTAGACCGACCAACTGGGTCAAAGATCTGAAATTTGAATTTCAAGAACAAAAAATCAAAACGATTAAGCTAGGACAAAACTTAGATTTGATTGGAAAAATTGATCCAAAACCCAAATTGGACCCACTTTAGAATAATTTTAGAGGAAAATACAAAAAAAATATAATAAAATTCTGAAAAACTCAGAAGAAATAAAGGGAAAACAAATTTTAATGTCTTTTCTTATAGGTCCATTACATAAAAAATAAAAAAAAATAAAAAAAAAAGCTCATAGATTGAAGTTTTTCTAACTTAAAGAATATCTTAATCGTCTTTAAAGAATTTATGCATAATTTTAAGGAAAATCGGTTTGGTCTGCCCAAGACTGATTATTAAAGGGTTTCTGACTAGACTAGGGGGGATCAAAGATTAAGAAAAAAAAAAAAAAAAAAAAAAAAAAGAGAAGTTATTTTCTTAACCCAAATATTAGACTACTAGTTGATTTGGTTCGGTCCATTATTCTAGTCCGGATCAGATTTTGAGCACTTCTACTTGTGACGCCCAAGAACATCAGGCATATGCATTTCCATTACAAATAATCAAGGGGTTGGCATTGTTTAGCACGCCCCTTGATTTATTGTAATTACGTTATGACGAACTTTCCTTAATCAATAAGATTTCAACATTAACACATACATGGCCAAATTAACGGTCTTAAGTAAAGTTTTAATATAAAAATCATTTAGAACAATCCTCATTCGGATAGTATTTATCCTTTTTATTTTTTATGTGAGAACGCAATCTTATAATATCTTTCATTTAAGGAAAGCATTGACCATATAATTTAGGAGTACTGAAATAATATCCTTTATATATATAATACATTTTTTCTTATTCCCTTAAACCTAAACATAAGCATTGTGTCGCCGCTACTCTCCAAATCAATCGCGTCGCTCTCAATACAATTGGTTTTAGGTTGCAAACCTTTTCAGCATACCATGCAATGAGGGGGTGGTTTTTGGGCATTGCGGAAATGAGGGGGTGGTTTTTATGCGGTGGGGGAATGTGAGGGGTGGTTTTTGGGCATTGCGGAAATGAGGGGGTGGTTTTTAGACGGTGGGGGAATGTGAGGGGTGGTTTACGAAGGTGGGGAAAGGAGGGGCTTGTTTTTGGTGGTTGGGTCCAGTGGTTTTCGGGGGTGGTCGCGGTGGAAGGAGAGGTGGTCGACTATGAAAGGAGGATGGTCATCGTGTTTAAGTGGAGGGGAAGGTGGTCAACTATGGGCCGAAGGGGTTGTGTTTTTGTTAAAAAAAATAGTAATAATAAAAAAACTAGTCAATTTGGCATTGATACAAGTTTCGTAACCCGCTAGGCCTAAAGAAAGCATACCCTTTAAAGTTCGGAATATTGAAAAATTATCGATAATTGTGATCATTAAAGCGAATGACCTAAAGTTAAGATTATAGACTTGATCAAATCAAGCATGGACCGATTTTCCCAAAGAAAACCCAGTAATCCGTTTTTAATTAAATTTTTGGTCCTACTCGATTTTGGCCCGAAAAACCGCTATATGTTATTGGCTTGAAATAGCGGGTTTGGGCATGACTTTTTTGGCCGCATGCTTGGCCCAAAATGGGCTGTTTTTTGGGCAAAGCCTGACCTGGATTTTGATCACCTCTATTCACATACCTTTTTTTTTTTGTTTTTTTTTTTGGAATAACTATTCACATACTTCGGATAAGTATAATAATAAATAACATGTAATCATTATTAATCAAATAAAATTATAACCTTTGAAAGTGTAAATTTTATTCTTATATAAGTATAAGAAAAACTAACATACCAATATATAATAATTAGTATGAGTAATTGATATCTATCTGATATGTGTTGCTCTCCCTCATTTATGAAATCAATCGTAAATAATATTGAATATAATTTATCCATTATGTATAGGATCATCAAAATAAATATTTTAAGATTTGTTTCGACATTAATTTGAAAATGTTAAAATTTGTGATCAAATACATAATTAAAGATATATGTATGTTATATATTTTAAATACAAACTTTTATTGATTACTGATCAATAGTATACATCTCTAATGCAATCTTGATATGTTTAGGGATATTGCAATTTGTGGCTTCTGCTTTAATATATGTATATGTACAGTATTTACTTCTAACATGTGCAACTTTTGTTATAAAAAATTCTAGCCATCAAAACAACAAAACACTTCTTTCTTACAACTTCCTATTAATCCACTCTTTTCTTATCAAAACTGAATCACAGCAGCAAATCCAGACAGGAAGAGAAGGCATAGTGATGGACCTAAGGGAAGAGATTTCATGGAATCCAAGAAGCTTGCCGAAGAAATCGCAGGGCCAAAAGAGGAAGAAAACACAGAAAGATGTGGTGACTGGTAGTAAGGAGGCAAGGTCCAAGAAAACTCAGCACAAAAACAAGGAACACATGTCGGTCAGGCCCATTGTGCTGGGACTTGAAGCTAAAAAGGAAGAGGAACAACAGCAGGGCCAAAAAGTGAAGGTTAACAAAGGCAATAGCTCCAGAAAAGGTCGGGTTCAAGCAAGTGCAGGAAAAAGCACCAGAAAAGGTCAAGTGCAGGAAAAATCCCCCGAAAAGGTCAAGAACAAGCTGGTGAAGGCAGAAGCTCTGGAAAAGGTGAGATTCAAGCTAGTGAAGGCAGAAGCTCCGGAAATGGTCAGAAACAAGCTAGTGAAGGCATTAAGATTTTTGGTGCGCTTGTATTGCCAAAATGGTAAGGGGGCATCCTTTTCAAAGCCCTCCAGTTGGCCATGAATTAGGATTCATCTTGGAATGGTAGGGGACTTAGGAACTTTAATAATGCAGACAATCCTATAGTTTCATTTCTAAAATGTTTGTCCGTTTAATCTCTAAAACAGTTTTTGTTTATGTTTAAGACCATTCAGTCTCTGGAGTACTTAGATTGCCTTCTACACAGTTCTTTTTTTTTTTAATTTTTTTTCCTTGATGGCACAGATGGGGTGGTTTGGAGTAGGCACCTAGCAATATCGCAAAGTACAATGTTAGAATATGTATTATATGTGTTGTCTTTGTTTATGGAGCTCAGGACGTTAAGTCCAGAACCCAAGTTTCAAAATGGGTAGACAGGTAATGACAAGCAGGGAGGTTCTACTACTATCTAAGGGTGGGATGACTTCATATCCCGGAAGATGTCCAGTTAGCTTGTTGATGTCCTATAAGGGGGTGTCAATTCACACGATGGAATGGGAGGGAATAAGGCACCATTCGTATTCAAATCCTATTAACTTCCCTACCATGCTATCTGACCATGCTCCTATTACATTCTAGATTGGTGCATGGAACATAATCTATTTAAGGAGATTCTTTCTTAGGTTTGGAATGGGAGGTACAGTGGAACAATAATGTCTATGCAGATGGATAGGTGAAGCCAAATCAGGAATGTTCATATGGTGCACGAATTCTGCCCTTCAGAGGCAGTAATGCTGGTAGCCCGGTATAGATAAGGTATGGGCATAGTTTAAAAAATAAAGGGTAAGGGTATTATCAGACCCTGGACATTGCATTCCCTAGGTAACAGATATTAGAGGGGACTGTCATGCCCCCAGTAGAAATTATTGAGCACCTAGGTTTCAGGCCGGAAAGTTTATGGTCTGTTAGTTACCAAGGTTCATACTCTCTAGTAATTAATGCTAGAGGGTACAGGTAGGTGTACCCTTATTCTGTTTTTTACTTCTATTATCATCTCCGTTCTGTGACTGCCAAATAAAACATATAGAGAACCACATATATTTTTAAAAACAGGCACTATAATACAACAGCATATTTTGCTCATATGTGAAACTTACAAAAGTGTACACCATATGGAGAAACTATACTTTCATCATATGAAGCAGTTGATTTACCTATCCTTTTACAAAAATAAGGAGGGAATTGAATTCAGGAATATAAACACTGTCAAAATTAGAATGATGCGGAAAACTTTTTTTGCGTCTGTTTATGGCTTCATCAAGCAATAGATTTTACTGTGGGAACAAGTAACTCGGCGATATGACTCTTCGCCTTTTCCCTCACATAAGCAAAAGGAATGCGATCAATTACCTCAGCCCCAAAAGAGTAAATAAGCGCCTTTCTAGCAGTCTCCAAGTCAATACCCCGAGCCTGGAAATAAAAGAGCTGATCCTCTTCTAGGTCACTTATAGCAGCTCCATGAGAGCACTTGACATCATCTGCAATTATCTGGAGATTGGGTTTCACATTTACTGTTGCCTGAGGAACAAGGAGTAAACTCCTTGTCAGTTGGCCAGCATCTGTTTGCTGAGCATATCTGCAGGGAGAAAAAGAGTTGTAAGCAAAAGAACCAAGTATAATCTGTATAGACTACTACTCAGAGATAAACTAAGATATATTATTGCAAGTAATTGATGATAGAGTAGCATGACTAGCATCTCAAGGGCTTGAAAAGCAACGAGTGATTACTCTGAAGTTGTCAGAAATCATCTATAATTTGGGCATTAGTTGGTGGATATATACACTGATGCATGGAACGATGATAATTGATAATAATGAAAAAGAAAATAGGAAAAATGATAGAGCAAGGGAAAACGGGTTGGCTTAGCTCTTTAAAAGTCTCTTTTAAAGGATTAAAATAATGGTAAGAAAGGTAGATCATTTGATTTCCCACAGTTTGAACTATTCTGAATAATGCGTTAGCTCGTAATCCACAAATTCATCACACATCAATCTAAGCATATACGAAACACTAGAAGTTTGATAAGTTGAATATCATTCATCCACACTCAGCACAAGAAATGCAATTCTCAGCAAGAATGGACTATCAAAGTTAAATCTCCGAGAATATACATAATTCTACTTGAACAGCCATGGTCAATATCAACTATCTTCATTAGACTCACAAATCTTATTCGTTGATGATCTAACATTTGACGGGTGGGGTGGGATGGGGGGGGGGAGGTACTGTTCCAGCAGCTCCTTTTAGACTTTCAGGGCAGAGGGTGGACCCTCTAAATCCCATGATGACAGATTCCAAGTTTCTAAGGTCATGCTTTTCAGAATAAAAACAGCAATGGAATCAAAGAAGGAATCCAATGACTTAGAACTAATAGAAAGCACATACTCTCAAGTAGAAACCAATAGCGAGAACAGATTGGCAAGACTTCTTCGTACAAAATACCTCAAAAAAAGAGATTTGACATACAAGTCACATTAAATTCAAGGAAAAAAAGGAGATATTAAATAGCTTTTTCCTTAGTGCAAAAAAGTATAGAAAGATATTCCTACAACAATTCTTTTAGAGACTTATACAAAGTCAAAGTATATGACAGTTTTTCTTCTTTTTTGACAGGAGAGATTACAGTAAACAATTAACAATTACAACAATAAACTTTTCTCAGGAATTGTTGCAAAAGGGTAAAGGTTGATTATTTATGATCCGTGGGAGCTCGACAATTAGCTTAGCTTCACATTTTAATTCAAAATTATTTTACCAATGATAGTATACCAACATTACTTCTTTTTTTTTTTTTTTCTCATCTTGTTCAGTAGCACAGGAACATTATCTGAGAGAAGATATTCTGAAAAGGTGAAAAGCTAACTCAACGCGTTGCTGGTCAATATGTTCGCAATATTTACTTTGATATTTCTTAAATAAAGGAAAAGGTTTTGTATTCAGGTAAAGTATGATATACATGCTACACATATTAAAGATTATCATCATACGAGAAGTGTAAATCATGGATGACCAGCATCAAGGATGTGAAACTCAGTATGCCAAGAAACATGGATAATATCTAACCCATTATCTGATAATTTCGGTTTCTATGACAAGCATGAAGGAGAGAGATTGATGAAAGAAAAAGAAACAAGATATGACAGCTAGAATTCCTACGTAAGCCAGAAAAGAATAGCAAGTAAACTTACCTATTAACTCTTACGTTCCCATCAAATACAGCTTGTCCCCGTGGATGACCCACAATGCACTTGTGAAGTTGGTTAGTGTAACCGCGTGGATGGTCCAAAATCAGACTGCTGTGCAAATCCTGCGTCTGATCATTGATAGATAGATGCAGTGTTGACAATTCTGTAACTGTATCTGGGCCAACTTGCTGAACATGGAGATTGTGTCGGCTCAGTTTCCCACCAGAGCTAAATTCTACAAGCTTATAGGTGCTAGCTGATTCCTGTGGAGGCAAGTACCAAATTTAACTTAAAGAACCCAACATTCAATTCCTCTTCCAAAAAAAATATTTTTAAAATATAATGAGTAGGGAAAAACTATACTCATAACAGTTGGAGCAGAGTATTCACACATTTAATATACTGAGATTTATAAGTTGTTAAATTGGGTCTTGAGACATAGTCAATTAGCAATAAATTGTGATGGAAATGCAAATTCCTAGGATACTCTTTCTAACCTACGAAACACAGACACACCACCCAATCACCATACCTACACCAGACAGACGGACATGGTGTCTAGCACCGACGAACGCGAGACAAACCTATAGCGTCAGACGCATGAAAAAATCATGTCCTTTTTTTTGGGGAGACTTGGGACACAAATTATGTCATATACCTTGACACGATTTGTATTACTATTAAATATGTCACATCAACATTTCAGGGGATTTTTTTCCTATTTATATCTTCCGTTCTTTTTTACTTGACGTGTATTCCTTTCTGGAAAGTTTCTTTTTACTTGACCAGTTTCTTTTTTTTTGGCAAATCTTACACTACACTTTTCCTTTTTTACCCTCACTTTTTTAACATATACATAAAAAAAAAAAAAAAAAATAAATAAATAAATAACCCGTTTTTACCCATTTCTCACCCCCTCTCACCTCAGTTCTCAATTACAATTCACAACCCACTTCTTTCTCCCTCCTCGCATTTCACCATGGAAGCCACCATAACCAATTAACCATGACACACCACCATCAACAACACCTTATTTTCTCCTCTCCACTACTCTTTCCTCCTCCCCTCAAGACCCATCTTACAATCCTCATAAGCAGATTTTAGCCATCTTATGCAGTTGACTCTTCTAATCAACATTCAGCCCCTATTTCACAAAAAATTCTGTAAGCTTATAGGTGTCCTGTGGAGATAGGAAACAAATTAACATTAAAACACAAGATTATATCCCTCTTCCAAAACAAAATGTAATTATACATAATTAGTAGGGTAAATTATAGGCTTATATAAGTTAATGGTGCAGAGCAACTTTTAACATATCGAGACCTGGAAGTTGTTTGATTGGATCTTAGGGAAAGTCAATTTACAATGAATTGAGTTGAGCATGCAGAATCTCGTGTTTCTAAAGGTTGCTTTCCTAACTACCTAATGCTCATAGGATCTGCCCAAAGACAGACACACAGGCTTTAGCCCAAGCAAATTCCTCAGAATCAACGGGTAGCCCCTTTAACTACTTGAAGCTCATAGGATCTTTCCAAAGAGAGAGACACAGAGGCTTTAGCCAAGGAGAAAAAATAAAGATAATGAATCTCCACAAAACATCTCAATCTTCATGGAGCAGCCAATGAATCTTTCATTCTTTCTTGCTTGCTCACCTTCCAATCCTTATTGGGAGATTTCAGCCATCTTAAGCAAATGAATCTCCTTATAAACAGTCTAACTCTAAGTATTCAAAACAAAAATTGCTCTTTGGTGACAAACTTATACTAGTTCTTAACTCCATTACTATTACACCACTATAATGAGACCTCTTTACGGCAAAAACTTTCATCCCAGAATGAGATAATTTATGATGTATTAATCCTGCATGTGATGAAGAGATAGTTTGAACCAAGAAATTATACAGGATTCTACATGACCTGCCAGTGTAAATATCAACTGTTTTTCTTTGATTCACAAGTTTTAATTATAAATGCTTTAAACTCTGAAATAAGCTGGACACAAAAATTACCACAGCATCTTTAGACATTTACTGCGTATAAAGCTTGCTTCCTACTTCATAGGGATGTATTATCATAATCGGGCTTCAAGCTACTTTCAGCCATCTATGAGCAAATCTCCCTGAATATAGAAAAAATATATTCTTCTAAATGTTTGATTCATCACTACCCAACGCTTGCTTCTTTATACAAGAATACTACCAAAGAGGATTCTTTCTGCAGCACATTTTATTCTAGAATTAATCCTTTACTATCAAAACACTTAGTCATAATAAAGAAAGCAGCCTTTATAAACAAATTCAATCTTTATAGGAGCGCAAATGAATCTTTCTTGCCTTCTAACATAAAGTTTTCACAAAAAAGTTTCAACTCACCTGGTTCACAATTTCCTAGACAAGCAGCCTCCTCCTACATCTCCCTTACAAATGTCCCTATTCATTTGACAACTTCCTTACTATTGCAACATCATACAGAAATAACACAGAAACATTATCAATGACTAATGAGGAATCTTTGCCACAATATTTTCATTCTAGGATCAGACTCTCGATCCTCACAACACTTCCAAGTTGAACAATGCAGTATTGTTGTATCTTAGACAGTGCCCAACAACATATTTCAAAAGAACATACAAATTCAATCCAGAATTCAGTCAAAACTGATGCAACTATTCATGTACTTAATCAGTTCTCAGGATGTGCTATGCTCTATATCCTTATCCGCCAGTTCAGGTAGAGTTTCCTATAACTCCATAATATTTCATAAATCAGTAGAACCTATTCTTCTCAGTATTCAATTGTTCTTAGTTTTGGTTTTACCTAACAGTGACAATAAAGGTGCAATATCCATTTCAGAACCAGTTAAATTAAGGCTATCATACCACCAATACGGCAAAAAGCATCACACTGAGCGCACTTAATTCCTAAATGCTAGTGCACTAACAAGAATATAAGTAAAGACAATTACATAATAATGCACTTAATTCCAAAATGCTAATGCACTAACAAGAACAGAAGCAAAGGCAATTACATAGTAATGCACTTAATTCTGAAATGCTATTGCACTTACAAGATTATAAGTAAAGGAAACCACATAATATAAGTGTTGCACATATTAACACTTAGATCAACAAAAACGTAATATAAGCAGAACCAAATATACCTGCCTAATGGAAGTCCACTTAATATGGGCAGCTCCCAAAGATTGTGTTTGTACATAAGAATGGCTAAATGTTGCTCCTTCACCAATGATCACTTCAAGAACAGAATTAGTCCAATAACACTTATTACCATCTCCACCTACAAACTCCTCAACTATACCCACCTCTCCTCCCTTCTCTACCAACATCAATACTCTCGGGTTCGAAACCGGCAACGTATTCGATCCGACATCACTCCCTTTCACGGAGCAATACCTTAAATTCAAAGGGGCATTAACTCGGCACCCTTCAGGCACATAAACAACAATCAAATCAGGAGCTCCAACCCCATTTAAAGACCAAAACAAATCCCCTTCAACATTTGACACAAATTCAGATAACCTTTTCAGAATTCCCTCAGAAGATAGCTTTGACAAGCTACCCACATACACACCTTCGGGTAAACCCGACAACCCGGATAGAGTTTCCACCAAATACCCATCAATTATTGTGATATTGGGCAAATGGGTATCCTCAGAAACGCTGGAAAAGTCAGATTCTTGAGGTGGGTTAGTAATAGGTTGAATTTCAGAGGATTTAATGTAGGAAGTATCAGTAAATCGATAGGGTTCATCTTTTCGAGTAGGCCATGAGAGAGAAAGGAGGGTTTCAGAAGAAGAATCCCTTAGTTTTTGCAAAGGTAAGGGTGCTGAAGAAGAAGAAGAAGAAGAGGAGAGAGAATCTTCAAAGGTTTCTGCAATTTGGAGCACAAAAGGGTCAGAAAGAGCTGCATATGGGGTTAGAATTGAAGGTGATTTTGATGAAATTGGGTGTTTTGATTTGCGATTGAATAGAATTCGAGAAGTTGAGGGTGTTTGATGATGAGAAAGAGAGTGAAATTGAGTGGAGATGGTTTGAAGAAGATTGGGAGTCAAGGTAGAAGAAGACATTGGTTATGGTGGTGTAGCTCGTCCAGAAACCAGCATCAGATTGAGGCCACGCACAGCAGCAAAGAGGGAAATATTTCTTGTTCTTTGGCTTCACTGTTTGTGGAGGCCAAATAAGTCATTTCCATTAGGAAATTTGTTAAATTCATTTGAAAGTAAATTTTCAAAGGATCTTGCTAATGACCGTCTTCGAGCGTTAGATTTCAAAGGATCTATGCGTAAATAAATGTCAAAATTACGCATAAATCAGTGTATTTAATGTTTAATCTAATATTAAAACTTATGAAAAAAAGTGCACAAAACATAGCTAATATTTGTATGTTAAAGCAGTTAAAATTGTTACATGACACATTTTTATTGACACTTAATTAGGCCTATATTGCCCAATTTATCTTGGCTTAAGTAATGCAGAGTAGTTATTTTAACAAAATACTTCCTCTGTCCCAAAATAATTGATACAATCAATTTTGCACCATGCTGATGCACTAGTTTGACTTTACTTTATATAATTAAATATTAATGGAAATTATTTTAAGAATTATATTATGAAACTTTATATAAATACATATCTAACAACATATTTTATGATAAAATATATTTTTTATTATGTTAGTAAAATTTATGGTCAAAACTAGGATTTGTTAAACATCGCCCACAAATCTCTACATAAAGCCCACAATTATTTTTACTTCGACTCTTTTGCCCTTTTTCTAATTTTTGCCGAAATCGTAATTCACTTTCACGAAGAATGTAGAGCTGGAGTGGATCACCGAGGGACACCGAAGAGCCGTCATCGTCGCCGGAAAGCGAGATAATCCGGGAAAAAATTACGAAAAGTAGGGGTGGCGTCTGGCCGGAACGCCACTACCGTGGCGGTGGCGTCTAGCCGGGACGCCGCAACCGTGGTAGTGGCGCCTGGCCAAGACGCCGCCACCATGGCTGTGGCGTCCTGGCCAGACGCCACTCCTACTTTTTGTAATTTTTTTTTAATTTTGTTTTTTTTTTTTGTAATTTTATTTTAACTTTTTGTAATTTTTTTTTTCTGTTTTTTTGGTAATTTTATTTAAACTTTTTTAAAAGTTTTTTTTTTGATGGTTTTTTAATTTTGATAAATTTGAAATTAAATATGCGTTAATAAGTTCAAAAAAAATAATTGTTTTAATCTGAAATTATGTTTTAAATATTTTGAATTTTATATGAAGAGGCGGTTGGCGTCTAAAATTTCAAAAACAAAATATATTACACATAAAAACTTGACACATAAAAAAATTAACACAACAAAGTAACACATAAAACAAAAAATTTAAACATTAACACAAAAAAATTATGTTATTCAACAAATAAATATATTACACATAATGTAAAAAATTTAAACACTATTTATTAACACAAAAAATTACCACATACAAAAAAAATTAACACAAAAAATTTCTGATTTTCAAAAAAAAAATATATATTAGAAATAAAAACATTAACACATAAAATTAATTAACACATTAAACAAATTAACACATAAAACAAAAATATTAAACATTAACAAAAGAATTTTGATTTTCCAAAAAAATAAATATATTAGACAAAAAAAAGAAAAAAAAAATTCGGAAGTGGTGGGGCGCCTGGCCAGGACGCCCATCCCCTGGTGGTGGCGTCTGCTCCGGCCACCGGAACCAGGGGGCTGGCGTCTGGCCTGGACGCCCAGCCATGGCGGTGGCGCCTCTGGAAAACGCCACAACCGTGGCTAGGCGTCCAGGTCAGACGCCAGCCCCCTGGTTCCGGCGGCCGGAGCAGACGCCACCACCAGGGGCTGGGCGTCCTGGCCAGGCGCCCCACCACTTCTGTTTTTTTTTTAATTTTTTTTTAAAACAAAACCTTGCCACCGTGAGCCGTCCTTCCCTCCGCTGCTGTGGGCGTTAAGTCTTTGCCTTGCCGCCTCGACATTGTCGTATTTTTGGGTGATTAGAGTGTGGGTATGGGTTAGATTTTTTTTTTAGGTCTAGGGCAATAAAGTAAATTCAATATAGATTTGTGGGCTTTATGTGGAGATTTGCGGGCGATGTTTAGCAATCCACCAAAACTGATACATGGATGTGAAAAAAGTCTAACGTCCGAGTTGTTGTGGGACGAAGGGAGTAACAAATAAGTTTGGATTTTTCTTTTATCCCAAATTACTTGTTCAATAGCCTTTTGCATGCATGAGATTTTATCTTCCACAAATGGAAGTTGCGTTGTTGTTTGGACTCTATGGATCGATAATCAGTTAGCTCCTTCTCCTTCATATGCTAATCCGCGGACCATTCGGGTTTCCTGGTCTCCTCCTCATCTTGGTGTTGTTAAGATAAATTTTGATGATTATGTGCGTGGTGGCTTAGATGCTGCAAATGTGGTTATTAAAGACCACTTAGGAAATCATATTTGCAGTCGTTCTTATATTGGTACAAGTACGCCTCTTATTTCCGAGGCTATCACCCTTCGTAATGGCCTTCTTCTTGCTCGGTCCCATAGTTTTTCTCGTATTTTTATTGAAGGGGATAACTTACTTATAATTAATATTTTGCAGGGTAAAGCTCAGTGCTCATAGAGGATTCGATTACTACATACTAGAAGATATCAGGGAGCTCCTTCGTCTTTTCTCCTCCGTTGAGTCCAGGCATATCTATAGAGAGCTGAGGGCAATAGAGTAGTAGATTATGTTGCTTCTTTAGGTCATTGTATGCAAACACACCAAGATTTTGATCCTTTTTTAGATAGTAAATTTTCCTTTTTTTTTTTATTAATTCAGACTAGTTGGGTTGTAATGCACGAGGTTTTATGCAAGTAAAAAGATTGAGAAAACAATTAGGTAGTTGAATGTGAAACTCACCGATCCGAAGAGGAAAAAAAGTAGATAATTCTTTTTTTAAAAAAATGATGCAAGTAAAACGAAACATCCCAAATAGAAAAATTGGACAAGTAATTTAAAATAAATGAGTAATGGCAAAGTAAGATCTCTCGCCTCTCCTCTCCTCTTTCTACCTCCTCTCTTCTAGGGTTTCTCCAAAATCTTGGACGTTTAGGCCGGAAGCAGTCTAATTTCTTCAGAAATTAGACTATTTCTAACCCTTTTTCTTTAATTTTCTTTAGTTTTGCAATTTAGGTTTCAATAAATCTACACGAGTAGTGTAGATGTTTGTCCGTCTCCCTATGGTGGAGTGTCTCCATATGGTGGAGTCGTTCGTTTTTGTTAGTTTAGTTGTTTGTTTATGTTTAGGGTTTGTTTGTGTGTTAGGGTTTATTAAAAAAGTAATCATCTTTTCCCTATTGTCAGTTCGTTGGTAAAGATTTGTTCGGGACCGCAACGGTTGTTAAGTTTTCAAATTTGTTCAAGCGAATCAGATGAAAATCATCCTTACGGCTACAACAAATCGTTAGACCGTCTCTCCGGAAAGGCTGTATATGCCAGCGATGTGTGCGAGAGATGTACCACGGTGCAAGATCTTTTCAACAATTGTAGCTTTGATGAAGGAAACCCTAATTTGATTCAATTTTATGTATTTCTTACTTAGATTTCATTTGTAGATGACGGATGACTTTTTATTAATGAATTGATTTGTTTCAAGAAAATTTTTTTTTTGAGAAATGGCAAAGTAAGTTTGGTAGAATAGAACATGTTGCATTATTGCTTGTATAATCTCTATCTCACTAAGGATTGTACGTACTCTCTTCTGAGGTTTATTAAACAACATAAAATTTCAAATACTTCGTAATTTATATAATTTCATTTGAAGAAATGGTGACACTTACTTTTTTTTTTTTTTTTTTTTTTTTTTTTTGTTTTTTTGATGAATTTTCACAAACTTATTTCTTATTTGACATTAATAAATTTATTCATATTACATTGACCTAAAAAATATGTGACTATACGGAGTACAATGTTCTCTCCTCTCTCCTCTATTCTCTCTTAAAAAAAACCCTAGCCTTCATTCTTGATTTTTGAAAGGGATTTTATCGGTTTTAACCGATGGAAAGCCCCAACCTTTGTTTCTTTACACTTTTTTGCTTGTCTTTTTGGTTTATAATAATGATTTCTCCCTCGAAAGAAAGGATTTTCGATCTCCTTCGAAAGACAAGATATTTTCGATCTCCTCCAAAAGACAAGGTTTTCGATCTCCTTCGAAAGACAAGCAGATTTTTCGATCTCCTTCGAAAGACAAGGTTTTTCTCCTCTTTTCGAGGGGGAATTTTTTTAGCTTAAAATCTGGGATAATAGATCTGATGGATTGCCGTGAAATTATTTCGTTGGTGAAAAATTATGTGGGGTCGCAAAGGTTTTCAATTTTTCGAATACGGTCAGATGAATTCGATGGAAATCATCCTCACTATTACAAGGGATCGTTAGATTGTCTCTCCAATAAGGCCGCGCTGTATTTTCCAGCGATAAAAGCGGGAGATGTTCCACATTGCAAGATCTGCTTGACGATCGTAGTTTTTATGAAGGAAATTTTTATTTGATACAAATTATGTATATGTTAAATTCGATTATCGTTGTAGATGTCGTGTGACTTTTTATTAATGGATTAATTTTACTATTTAAAAAAAAAAAAAAAAAAGATGTGCCTTATTTTTTTATGAATATGTTTGGATTATAGGTCCATGGCAAATTAGTTAATTTTATGCTCCCGGCATACCTAGGATGATGCTCCCTTTTATTGAGGCTCTTCAGATTTTCAATGAATCTACATATCGAGTTTAATAAATAATAATAAACTTTAAATTGATTATAAACAATTGATAATTGACACTATATTGATTTAGATTAGTAAATTGTAAGGGCGTAAGGCTACTTTAATATAATGTTTTGGGATTTGGTAAGTAATTCAGGATTACATTATATTTTAACCAAAATTAATGTTCCAAATAAAGATATGATAAGTTATATTATATTTTGGGATTTGGTAAGTAATTCAGGATTACATTTTATATATATATATATATATATATATATATATATATATATATATATATATATATATATATATATATATATTTACAAAGATTCACTCAAAAGAAAGCAACAAACTAGAAAAAGCAATAATGTTGTCATTTAGGGATCCATAACTTACACGTTCACGACAAGGATGCAATATAGAGTC